ATGCACTGCTACTGATAGCTGTACTCGAGGAAGACACCAATTTAGTTTCGAGTTTGTTTATTCTTGACCCAGGGCGTAACGTATGACCTGACTGAGCTCATTTGATCAAGGCGCGCCCGCTAAGCTCAAGCGATTGATGTCCTCCGCATTTCTGCGGAGATACCACATGAGGATGACCATACTTCGATTACGTGGCGGCATGTGAGTTAATTCGTCACACCGAAGCTGAATTCGGCAACAGCTATAACCAGCACATTGGTTTCTTTCTCAATATGTTCAAAAACTCAACTTGGCAGTGCTTGTAAGTAGAATGCGTCACTTGGAGCACAACCGGCGCGAAGCTGAATAAGCACCCGAAAGAGATATGCTACTCTTGATTGGATGCAAATCGTTAAATACAGGCGCCTTTAATAGGACTTAATAGGATGCGCCTTTATCTCTGTACTTATCAATCTGCTTCTATCTAGTATTATAAGACATTAGTTATGTGTTTACCTTGACTAAGCTGGACCAGTCACCAATCTGCCTCGATGCACTCTACTTCAATTTTGCCACCGACACAGCGAGAGCCAGCTATCCCTTGTATACGTCACGACGATTGGCAATACGATGTCAATTGGGGTCGCTTTCTGGAGCGTTTGGTCCTTTCAAGTGCTCACGAGCGCGCCATCCCCCTTTGTCATCACACTGTTAGACGGGGTCAGCACGACGAACAACGAACAAGAAAGGAAGCAGCCTTCTAGTTCTACTTTGTTGACTGATGGACCGGCAGTCTTGAATTAAGGAATTTTCTATTGAAGAATAGCTTGCAGCATAATTACGGAGATTTTGCAATGAGGCAAAGTAGAAAAATAATTATGTATGGATGAGAATGATGGCAAAAGCGGGATATACAGACTATATCAGATAGAGGTTCATACCGTATCTAGTCCTGTTCCCATAAACCATGCTTAAATGCTAGCCTAGACTCCACCTCTGCACTATGGCATGGCAGGGGCTAGATCACGCTTTCCCAGCATACCAGGATCAAATATGGGACTCGGGGAGAAACAAATCGATTCCATAAGAGACAGAGATATTCGTGATTTTCTCCAGCAGATTTATCCTAATCTCTCAATCAACTTAGTCTACTTGCTACTGATTTCCCTTTCCCGTCCTGCATTTGAGCGACATCGAACTACGAATCTCCACTCGCCCACTGATTCTCTTCCTTGCAAGTCGTTCAGACCATTAATCTGTGAATAACCCACACAGAGTAATAGTCCTTGCCTGCTTAAGCAGAGCGGGTTCCAGTGGGCTGGCCAGCAGGAGGGGTTCCGCTGCCCGAAGGAGGCTGACCTCCCTGGCCACCGCCGCCGCCTCCACCAATGCCGCTGTCCAGGGCATGGCCACCATCACTAGCCAAGTATCCAGCAACACCGTAGTATTCATCCGAGGTGTAGTCGGCAGTGGTGTTGATGCCAATCTGAATCCAAGCAAAGATTCCATCCTGAACAGAGTCTCCCAGGTAGACGTACTGAGGGAAGGGGTCATAAGACTCATCAGCCTGAAGAACAGACCACATATCCTCCTCGTTGGTGGTCACCTCGACCGTGTTGGTGTTGTAAGGGGCAAGAGCCTCGACTTCCTCACGGAGATCCTCGGGCCAGAAAAGCTGTCCGATGTGTTGAACAGGGCTGTTGTAGACCTGGATTGTGCCGTTGGATGAGACCGATGCATTGGCGTGGGTGAGGAGATGAGTATGGGTAGCACGTCCTTCGTAATGACCGGGGAAGATGGTCTCGAACTGAACAACACCATCGTGGTCGGTGATCTGAATACCACGGAGGAAAGTGGTGTTCAGACCAGCTTGGGAGCTAACCCCGGAGTAAACACCAGTAGCATTGCAGTTCCAAACGTCGGTGGCCAAGTTGGGGACTCCATTGCAGGTAGCTACGTCGACGTATTGGACCTCGAGGAACAAAGGAACGCCGTCACAGAATTCAGTTTCGATGACGTTGGATCGTAGGTATTCGCCGACGATGTAGTAAGGTCCAGCAGTGATCTCTGGGGATAGGATACAGCTAGAGTTGGCGCCAAAGACAGTTTCGAGAGGAGTGAACATGTTGTTGCTAGAGACTCCAGTCTTGTTGTGGTTGACAGCTTCCCACTTGACAATATCATCTTCATCACGGCGGTGCTTCCTGGCGTCTATAGAAAAGTGTTAGTATCAAAATACAGCCGAAAGGATCTCGTCGCATACCAGTCTTGATGCCAAGTCTCTTGCGAAGCTTCTCAACCTTTTCTGCTCGACGAGCAATCGAACGAGCCTTCAGCTCTCGAGCATGCAGAGAACCAGAGCATGCGTTCAATGACCTCTGGCCCAAGTTGGCGATAGTGTCGCGGGTCTGGATCTGTCTCTTGATCTTCTGGTGATCATGTTTCTCACCAGGATGAGCAGAGACAAGACCAGCGAGAACAAAACCCGCTGAAGCGAGGGACTTGAAAGAGACCATGATGAATAAAGAATTGATGAGTGAGAAGGTTGTAAAGAAGCATATCCAGAAGCGATTAGGCTAGCTTTTATGTATAATGCAGTTCCTCGGATTGGTGGCTCGGAGATTCAAGGATTGCACATCTGTTACGCAACACCGATCCGAGTGGATCATCCGCCTCAGCCTTGGTGGCGGCATAAAGAATGAAGCATTCGCGTTCACTTAGGCCATCCCACAACCCGAAAATTATGTGGGTTTTTCGGCTTTCGAACGTAACGGGAGCTAACGTCATCTAGATTGGTCGTGCGCCACGGAAACATGTGGGGGGAGTAATCCGATTTTTAGATGATTTTACTGGTTACGATACGAATGCACTGCCGTCGGAATTAATGCGGTCTTGGTCCGTGACTTGGGAATCCCTGGAATGGCATTATCGAAGGGGAAAGGACTTGTTATTCTATTTCTAAGTTACGCAGCGGTGAGACTAGCTTTCGCCATGAGCACTCTCGAAAGCCTCTATCATACGCTGAGCCCCATCATCAGCATACATCATATCTTCCATGTCGATACTGCTCTGGATATGCTCATAAGCTCTAGGTCGCATCTCCTTCTCATAAGCAACAATTGCTCGTTCTATTGCTTCTGCATCAGCTTTCTGATCATAGTTGTCTCCAGAAGCCCCAGTTTCAGCAATTATTTGGTCGAATAATACGAGCGCGTCATACATGGCTTGGTTCACGCCTTCACCATTTGGAGTAGCAAGATGCGCGGCGTCGCCGAGTAGAGCAACGCCGGGAACACGTTTCCATCTTGGTCGGCCATCGTGTATATCTTCATCGTTGGGAGAGAAGAGGGTTTTGTCGAGGCGATAAAGTGGCCAGGGTCGCCACGGCCCCTCAGAAGCCTCGATCAAACGTCTCAAGTCCTGTGTCCAAGTCTCGTAAAAGCCTCCTGGTCCTAGCATTGTTTTTCGCGCGTTGTCCATATCGTTTGGATCAACATCACCACCGGGACGCGTCAAGGACTCAGGCGCCACTACGCCCATATATATCCGGTATGATGCATCGGATAATTGTTGCACTGCGAGGGTGGATTTAGCACTCATCGCCATGGCTGTTCCTTTGCCTGCTATTTGTTGCGCGAGTTTGTACTCTGATTTGTCTGGTGATATCCGGCCTTCAATAAATGATTTACCAGAATAGGTGGGCTTGGCGTCAGTAACCTGGGAGTAATGTTAGCTTGTGAATTTGACTGATGTAAATCGTTAGTACTCACGAGAGAGCGCACTTTGCTCCAAGCACCGTCTGCTCCGACAATAAGTCGAAAGCCACTCTCTGTCGATCCATCGCGAAACTTTAGAGTCAAATCACGCGCTTGTCCATTTCCCTTCTTATCAACAACATCCAATATCTTTCCCCAGCGAATACGATCCGTCGGCAAAGAATTGAGTAACAACTGTCGCAGCTGTCGACGATCAATCTCTGGTCTATCGCCACCATCATCGTCTCCGAATGATGCACGGAACTTCCCTTGAAAGTCCATCAAGGTCATGGTTGTTGCATCATATCGAGCTAAGGACTTGAACTGGTCGTGAAGACATGCGCGACGGAGCGCTTCTTGGCCTGAGTCTTTGTGGATGTCTAGCGTGCCGCCTTGGCTTCTGAGGGTTGATGTTGGAGATTCGTCGCGTTCAAAAACGACATAATTGATGCTTGCGGTTTGGAGCAGACGTGCTAGCATGAGGCCGCATGGGCCACCGCCGATGATGGCGATTGGTGGAACAGCTGAGACTCCCATGTTTGAGCAGTTCAAGATGCTGCGGGACGAAAGTAATAGAGATGAGTCAAGCTGTTTACATGAATGGGCCTTGGATATCATTTATAGTTAATTTAATCATAGGGTAGATACTGGAGAAACTTTGCTGCCCCTGACTTTCCATGCACGATCTCATTTCATCAACATGATTGGTCAGGCATTGATCTGGAGAATAACTCGGACGAGACTAAAGCCCGAAGAAATCTGACGCGATGTCATAATCAAATTCTTGGTGTTGGCCCGGGATTTTCTATGTCCCGACTTGGAGATGGAAATGTCACCCAATAATCACAGTTTAATCTTAATGTTATCGAAAATAAGAATAAGAATAAGTCCCTCGCTAATTTCACTAGTCTTGAAGCTTTATTCTCTGCACTTGTCAAGTCTTTCAGGATGTAGGTTGATCCAACTTCCAAGTGACTGGCTTACCATTTACCCTACAGAGCGCAGTGAACGCGAAACATAGCCATTAACGCGTGGGCGACTAAGCACAGCCACAGAGATAAGATACCTAGCCACTGTTTGACACGAGGCAAGCCATGTTCTATTATTAGAATCCAACGAGCCTCAATCGGCCAATTTATTGCACAGAGCATGGGACAAGTGTAGCACAGCTTAAAACACTTTTATAGAAGAGAACAACAGTTACTCTCGCGAAAGAGAAGTAACGAGCTAGGTAGCTGTAGGTCCAGGCAAAAGTATTGTCCTTCCTTAGTTCTTGATCTCAATCACCTCGCTCCTCGTCTCATGCTTAGGCGAGCGATCCACAAGTGGCTTCAAGCCCGGCAGCGCGACAACTGTAATAGCAAGTGCCATCTCCAGCATACTCATAGGGTCTAGGGAGAAGATGTCAGCAGACGAGCTGGTGTTATTTGAGAGACAGACGACTTACAAACAAGATTCTCTTGGCCAGTGCCAACCTTGAGAGTGACAAATCGCACAATGGTAGTGCAGATGGTCAGAGCTCCAAGCACGAAAGTAGCAGTGACACCCTTGGAGGGCTGAAGAACACCCTGGACCAGCAGGATGAGAGGGAGGGCGTAGACTGTAAGGCCAATTAGTCTTTGGTTAAGTGTAATATGCAGGAAGGAATGTCAACATACCAGCAAGATAACAAGCCAAGTTGAGAGTAAAGTTGAGAATGAAGGGCTCAGGCGCATAGAAGACACTGCAAGCGCCCTCCTCCTGAGACCACTGAACGGAGACATCCTTTCCGCAGAAAAAGGTATCGTCCCAAAGAATTGCCATGTATGACGCGCAGACAAAGGCAGTGATGCCGTATAGAGCCTTTCGCATACCGGAGCTCATGCCTGTGGAGGGGAGGAAGTAGGCCCAGTAGAAAGCAAGCATGCTCATCTTGGGGAAACCCATGCCGACATCGTAGAAGTAGTTGGAGGCGAAGGAGATCTGGATGACAAGTTAGTCGCGTCATGCTTGGTGGTGCTTGAGATGATCTTGCCTTGGACAGCTTGACAGATGTCTCATACTCATCCATGACACCCATCTGGAAGGTCAGAGTGTCGCAGATGATGAGGGCGAGAGCATCGACGGCGGATAAAAGCAGAAGATAGTCGGACCAAGTCAACTTCTCTCGCGCACGGAAAAGACGAGCGTAGATTCGAAGACCGACAAAGACATAAGAGGCCGCCAGCAAGATCCATTCCGAGATCTAAACACTTGTGAGTACACAACCTGATACAAACATCAACAGCTCAAGTGACCTACCATGCAGTCCTTTCCATCGATAAAGAACGCCATTGTGCAATCCGATTGTCTTCCACTTCAAAACAACGGGAAATAAAATGGTGCACTCGCGGCAGTAGAGAAAAAAGAAAAGGAATTAAGGTTCACAGGACTGCAGGTATACTTTAAAATTTACCAGTTCATGGTGCTTATTTAATGCGCCGCATGGTTACAGCACCAGTAGCACCTCGGCTACAGAAGAAAAAAAAAAAGAAAAACAGCATCGAACGAGGTATTGCATAGAATGCAACACTAAAAGGTCCCTGAGGGTGAGTTTTACCCGCTGCAGGTCTACGGCACAAGTCGGGCCAAAGCAGCGTTACGGGATTTTAATAGAGAGAATGACCGGGGTCGGTATTTTGACATGGGGGCTAAAACTGGAGGGGTTGTAACCGAGAGGTGGTTATTGGTCGGGTTGGAGTTCCGTTGATATGCAAACGAGAATAAACCTGGGACCAACGGATGTAACATGGGAAAGGATTGAACAGGGGAAGAGTGTTGTGACGATGGGTGTGTTGGTTGATCTCTGGGTTTTGGGATGGAGGGAGGGAGTCTTTTTGTTAATGCACCAATAAGGGATTCATCGTATTTTATGGTTTTCAGACGTTTTAATAAAGCTCTGCATTAAACTCAGAAGCGAAGTCAAGAATTCAAGCACAATGATCTGATCTATGGTAAAGCTGTTGTATTCTATGTGTATGTTTATTTATTATACATAACTTGGGTCAGTCAGACCAGCTGTCATGTCACTCTTTATTCCCGGCCATTTCCCATTTTGTTGGTCCATCTGCATATCTAATGCAACTCTTACATCCATCCCACCATCCACACTGGCACTTATCTTACAGCACACACACATAACCAATTCACCCCCGTCCCGAATCACCCTGCCAGTCACCGTCTTCTCTTCGCTGGTAGGTCACACTTATGCGGGCCGACTTGTAGATACCTTGAAGGTTGGTCAGCTCCACTTCACTGCCGGAGTCTTCTTCGGCGCCCGCCGCCACGCGTGCCGTCGAGGCGTACAGTTCTCTGCTGTGATGGTCACGGCCGCTGGAAAGCTTGTTGAAGTGACTCGATGTTGTCACTGTACCTGAGTGTTTGTTGTAGCCTGAGCCTGTTTGCGTGGTGTTTTGCTTGGAGGAGCGCAGCCCGAGGCCGTGGAGGAGGGATTTGAGGGCGGGGAGAGACACGACGACTATTGCGGCTGCGATCTCTGTCATGGAGAGGACGTCTGTGGAAGTGAGTAAGAATTGAAGTTATAAAGGCCTTGGATAGAGGGGTTCACTCACAAACATTGGTCCACGCGTGAATTGCCTCGACGGTCGCAAATCTACCGATGCTTGCTCCTAGAGTGATAAGTCCAGATGCAAAAATCGCAACTAGACCAGCCTTGTACCGTCTGCTGAGTTGTAGACCAAAAAGAAGCGGAAATGGTAGGGCAAAGACTGCCCAACGTCAGTGATTACTTTTGAGCAAATTCACTGAAGTGAACATACCAAGCATGTCGGAGATGAGATTCATAACCCAATCAATGCGGAAGACAGTCTTTGAGTCAAAGGTACTGCACTCTCCATCGAGCTCCCAATTGACAGATACGTTGGCGCCGCACCAAAACGTATCCAAGAAACAAGTCGTGAGCATAAACGACCCCGTCAAAGCAGTAACTCCATAAAGAAACTTGCGTAGCAGCGGTAGTGTCTGTGGAATGAGCTTAAAGTAAAGTGCCAACAGCGCCAGCTTCGGAAAGTATACACCCGTATCGTAGAAATAGTTTCCCGCAAACGACACCTTCATCAATGTGATCTGATCCTCAATACTTCGAGGCGGCGCACTCGGATCATATTCGTCCATTCCTCCTAAGTTATACGCAGCCGTGTCGGTCCCAAATAATGCAGCAGCATTGAGAAGAGAGGCAATGAGAAACCAATCGCTGACGGTGAGACTCTGGTGTTGTCGAATTGTTCGAAGGGCTAATCGAGCGAGGACGAGGAGCGTTGATATTCCGAAGAGCACGGCCTCGATGGGCTGCATCGTAGATCGCGGTTAGCAAGCGAGTCATGGTCCTGATCTTGCCAAGAAATGCAGATCTTTGCTCAGGCAGTGGATCAGGACAGATCGGAATGGTAACTTACCACCACGGCCTCTTTAGCGACACCAGCCATATCTCAAGATGCAAAACAGACACTTCAACTCATAAATGAAGAAATTAGCAAACTGAAGACTAAGGACTAGGTCTAACGAGATGGGGTTGGCGTCGATTAAATGAAAAGCCGAAGCGTTTCTTCTGTGACGTCCTGCATACAGCCTGTGTGCGGCGGTGCAGGTTCCGAAATCAGCACATGAAAATCATTATCATTACACTACAGCACAATCACAATGAACAGCATCATAATCTTTCACAAAGCGCCCAGTACAGGGGCAGGCACACACACGAGCTGACACACCACAAACGTCGGGACCTTTTGTGAGACGGGTATTATATGCAACTGGCTAAAAACCGTCAAACCCAGGGGTAAAGTGCTTACGGTGGTCAATGTCAGATCGCGTCACGACGCCACCAGATACAGGGCGCCGTTGGTTTACAAAGAACTGATGAAGCATATTTTACTGGGAACATGCATGCAACGATCCGAGTCACTCCATCATTAACCTCAACATGCAGAGGGAACAAAGCAAGGATTCGAAACGGTCGGCGGAAAACGGAGCTTATTGGACGGGAGAAAAAGCAAGCAAATTCCCGCAGGACTTGTCCTTCGGCCCTTTGACACTTCCTGTTCGTAACTGATTTTCATGCATCTGCGGCACAGTTCAAGGAGATTATACGCTGGAGATGCCATTCACCAATTGATGGTGTTGGATCTCGAATAGGGAGCTCGGAGGGACTTCCCCAAGAGATCAACACGCCAGAAGGAGCCGGGAGAAATATGATCCCTGTAGCCAAGACGTGATGGGAGCATGGGTATTGGCTAATGTGCTGCTTACCGAGGAGTCTCGGGCCGTAGGGGTTCATCGGTTGCATGCCGCTTTTTCCGAGATCTGAAACGGAGGAAAAAGGCGCTCAAGTGAGAGACAAGCTTTGATGCAAGAGGTTTATTAGCAGTGAAATGTGCTTTGATCAGCGGTGAATCGTCGCTTGGAAATATCTCCACGATTGAAGTGTAGATCACTGGACCGTGAACTTGGCTCTTGGGACTCTGGTAAAAACACCATTCAGTAGCCGAAAGGTTTACATGCAAAACATAAAAAAAAGCAAACACAATGGGCTGATGTAACTGACAATCATGCCATGCCCCAAAAACCAACCAGTCTCAAAGCCGTTTAGTCAAGATTATAAAACCTCCTGCTAAAAACTGGCCGAAACGGAATAACTGAAACAATCCCAGGTCTGTTCCCACTTGGTTCTAGAGCTTGACGACGTTGCACTTTTTAACCTTAGCTGAAAGCTTGTCTTTAGCCTTTCGCAACGGGCGGGCGCAAGACTCCTCACCTTATTCGTTTAGACCAATCTACTAAATTGCCGAGATTATGAGGTCTGTCGCGAACTTCGGGAACTTCTTTGTCTGGACTTATTCTCCGGTGGCGAAGTGGTTTGTTATTTAAAGTCTTAAAGGGACGCTCTATACGTCGTATCTTGAATGGAGATCTGTCGAGGTTTCCGCAGTTGAGGCTTTTGATGAATCCGCTGCGGCTGAAGGCGAGGTTACATCGTGCCTCGGGCTCGCACTCTAGAGACCCGAGACTTGCCGCAGAAGCAAAAAGTTTGGATAAAATGGCATGTTAAAGTATAATGCGGAACCGCGAAACGTTCAAAAAGCAAGCATTAAAAAATGTCAACTGCAATGCAGTCACCAGCCCATACTTGCAGAGTTTGACATGCCTTGACATACAAGTAACACCATAAAAGTAAACCTTATCTTGAAGAGTCGGCCTATACTGTCACATCGACATACACAAAGCTCAAATTTTCAAAGTAAGGAGAGTAAACAGTTATGAGTGACTACACTAAGCCGTGTCCTTTTCTGTTATGATTCACACCACCTTGGGAAGAAGCCGCACTCCCTTCGCCTATTCTTTCCTGATCGTGTTTGCTTTACTCTGCTTGACAGGTCTGCGTGAAAGTCAACTCCCTCTTCAAGTGTTCGGCGGCCTAGCTTCAACGGCTAAGGTATGGTCTGTCAACCCGAGGCTGTTCACCATAAGTAAGTGGCTATAAAGCCAGCGTTCGGTATGCTCTGTTTGCCCCTTGATATCGATCTCTTTGTTACCGTTGTGAACGTGTTATGGTATATTATATTATATATGGTTTTCGATAGCAGGGTCCTATTCATCCAGTGAGACGTGTCGTCGAGACTCAGTCACAGAGCTTGCAAAAGAAAGAGGTTCTCGGGACAGTATACGGCTGCAACGGTCGGCTATGCAGTATTTGAACTACGAAAAAAGAGAGCAATCCATTAAAAAACTGTACTCCAAGGCACCAGAAAGTTGCGCAATTGACGGCTGTTGTTGTTACTTAGGCAGGTAAAGCTACTGAGGTCGATCGAGGCAGTGATGAGCTGCAGATAAGGATAACGGTAAGGATAAAATGGCGCTCTATTGTCAAGCGGCAGGATGCTATAAGCGTCATCTAGGCAGCCAAGCCCGTAAATACCAGTCGTATAGGCAAATCGAAAGGAGGGCATAGAGTTTTAAATGTTAAAGATCTACGATTTCATGCTGTTAAGGTAAAAAGAAGTCGAATATATAAAACCGCTTTCCTATTAGTTGGGTGACGTCAGAGTATAAATATTCATGAGAACATTCTAATCTATTATCTTAACAAAGCTGCCAGTTTCGTAAAATCGGGCTCGCCCAGGCCCGTTGCCGCATCCCACCCTGCGAGAGCCTCCCAACCTGTCTCAAAGAAGTCACCATCAGCGCAGCCTGTTGTTTCACTACCATCTTTGACATCGCGAAAGACTGGGCTCGCCTTTGCTGAATAAAGCAAAGGATTGAGGAATCCCAATGCAGGTTTCTTTGCCCGGAGGCGCATGTCGTTGACAAGCGCAATCATAGCTGCAAACACAGGTGCAGATGCGCTCGTGCCGTCATGAGTCGACGGGCTGCCTCCGGTCAATGTCAGGTAATTATCGCCCAGAAGACTGATGTCTGGTTGCGCACGGCCGCTGGCGTTGTAAAAGCCCTTGTGCTTGCCATGTAAGGCTTTTATATAACCGGAGACAGCCTTGTCTTGCCAAGAAGCACGTTGGAAGACATTTGACATACCACCCGAGCTATACGAAGCTGCACCGCCATATTCTGCCGTAGCACCAACAGAAGTCATCCAGGGACAGCTCGATGGGAATGAGGGCACAAAGAGTCTCTTTTTGCCAGACACTCCAAGACATGTATTTCCGTCTGTTCCTGCTGCTCCTCCGTCTCCAGAAGATCCGATGATGGAAATCCCACGGGTAGCAGCTTTTGCAAAAAGATCGCAAACGTGTTTCGCATACGCAACTGGTACATCCTTCTCATCGTCGTTGTAAGATATAGAAATGACCTTGGGTGGGTTTTTCAAACCGAGCACATAGTCAAAAAACTCGGCATAAGGCTCATTGCTGTCCGGTGAGACAGGTGCATTCGGAGCTTGCCCGATCTTGGGCGCATGGCCGCCTACCGAGTAGAAAGTGACGGGGAGCGGACCAGTGAAAGCCATTGCGTAGTCAAGGTCAAGTTCAGCCTCGACCGTGAGCGAACCGCCGTCAGCCGGGGGCTTAAGGGTACCTTTGTTGACAGATGCGACATTGATTGAAGGTATGAGTTTCGGATTCTTCTTATCATACTTTGTCAAGAAAGCTTTGACGTCTGTGATATTGGGAAAGTTGTTCAGAAATCCAGCTATAGCAATTGTGCTACCCGATTTACCGTCGACTGGGCTATAATGAATATTATATTTCGTGCGCAGCTGAGATGGACAGATGCTGTTGGAGCAATTACTAGGTCCAGTGGGTACATGCTGTCTTGCTTGAATCGTTTTTGGACCAGGTGCCGATCGAAAGAAGTGTACTGTAGGATATATATAGCTGATCGCGTCCTTTTGCGTGCTTGGAATGCTATACTGAGTTGTGCGAATCATAGTCCGACCAGTGGCCTTGTGTTGGAAGTGGTAAAACGTAGTGTTCAAGACCCGGTTCCAGTCAGCAATGGCTGTTGTGACATCGACGTAATCGGGACGTGTAGTGTAATTGGATAAGCCCTCGCCTTTAAGCCAGCCGGTCACTTTTGCCGAGATGAAACTCTTGTTAGGTAAAATAGCTCGCAACTCATGAGCTCCTAAAAACAGTCCATACTGATTGGATTCGGGATCTGATACTTCTTGGGCCACCTTGAGATATGGCTTTTCCGGCTCCGCCAGATGAATTCTCAAGGACAATAGTTCATCCTCAGGCGCCGGTTTCAGTTGTACGTAGTCCTTTGGGGGATTATGAAGAGACTCGTGCCTGAGAGAAGCACAGAATGGAGAAAGCGCCAATATGCAAGCGAGATATTTGTGTCGCATGATGGGTAATAAAAAGTTATTGATGTACGTATGACAGGCAATAGGCAATTGCGAGGAAACGGGTTCAGTGATTCTATTACATTAGATGCCGTGCTACATACGGATGGGATCGCTCTATTATGTGGCGAGGAAAGGTTCTGAGATACCGACCGAATTGGGTTAGGTTCTTGGAAAGTCCAAATCACGTCACGATAATGTGGTCCTCGTATAGATAATTCGTATCTCTAGAGATGTTAGGTCGAGAATTTCATCATCTCCTGAGTGACAAAAATAGAGCCTTTCACCACAGTCTGATTACAAGAACATGCATGATTGGATATGATACGAAGTCTTGTAGATCTTCCCTAGTCCTCATCCGATTTGGGAAGGACTTTATCCATTGACGGACTAGTTCACGTGTCGGTCACCAGCGCGCTTTGGTATGAATGATGTCCAATACGAGAGATCGACAAATTTAACTGGCGAATTTGAATCTACTACGTCCAAGCTTCGGCACTCGGCACGTTTCTAGGGAGCTTGCTAATTGATTGGATGATGTAAATCTCGACATGGTCTAGATTTGTCTTAGTAAGTAGCCCTCGTATAGTCTGTTCAATATTTAAATTCCACAGGAATCATGCAATTCGGTTCAGTCATATCTCATACCAAAACTTACCACTAATTGGCCGCGATGTTGCTCACAATTAGTTTTCTTTCAATCGCATCGTTGCAAGGTGCATTTGCTGCCTCTCCACCACAGCCGCAATCTCCCATCATCCCCATTTCGTACAGCTACGGCGGCTACCCTCGGTGAGTCATGATTGTCTCCCATCTTGAAGTCATGCAAAAACTGATGCTTGCATCGTAGCATCCAGGCCGACATCAAGTGGGGTACACCGGGACAATCTCCCATTCCCACAATCTTTGACACCGGCTCTCCCAGCTTCTGGGTTTTTGGTCCCAAGTCCATCATCAACGATGGCACCAATGCGCATTACGTGCAGGGTCCTTGCAACAAGACTGTCAAGACTTTTTACAACTGGCCCAAGTCAACTTCCTATTCTAAAGGAGGCCCTACCAAGCCCAAAGGAGGATCTTTAGGCTATGCCTATGGCGGTAATGGCAAGCTTATATCAGCATCGAGCCTCATCAACGACACATTCGCCTTTTCCAATCCAAACTTTGCCAAGTTGACCAATAACCAAGTGGCATTGGCGGACTATGCACAGATCGCTCAACTGGACGACAAATGTAAAATCCCTGAAAGTGATTTTGATCATAGCATCCTTGGCCTGGCACCACTTCCACAGGGTTTCTCTGGACCGTCTTTCCGTGATAATCTGCGTCGCACTGGGAAAACGCGTTCTTCTTCTTTCACAATGTGGTTTGATCAACAACCCAAGTCTGTCAAGTCGTCATACTCGGGCGCAGCCGTATTCGGTGCCGCACCTTTACAGAAAAAGTATATCGGCGAGCTCGTACGCATCAAACAGGATTATCCTGAGGCTCCCTATGTGGGATATTATTCGGCTCTGCCGGAGCTGACGGCCACATCGATTCGCAAGCCGGGCAAGCCTGTCAAGATTGGCCTAGCGGATCCTTCGGTCAAGCGGTGCCTGCTTGATTCTGGCACAGGCGAGGATCGTGTGCCCTTTAGTGAGAAGGAGATCATCAAGGCAACCGGGCTAATTCAGCTGCAAGACCCGTACGCAATTGCATGGAACGGGACTTGCGAGTCGATCCCACGTACTGCCACGCTCAACTTCACCTTTGCCGGAGTTACGAAGGGCAAGAGTGTCACTGTTGCTGTCCCTATTCGCAGCTACGCCCGTGGTGAATTTGACGAGGTACCTGGCTACGATGCTTCCAAGTTCTGTGCCTTGAGCCTTTCGGGCGACGAGTTTGGTGACTGTACGTTTGGTGCTCCATTCTTCACAGCTGCTTATGCTGTTTTCCACGATGATAAGAAACAGGTAGCGCTCGCTCAGGGTGGTGTTTCCACTGGAACAGGTGATTATGCAGCTGGAATTGGTCATCTCACGCCCATCCTGCCGGATTCAAACATTCCGAATTCGGTTTAAATGAGTTCGCGGTTGAGAATGGTCTAGAATAAACAATAAATAAGTTATAAGCTTATATAGATAATAATAATAAAAGTCTTTAGACTTATATCTATTTAATTATATAGTTTTAAGTTACAGATTATTCAATGAAAAAGAAATTTATAGTTCCTTTAAATGCTATAAAAAGCTTTAGAATTAATACTTTAGGGGTTTCTTTAGCATATCAGTCAGAAGCCACGCAGTCAAGACCAAGCACCTAGTTCATATCTAAGTCAGATACTAAAGGCTAGAAGACCAAGCTGCATATCAAATTAGAGATGATATATAGTCTGGGTTAATAGAGTTGGCGCTTTAGCGTACTATTAAAGAAAGAACTGGCAAGGTCGTCTCTGGACCACCAAGAACCTCGGCTGCAATTAGAGGTTTTAAATGTGGCATAATGATAGTAGTGCCGATGTATCGATCTGAAATTTGGAAGTGGATGCGTCCAGGACCATTGACGGTATAGGCTACCTTGGAAGGTGCACTTGGCTTGGATACGATAGACAGGACTGCTGTGGGAAGCCCAGCGCGGAGACCGACGAAGGAAGCACATAAACCTTGAATGCGTAGATTGGCTAAACAACTTGAACAGTTTTGGCGGGAGTTGCCTGAGTCTGAGTGATACTGTGCCTTAGAGTATCATAGATTAAGCCTTATTAAACCTCAAATTACGTTTGCCGTGATGATCAACATCCCTGGCTTTAACAACACAGTATTTCCTTTATCGTTATGTATTTGCAATGGCGTTTCCTGCTCCATACAGAGGCAATACTGCGGGATATGGCAACGCTTGTAGTTTGTGTTAATGGCACGAGTAGCTCAACCTGCCCTGAGCCATGCGACATCTCGTCGATATAAGGTTTGACAACTCTCCGTACTAATCGTCCCCGCCAGATCAGCCGCTGATGCTTTCCACCATCATATGACCGTTCTAGCCGTTAATGATTCCCAGTATGTTTGTACACTGTATTCACACGAGTATTGTATTGATGTGATGCGCCTTGTGCGCCTTGGTGAAGATTGGTGAGTCGTCGAACAACTTAGCGGATCCCCTCAATACTCTAATATCCCTTGGCTTGAGTATTTCTTCAAGCTGTCACTTCTAGTTTGCCAGTATCAACGCCACAAGATAACGACGCTACAGTGCTTTTGTCATCTGGGTAGACAGCCTAAACTTGAACCTTATGGCCAGCAACCATTTCCATAACTGAGATGACCATGGCATTCTTAGTGTCTTGTAATGGGGCTCTTCAGGGTATCATAAACTTATTCTATCTCCAGAACACTTATTTCAGTGTCACATCTCAGAATATCTTCATCTCTTGCATACTAAGTCTTAATCACCATATACATTCTAACAAATACTACACAGATCAACAACATTATGGCCACGAGGGAGTTACTCATCGTCATTCTTAACCACACCAACAAGGAGCTCATCGCAGAGCCTGAATGGCCACCTCTCAACCACGGCAATTGGACCAAAAGTCCAGACCTACAGCCACAGCAGACAATCCTAGCAGGTGAGAGCGGCATGCTACGCTGCAAGTCGAGTCACATAGGCGGAGGTGTCGACGGTTCAATTACGTACCGCAACGTCGGATTCGAAGGGAGAAACGAAGTTGCGTTTATGTGGAGTGTCCCGTACGTCGGGGCAAACAAATTCGACGGCTGTTGTGCTGTATCTGACTTCACAGTTGAGGTCTTGGGCGGGCGAGCTAAGGAGGCGGTCGTTGCCTTTGTGTTTGGTGAGTCTGATGCTCGTTGTTATGGCTTGGAAGGCTAATGATCTTGCAGGACCCGCGAAGATGGCGAATGTGAGACCCGGTGATGGTTTGTGGGCAGCTGTGACTAGATATCCTGTTCAGTGCGCCAAGGGTCTTGTTGGTGGCTTCAACCACCACCGAATCAACAAAATGTCATTTTATTTATGAGCTATTTGTAAGTTACTTTGTGATGGTCCGAGCATGATTAACTGCATAATATTAAGTGCATACCGCAACAAGTTCAGTCTGTTCAGGTTATGGCATCTTCCGCGGATCAATGAAAATATATACTTCGGCTTCCGCCGCTTGTGGCGGCTTACTCCAAACTTGAACGTTACCCCGCCGCTTGCATCCTCCCCGGGCTAAAACGGTATGAGATGGATTGTTGCCTAGACATTATGTGATGGTTCGATATTTCGCTGATAACCATGGACTTTAGGGTCCCCTCTTGAGTGCAACAATCATTAGTAAGCCATCTAATACCGCAATAGAATGATTCATGCTTACTTGGCAAGCTTTTCCGCATGTTGCTTTATATCGGCTTTTGTCTCGTCGAGCTTGATATAAGTACGGAAAACGTATATACCCTGTGTTTGGTCGCATTAGCTCTGTCTTGTCCCAAACGTGGGGGTAGCTCACGAGAACGCCACTCAGAATATGGAGAAACCACGCAATGAATGCAAAGGCAAGAGCTGTCCTCCATGAGGCGCAACCCGCCGCATCGACATTGACCGTCCCAACAGGTCCGACTCGCCAGAGGCGACCCCAGTAGTAGCCCCAATAATTGTAGTACCAACTGGAGGAACAGAGATGACTGCCAGTTCTCTATGAAAGCTGGTGAGTGGGTGTTAATAACCAAGTCCCATAGTTATGAGCGTACCGTCTGGAGCAAGCAGTATGCCACGAGCCACATGACAAACATGACAAAGTCGAATGAGAAACCCAAGAACATGGACTTGAAAGGCGGACAGAAACATATGGAGTACATAATGACGAGGCATGCGACGAAGATGGTGTAGATGATACGTTCATCGACATGCGCTTCCGCGATACCCGCGAGGTAGCAGAAGCGTGAGAGGATGCCCAGGACGATTATAGCGGAGGAGAGTTCAGAAAGGCGGAGAATAACAGAGATGACTTCATGCGCAAAACCGGTTTCTGCCATTTTTGCAAGAGCTGTAGTGATGTGTCGAGAATATGATTTAAGAAGTTGGATGTTTTGCTACCCAGACTACCATAAAATCCAGAGCGAGCAGTGGTGTATATACTTGCAAAATGGCTGGCGAGGTGTTTAATCGACGTAATTATGATACAAGTGTCTTAGACTTCGGACTTGGGATGTTGCGCCGACTTCAGTACTGTGTTTTCCGTCTGTCGTATCATATAACAAACAGCTCCAGCCTCCACAAGGTAAACCGTTGAAGTGGCGTGGGGTAAGGCCTACCTCTATTAGCTTAGGTGCCATCACATGCAATGAGATGCAAGTCTGCAACTAACAAAACAACTAACTTAGCGTATCTCAGTGCTTGTTAAATAGAGCTGAACTAGTGCAAGTGCATCTGCCATTTGTAGTGTGACTCTCTATGCAAATGTAGATTAAGTTGAACTAATGAAATAAAATGAAATAAAGAGAAAATACAGAGTACTTAGGTTAAACCAAAAATAAGATAAATAAAAAAGCCAATAAAACCAAACTTCTTCTATTAATAACCCCCGGGCTGAAATTGTAACATCCAAAAACTCTAGTGCTGACTTCGCCATCTTATACATCAGCACAAAGAAATACTCATCAAACCTCTTTTTCCCCAGGGGAATCTCTCAATAGGGGGTATGAGTGAGCAAATCTTCGCACATACCAACAGAGGACCTCGTGATTGTGTGACTTGGTGGCTTTACAAGCATGGTTCCGGATGTATAGAGAGTATTTCCTTTACCAAGATTTCTCTTTGCATGTTGGACATTTTAAAGGAAGCAAGCGATGAGGCCAGCGAGAACTGAGCCGCCCAGTGCGGATAGCTGCGCAGCACCATTAACAATAACCGGGGTTGGCACAGGAGCGCCAGTCTCCAGGCCAAGGCCGCGAAGGAAGTAGCAGCCATCGATAAGAGCGCATGCCTGGTCGGGATACTCGTGCGCTGGATTACAGCTGTAGTCGCCTGCAGCGTTGGTCTGACCAGGAGCAGGGCAAGAAGAGGTGGGCTTGGTGGTAGGCTTGGTGGTAGGCTTGGTGGTAGGCTTGGTGGGTGAGCTGGTAGTAGTGCCAGTCTTCAGGCCAAGGCCTCGAAGGAAGTAGCAGCCATCGATGAGAGCGCATGCCTGGTCGGGATACTCGTGCGCTGGGTTGCAGCTGTAGTCGCCTGCAGCGTTGGTCTGGCCTGGAGCAGGGCAAGAAGAGGTAGGCTTGGTAGTTGAGCTGGTAGCAGTGCCTGTCACCAAACCAAGGCCACGAAGGAAATAGCAGCCATCGATAAGAGCGCACGCCTGGCCGGGATAATCGTGCGCTGGGTTACAGCTGTAGTCGCCTGCAGCGTTGGTCTGGCCTGGAGCCGGGCAGTCTGCAGCTGAAACAGCAGAAATAGCGGCAAGGAAGAGAGTAGTTGAGACCTTCATGATGATATCCTTGTATTGGGGAAAAATGATGGAAATAGGGGAGAGACTTGCAAAATGTGAGTAAGTGATGGTTGAGGTGAAGAGATTGATCTCCAGGTTTAATGGGTTTATATATTTGCACCTGGAGGAGCCGTTTCGGTGAAAACAGCAAAATGGAAGAACTAGACCGTGAGGAATGTTCCACTTAGTTCACAATAGGAGCGAAATACCAGCAAGAGTGTCTTTTTCTATCATTGGCTGGATGGCCATGCACCAGACTAATGCCATATTGGTCAATAGCCAGAACTTTATCTAATCCCTAGATATGGTAAGACACTCTGATGCCGGCCATTCATTTTTGTAAAGCAAGGGAGGTGTTACGCGCAGGTATGTATCTAAGCCTCCATGCGTCATTGACTTATCTTTTAACACGTCAGTAACACTTTCCAGCCTCAGATCGTGACCCAGAATTGATTGTGGCGAATTCAATATCTCAACTTCAAACCGGACAGCCGTTACTTCAAAACGCAATATTACACTATACTATCCTGAGGTGCTTTTTAATGCGATGTCCTGTCCTGTCTAGTCTGTAAGGGCAAGTGACAGGTATGTAGTGTCTTGTGTGGGTATGCTGAATGCAGAAGACAATCTGAAAAAGGGTTCTGAGTCCAGGCCAATGAGTCATTAGCGATTATTAGGCTCTGCCCTTGAGTAAAAGGGCTACCCTTCCAGCCACCATACTATTTTTTAAAGTCACCACCTCTTTGAGGGACTGAAGGTTTGTGGGTCTAGGCTAAAATGCAGTGCAGGGCCCAAAACAAATCGCATATTTGAGCTGGAGACCTATAATATTGCAACCTCTAGAGGTCCACTGCAAAGTGCTTACTCAGGAAGGTGATGAGGCTCAACTAATAAAGTTTATATATACCTAATTATAGCGTGTATCTTATGTCATTGATCTGATGAGACCCACGTTGTTTTATCCTTGTACTGTGGACTATTGTCCTTCAAAGATCGCCGTCTCTCAGTCCACCTCGCCCATACAAACTCTGCCCGGTCTGAAAGATCCAACACCGTTCGCGGCACCACACAGTACTCCAAACCAACCTCACCCAATAGTTGGCAAAAATCGTGAAAAAGCTGCATCCATTGTTGGTCGCTCCCAGGCATCAGTCGCACGCCATCGTCCAACAGCCACGGCGTACCCGCTTCGCAAACCACGATCAGAGAGCTTTCCATTCTTGCCTTGACTGCTTTCCAGACTGGGAGATGCTTCAACCGTTCAACAGCATCAGGTGCGGCATATCGTTTTGCGTAGACTAATGGGTCGAGCCCGGAACGGTCGGAGATGAACCAGCTCGAGGTCTTGAGAGCTTCCTTCTCGGCTGCTGCTTGCGCTTCGAGAATGAGCTGTTGAAGTTCAAAGCACCTGGTAGTTGAGGTTTGTATATCTTCAGCCGAATATTTATGTTTTGCGAGAACAGTTCTTGCGACTTCGGAGACGATTTGTGGCTTATCGATTGCTGAGTCGGCCAGCCAGTGCTCTAGATCGGCCTTTAGCTTGTTGACGAGCGTTGTCTTGCCTGTGGACTGAGGGCCGATGATATAAATATTGGGAATATACGAATTCAAAGACATTGTGAGTTTGGTGGGAACGAGTGTGATTGCGTAGTTTCTCTGAAAGTTGAGGAAGTGAGGGGTCAGCATGCCATGTAACACCAACACCCAATGACAATGACGATGATTCACCAACGGCGCTGAGCTCAATTCCATTGGATAAGCTCATCTGTATTTTATCTAATCTCTCAAGGCTGCAAACTTTCGTCTCCTCATCTGACATTGAATCTCACGCCTCTCTCAGGGCAGCCAGCTAAAATGGCTTCTCAAAAGACCAACAAAGGCTTTCATCATACATTGCTTCCAATCTTGAGTCTCGACGATTTTGTCTGGGACTTTAATGTCCCGAATCTCCCATCACCATCTACTCTGAAGAAGGCCGATCTCATTAAGGCGATTGCCCTTCAGACGGACCTCGAAGAATGCAGGCACTCCATGACCCTCAAAGTTCAATCCAACACGTCCAATCGCGCCACAGCCAAACACGGGACCGATCGCTTAATGATCTTCTCACTCGAATCTTTTAAGCCTCTCGTTTTCGGTGCCGCGGCAAAAGAGCAGCAGCCAGCACCAGATCTTCAGCCCCGCACGCGCCAAGAGGTTTCCGACTACAGCATCAAATGTCTCCGCGCTGGAATAATTCTCAACGGCGTACACTATAATTTTTACGGGCACAGTAATTCGCAGCTCAAGTCGCGATCATGCTTCCTTATGGCTGCGACAAAAGAGGAGATTTCGAGACTGATTGAAGGCATGGGAGATTTCACAAAGATGAAGACGGTGGGTAAGAAGGCCAAGCGAATTGGTCTTCTCTTCTCGTCTTCTAAGACGACCATGATCATTAATCCCGACCGATGCGAGGATATTCCGGATGTTGAGACGGATGAATACGTCTTCACCGATGGCTGTGGATTGATTGCACCCAGTCTTGCACAAGAGCTGTCGCGACGAACAAGAATCATCTTTCGAGATAGCCGATACACACCTTCAGTCTTCCAGCTTCGCTATCGAGGATATAAAGGTGTCGTTACCGTTGATCCTCGAATGAAGAGGGAGAAGGCGTTACTCAAGCTTCGAAAGTCGATGAAGAAGTTTAGTGGTGGCGATGATTACTCTTTTGCAGTGGTTGAGCACTCCAAGGTAAACACTTCAGTGACCCATCAATCCTCGCTGACCTGACCATTCTCCAGCCCTTCTCATACGGATTCCTCAATGACGAGAGTATCATCTTGCTCCACGCTCTGGGCATCTCCAAAGATACTCTCATCTCCAAGCAGCGATATCATTTTGATCTTCTCAACAACGCCAGATCCGACTTCCGCGATGCGTTCCGCTTCTTGAGCTACGTCAATCGCGCCGATCTCGCAGAACGTGTGCTCCTCGAAGGGCATGAGAGCGTAAAGTCCCAGATCAACGGGCAAATCAACGACGAGCTGAAGAAAATGTTGAACAAACAGGGCGGCCAAAAGTGTCGCGTCTTCGTACAAAAGTCTCGCCTCCTCTTTGGAGTTTGTGACGCTTGGGATGTTTTAAAGGAAGGCGAGTGTGCAGTCAAGATCACTCTGGAAGAGAATGGTTTACCACATGCTTTGAAGAACACTGAAATCATTGTCATCAGAAACCCATGTCTTCATCCGGGTGATTGGCAAAAGTTCAAGGTTGTAGAACGGCCCGAGCTGTCCCATCTGGTGGATTGTATCGTCTTTTCGACGCGAGGAAGAAGACCAGCTGCTGACCTGATGTCTGGTGGCGATCTTGACGGCGATACGTGTAAGTGAACCTAGAGATTCGGATTATATGTACTTATGACTCACAGTCTTTGTATCCTGGGACCCCGACCTGATCCCCTCAACAGTCGCAGCTCCAGCGCTATACCCCGGCGGCCGAGAACCAATCCAGTTTAACCCCATCACAGACGACGACCGCCTCGTCTACTTTGCAAAGTACCAGAACGCTTCTCTCGGTCAAGTAAAGAACCTATATCTCGACTGGGCCCGATTTGCAGGCCCAATGAGCGCTCAGTGTCAAGAACTCAATCGACTCTTTTCGCAATGTGTTGATGGCAATCGGATCAAGATCCCCGACAAGCTTCGCACTGCTCCTAAGCCTCTGGATGATGCACCGCCATTCATACTCGATGTTCTTCACGATGACGCGAAAGAATGGGTTCGTCGACTGGCTGTGACTCAAGATGGCGATCTGACTGGGTATGACTTTGACGCTATTCAGCTATTGTTCAGTCGTGAGGATGTTGCAATTGGTGAGTTTGAGTCTGTCAGATTGGCATATTCATGGTGTCTCAAGAACAAGACGCCCTTTGAGAGCATGCTCCATCTCTTCGACTTTAATATTCTCACGGCAGATCAAAAAGCATGGGTCCTCGCTCATGTACCAGGGTTTGCAACTGTAACGGGATTGGTCCAGAATGCTCTATGCTCGTCGGGCATACTTCATCCACCAGAGCTTCAACAGTTCCATTTGGACTATCCCGGGATCAAGTGGAAGAGAACATTCGACTCTTCAATCGATCGCCTCGCAACATTTCACGAAGCTGTTGCAACGAACCTAGAGCTGTTCCAGCGCACGCTCATCGTATTCCAACCAGATGAGCGTCTATCCCTTGCGGTCTACGTCCCCAAGAAGATTGATCGATCGCAAGACTGCCTCATTGACGACACTGGGCGCCTTTTCGCGTTCCCTCATTCACAAGGTCCACAAAGACAGGCTCGCCTCTCTCTACCGACCAAGATGCAGTATCGGCTCTACTGTGACGGAAACGTCTTCCAGCTCTTTGAAAAGCAGCGAGGAAACTCGTGGGTCTTTATAAGTAGACCTGGTAATAACGACCAAGACTACCGCAATATGCAGAACAAAGGCGACAGACGCAGAAAAAGGCAAGAGGTGATTGATCAGGGGGGGCAGGCTGAAGTTATCGCGAGTATTGCATTAGACAAGTTCAGCAGAAGGCTTCAGACACATATTGGAAGAGTGAATCGGTCTCCCATCAGAGCTGCAGTCAGTATAGCCCTTTTGTTCAATCAAGTGACTATCGCTAATCACTCACAGGAAATTTACGTCATTAGCAATCGAGACATCGCTTCGATGCGCAACCTAGATCTTTGGCTTGAACAGATCGATACCATGGAAACAATGCCTCTATTCTCCAAGGAACCGAAAGATTACTCTCTACCCAGTCTGAGTGATGTTTTATCACCTTCTGACCCGTCATGGCTCATTAATATCGTGAGAGGCAACGACATGTCTGCACTCACACGATTGGGATCAGTACAGCAGTACCAGCAAGTATTCCAGCTGGCCCGAAAATCCAGCGACAAGCAGTTTCTAATGCGATGCTTTGAGCATATTCTGACCACTATTGAGGAAGCCGCTGTTGGCCCCAAAGAATTGCTAAATACGATGCTCCAAGTTCTCACCACTGAGCCGACACTTGCTGTAACCTTGACGCCATTTCTGTCTTCATCTCGCTCGGACAAGAACCAAGAGCTGGTTGCACTATTCGAGGCATCCCTATTACCTATTCTTCGGGCATTCATCTTGTCCGCCAACACCATGGATCAGCTCATCTTGGAGCCGTTCAAGAGCATTCTTTCCGCTGTCACACCAGGAAGCTTATCACTTCACGACATAGCAGACCTTTTGGAACTTGCAGCTTTGACGATCCGATCAACAGATTTGGCCATGGATCTCTTTATGGAATGTTTGCAGCCTAACGCGTCTCGCTTCATGGTAGCCGACCCAGAGGTAACCAGCCATTTATTACGAAACATGATCGCCATTGCCTTGGATCACATCGAGGAAGCAAATAATGTTGCCAAGAGACAGCAGGGACTTTATGAGCTGAAGCTATCCCCCAAGGACAAGAAAGGGAATCTGATTGAGATTGACTTTCGGATCGACACGACAGGAACACCAAAGAAGGGATCTCACGTGAGGCTGACGACGGCGTCACTGCCATCCAATGTGTTAGTGGGTAATAACTATTCTATCGACGCCCTCGTGGTCATGTCCGAGACTGGCCGTGCACGCTTCGAGTGTCTTCATCCACTTCCGACTTACTTCGAAAAATGTTCATGGATCTTGGAAGACTGCGGGCCATTCGTCACATCCAAGTCCATGATTGACGCTGTAAAAGATCTATGTATCTACCAAGAAGATTGCTGCGGTGTCGCCAACATCATTTTTGGTCTTCCATCCCCCGACATTCCACGGCCAGATCATTCCTTTAGCGGGATTGAGCGATTGAATGGCAGCCAGAACCAAGCTATCAAGTTGGCATTGAACAGCTCTCTTCTGTGTCTTTGGGGTCCGCCTGGGACAGGAAAGACTGAGACGATCGTCGAGATGATCTGTGCGCTGCAGACGGCTAATCCTAAAGCGCGTGTTTTGGTGACGGCGCCGACACATAATGCAGTGGATAACGTGATGCGACGGTATATCCAACGTCTTCAGAAGCAACCATTAGCAAGGAAGACTCAACCCGATCTAGTACGAGTATCGACAGAGGCATGTTACCAATCACCTATCCAAAACGGTGAAGTCAGCTGACTTTATGTAGGTACGCAAAGTAGCAGATGATCTACGCAAGTATACATGCGACGCCATGGCAGGGCAGGAGATTCACTCCGACTACAAGGCTATGAAGAAGGCCACAGAAATGGTCAAGCGGAGTGACACCATCTTCACCACTTGCATTGGAGCAGGCATTGGATTGATTCGCTCAGAGTTCTTCGACATTGTCATTGTTGATGAGGCTTCTCAGCAAACAGAGCCTAGCTCATTGGTCCCACTTGTGAAGGGCTGCTCGCAGGCAATACTTGTCGGAGACCATGTACAGCTACGGCCGACGGTCAACCAGACTGCGCTAGCACTCGAATTTGACATGTCACTCTTTGAAAGACTTTACGCCGAAGCCAAAGGCTCCAAGGATAATGGCAGCTTGAGGACGTTGATGTTGGACACGCAGTATCGTATGCATCCGAGGCTCTGCGAGTTCAGCTCGGGGCAGTTCTACGAGGGAAAGTTGAAGTCGGGCATCAGCAGCTCTGCCAGGCCACCTATCAAGTCTGACTTCCCGTTCCCGCCAGCAAGGGTCACGAAACAGAAGGGAAGCTCCCATATTGCGATGCAAGACTACGAACGAGCCATCTTCATCAACTGCGACGCAAAGGAAATGCCAGGCCAAAAGTCGAAAGAGAACAGAGGACAAGCAGAGCTCTGCCTTCACATCTGCAAGCTGTTAACCAACTGTCAAGAGATCGAGAGCCCATCACACTCAATTGTGGTCTTGACGCCCTATACTCGTCAAGCCGAAGTCCTCAAGCGCATGCTCTCTAGTATACCCTACAAGATCGAGGTCTCGAGTATCGACGGGTTTCAGGGACGTGAGGCGGACATCATCGTGTTTGTGACGGTGCGATGTAACGAGCACCGCCAGATCGGGTTCTTGAAGGACATGCGAAGGATGAATGTTGCTCTGACTCGGGCAAGATCAGCGCTGATTGTTGTTGGGAACCGGGTGACGTTAACCGAAGGCACGGCAGATGAGGAGAGTGCGGTTTTGTGGAGGAAGATGCTTGGAAGTCTGACAGAGGTGAAGCTGGACATTCCCGTCAAGGACACCGTTAAGAAAGGCTGATCTTGCAAACATTATTTTATCCGCTCACTTCACAGGCATAAATCTCACACCGTCTCAGCTAGTGGTAGACGGAAAAGGTAGCTTCCGCGGAAACGTCGGACAAGCCTCCAAAAGTGCCTCCTACAAAATAGTGCTAAACGCGGATACGGGTATCTCATAAACACCGATAGGTCAAAGGCCGGGGGTGTATATATGCCGAGATCCGAAAGCCACCACGTCCATAGGGCAGAAAGGGCCATGCAGTCATCATTTCACATGAAACGCTGTATCCGGAATACTATTCGTCGATCATACCGCGGCATTAGAGCAAATCAGCCGAGTGAGGCCACCTTCCTGAAATGCCGTCTTACGTGAGGTCTAGATTTAATGCCTCTTTGCGGCACATGATTGAAGATCTTTGCAGAGGGGACCTAGGCTAGGGGAAGAAAGAAAACTCGAGACCTTGATCCTAAATGACAAAAAGACTTAGGTAACTTCACACAAATTTAGAATATCTACACCAAGTTTAGGATATCTTTTACTGAGTTTATTTTGGCACCCTATATGAAGGTCTTGTGTTTTCTTGCTCCCCGAGGCTAGGCTGGAAGAGGACGTGGTTTTACGGAGGAGAGGCCCGTTGGGTGAAGTGACCATACGCTATACGGAATAATCTGCGGCCCGCGCCGCATATAAGCTCCGAGTAAGACATGCGGACCAATCGGCAGTCGTGGTGAAAAGGGGCCCACGGACATTATTACACGAGCTAAGCCACTCCTACGGAGTTTAGAGCCGAAGAAGATGACCTGAGAGGCGTTGCTCCAATTAGGCATGATTTTCAGGACTGGTGAGATGGAAATGGAATCACTCAAGTGCTTATGGTCACGATGGAATCAGTTCTGAAACACAGGCTGAGTATCAATAATCGAATAAGACAACAGTGGTGCAGTTTTGGTGTTTGTCATACTCACGCGCAGGATCGTGCATTGCTCTGCCACGCTTGAGTAACAAGTCAGACTACCTAGATGCACTGAGAATAGTAATCAATTCACCGTCAGCAAATGGAGAAACAAAATCAAAGCTAGGAGCCCTGGGGAAAGTGGACTGTCAATCGTAGGAATCTCACCCGCTGCATTAGCTCTCGCACTCTCACCTCGGACTTAACCCTGACTTGCAGCTCCAATTCTCACAAGTTCTTTCGTTCAAGTTCAGGTAATACAATTAGAATCACAAACATTCCAAAACGAGACAATGGTTCTCCTCCGTGTTGATCAATTATGGAGCTCAGCATCTCGGTCCCGAACTCTCAAGTGGAATCCGAGCTTGCGGCACATGCACCTTTATTTCCCACTCGGACCATCGGGCGACGTGCCACACACGTGCAATTCTCAGGGTCTATGTTATACGAGGTGCATCCTTGTCAACCCAATGATCCTCAATTATGCAGGTATCGTAACAACGACTTATTCGCCTCTGTGACTTGTCCACTAACTATTACTACACAAAATAGTAAGTACAGGGCATACGAGTGCGGCTTACTTAGTTGGTGAACCTTGTATCCCAGTATGTGTAGCCGCTCATTTCCTAGATGGGAAATACCTCAAGGTGAGGCGATGGCCAATGAGTAGAGCGTCAACCCGAGATGATGATGATGATGATGGACTAATTTCTTATGGTCGAGGACTTTTGAGAGGATTCAGTTGCATGAGGCGAAGTGCAGCACAGACTGTCTCATGGAATCGTGAGAGGAATACTATCTTAGGAATCACTGTTAAGCAAGAATTAGTAAGACTTGCCTTTGCAAGACTTCTGAAGAGTATAAGAAGCCGAATGATTCTCACTGTTCACTGTCTCATCATCCACACTCATCTCCTCATCTATTCAACCTCAACAGATTCTGCAGCAATCATGAAGGCCACTCTCTTCGTCTCTCTCCTCCTCTCTCTCGGCGTCACAGCCACTCCTGCCACCGACACCGTCACCATTGAGGACGGCGGCCACACCTACACTGGTATCGACAAGGTAAGCAAACTAACCTCTTCACAACCATCGCAAAGCTGTGCTGACACTGCATCTCGCAGCCCCTCCTCGCCCTCCGTGGTCTTGAGGCTCGTTGCAGCTGCTTCCCCTGCTACTCTCCCCACGCGGACTGCCAGCCTGGAAAGTGCCAGTGCGCTGGTGACTATGGCTGCTGGTCTTGCGGCGGTGGTCGCATGCAGTGCCAGCCCGGCCCTGGATCTGGACAGTGCTGGACTTAGGTTTCGGTGACGGCTTTGATGGGGACTCTGTACATGCAAACGGATGGGGTTCCTTTCTGAAATCACTCTATACTCTCGGCAACAGGTTCTGAGATTGAGATTTATGAATAACTAGTCACTCGTTGAAACAAAGCTTCTTATATGCGGAATTCTCCCGACTCACTAGAGCCTAACGGATATAATGCCAAACAGTGAATGCATCTGCACCCTTATTCCAAGGGCTCCAAAGCTCCTCTTCCACTGACCTTGACCTCACCAATCTGCCTCACAATCGCTTCTGTAGATGCCCGTGTCCTCCTGTCAATCCAATTACCATGTACCTGAGCCTTAAGATGCATCGGAAGCTGTATGAACGCAACCGGCTTCTCAAACTCCCTCGTATCAAGAACAACAAGTTCACTCCTATTAGCAACACGTCGCTCAAGCATAGCGATAACCCATCCATCCCCCTCGGGTGCATCAGGCGTACGAGGAATAAAGATTGGTTCCTGGACGAGAGAATCCTTGCCTGCAAAGAACCACTTTGTTTTGCCAGTGCTCTGATTATGCATTGCTAGGCCGTTAAGTCCGTGGAAGATGTTTGTCCCGCCTTGGGAGGTCTCGGGGATAAAGACATTCAAGAAGAGGTATTCATTTCTCTTAGTCATGAAACGCTCGTCAATTCGTGGAAACTCGGATGGCACGTCGAGGATGACCTCTGGATCTGCCATCTGCGTCCCACTTGGGGCATTGAGGTCGATCTCCCAGCGAACAAAGTCAGCTTTGGCGTCTGGAGCTGGCATTCTCCCGTCCACAGGCGGAAAGAACGGAAAAGCATTGTCGTGAACCCGAGATGTCTCGAGATACAGTTTTCCGTTGTCTTCCTCCCAAGCACTACCTGCATGAATATTCATACAGTTCTTCCAATGATAGACTCGATGCTCTCCTTGCTTCCAAGAAGCTGGAATCATGGAGGTTTTCCGGCGGGGCACCACGATGAAAGTAGCTGGAAGGTTGTAGTCCCAAGCCCAGTGCTGTTTGCCCGCTTTCATCCTCTCTACATTAGCTTCAAAGGGCCAAAGGATGAGGACGATAAAGTTTGCTGTTATGACGCAGTCGTGGATGGGAGCGCACCAGGGAGACTGGATCCATTGCTCATCATGCTTGATTCCTTTCTTGTCCAATGAATAAATGACTATATCTCTAGTCGCTAGACCCTTGGCCTCGTACCCATAGACAACGAGCTCATCGGAGAACGGATCAATTTTTGGATGCGCTGTGAATGCTTTTGCTTTGACCTGGCCTCCAAACGGATCGTAGCAGAGAGTCTCAAGAGTATCAGGGTGCATTTCATAAGGAAGGGCAGATTCCTTAAGCGCCAAGAGACGATCCGCCCAGTAGACCATGTTTGTGTTGGCAGTGGAGTCAACAGCTGCTCTTACACAGGGATGATGCGTGAATGGATTCCTATACAACCCGAATAAAGCCTTGCCGGCTTTTCTCTCAAGCTTATAGCGCTCTGTTTCAACGTATTTGATCTTCATGTCCACTCTACCGTTGTGGATCCTAAAGGCAGAGACGTGACCGTCGCCGTCGAGAGGAACATTGTCAGGGTGAGGAGGGACGAAGGGATCGCACATGACTCGGTAGAAAGTTCCGTCGATAGCAGCTGGAATTTCGCCTAGGACCACAAGATCACCTATTTCTCCTTCAATTCGACAGGGAGAGTTTGAACCAGCCAGATCGAAGGCTTGGGGCCATTTTGATTTGAGGCCATGGTGTTCTTCAGGTGCAGACATGATGACAATTGTTTTTGCGGGAGAGAGCTTCGGTGACTGAATTAGCGGTCAAGTAGTAGTGTGCTCTTTATTTTCATCCCATATAAACACGACGGATGACCGTTTATATCTTTATAAGTCGATCATGATACCTTTCAGCCCCACTAACTTGGCGTCGCGATGTCTTCCACCTCCGCACTCTAGACAACCGTCACTAAACTGAATTTGGTGCAAGTCATTCTGCTGAGCATGTGGGGAGAGCGGAAAATGTCCACCGCCACAAAAAGATAATGGCCAATGGTGATAGAGTCAATGTCATTTCCCCGCGTTTTTCTCCAAACAAGGTTCCAACTAAGCGCGAAACGGGATATGATCTGTATGTGGGATTGTTATATCGGCAGTTCTACTGCCATTTGTCCGTAATCATGTTCAGTCAGACGTCGATAGTCCTGAGGGTACTTTGAACTCATACACTCGTAACATGCAGACTGTCCTACGCACCATGGGCACGGCGATAGCTACATCTCAACAGCAGCTGTCAGCTTCGCTACCCCGGCATGCAGGTATGCACTGTAGCTTAGGTCCCTTAATAATTGCTCCGGTTGCTGAGGGATATTGTCGACTGACAGGAATCTCGACCTCGTCCTCTGTTTGTTCATTCTGTCAACGGACGTTCACTCGCAGGTATATGTCCTCCCTCCACTGTCCGCCGCCATGCTCACTCATGATGCTTCTCAGGGATGCTCTTAAGCGCCACTGGGGTATTTGCAAAGTCCGCCTTCAAAGCGGATCAGATATACCGCTTCTACCTGCTCGTAAACCTAGATTGAAGAAACCAAGGGCCTGCAATCGCTGCGTCCGTTTAAAGCGCGCTTGCGATCGCAGTGTTCCTTGCAGTACATGCAGTACACGGAATTACGAGTGCTCTTATGAGCGGGCGTTCAGTTCCACGACATCAGCGGTTTCAGAAGGTTTGCCACGAACAGAGACAAATAGTGTATACCGACAAGAGCTATCTAATGGTGCTATGCAAGAGGCTGGCGCAATTCCTGATGTTTTAAATGACTTCATTGACCACTCACTAGAGTGGCTACCGTGCGAGTCCCTACCGTTACAAGTTCTCGACTTTGCTGTTTGGAACGACATTCCCGGAGGCTACTTGCATCTTGAACACTATTTCGATCAGGCCACTTCACGAAAAAAATTGGTCCTACCATTTCTGAAACGATTCACCGAGTCATCTGGCATCGCCGATGGTTTCGACTGCGGCACCGTGGCTCAAAGACGCCAATTGAACGAAACCGTCGGTGACTCTCCCTGTCAAACTTTGGCCACCAAAACACGCGAGATTGTGTCCATGATGAAGAGATCAATGACTCGAACGCGATTATGCTCCGATGCGGGCATCGAGTGGTCTCCAGTCGTGGAAAAAGCTTGTCTCGACTTCTTTTCACCCCCCAATCTACATAGGTTCTTACGTCTCTTCTGGTCCGGCTGGTATCCTAACAGTCCGATAATTCACAAGCCGACCTTCAATACCGAAGCTGAACCCCCAGGACTGATTGCATCTTTGACGGTTTTAGGCGCGTGTTTATCCCCAGACTCGGATGACTGCGTCCGTGCAATGGCGTGGCTCACTCCCGTGGAAGAAGCAGTCTTTGCCGACGATATCCTGTACGATGATTTTATCATTGCATCTTCACAGCTTGTGGGGGATGAGTCGGTAGTATGGGATAAGCTGAAGGCGCTGCATGCTGCGTATTTTATATGTATCGCGCAAAACTGGGAGGGGTCGAAGGAGGGGAGACAGCGTGTTCGAAAGGATCGCTACAGTCGCATTGTCTCAGTATGTCTCATCGCATGGGTATCAAAATACTTCACTAATCGTGTGATAGATCGCAAGATCTTTTGGTCTCTACAACTTGAGCATGGAGAAGCTGGGTACTACATTTCCTACTCAACAGAAGTGGGCCAGGTTCATACTCCTTGAAAGCATGATTCGGTATGTCCAGATTTGGCTCTTATCAGCTCTCTTCTAACTATCTAGGACGGTGACTTATATCTATCTTCTTGACTCCGCATTCGTTCTCTACTATAGACTGCCGCCGAGGGTCATATCACTCGAGCTTAATGCCGGGCTAGTCTGTCCTGAGGCTTGTTTTCAGGCAGAATCAGCCGCAGAATGCTTCCTACAACTGCACATGGCTACTAAAGTAAGACCGAACCAATCGCGACTGACAGTATCTTCTGCTGTCAGGCTTTTATGCTCACCTCACAACGTGGACCTAAGTATGTTTCATGACCTCAGTTCCTTCAACATGTTCACAATTATCTCCGGTAGGTTCAACGTCCTCCTTCTTTCGTTTCTGACATTGGTGCAGCCCTCTGTTGCCTGGTGTTCCAGTACCAGACCACTCTGATCGACGCGTTACAGATAACTCCAGCAGCCACTGGCCTGAACCGATGGATATGGCTGTGGCAAAGAGGTGGCCATACGGCAGTTAACTCCAACAGCTACTCTGTCGAGAATATGTGGAAACGTGTCGGGTTCATGCAACATGCCAATGAATATTATCATCTTGCTTGCGCAATGCTTGAGCGATGGAAGCGTACTGAGGGACAAATTAGCGATACGTTAGCCGCCTGGGCAGAACCACCTGGGTCGGTACAGGGTAACCCAAAGTATGACGATTGCGAAATGGTCCAGGTCAAGACTCTCATTCATGATATGGAAAATATGACCTATTAATTGGGTGTTGTCTTACTTCATTATTTGCTCTTACTGGGTATGTAATAATGCCTCTCGGACAAACATACCGCACATACTTCTTAACTTTCCATTCACCCCGGTGAAACATCCTCCGTTGAGAGTTGAAATGAAATAGGCTAACTGTTCTAAGATATATAGGCGAGCTGTCAAGACACTAGTCTGCTTTGAGAGTCACACGATCTATTTTAATCGCTTTCCTGACTCGGCTCATTTTACACTTGACTGAGCTCATGACTCGCGTACAGTTACTTAGCCAATACCGACATGCTCAGCGTCGCATTGATACAACATCAGCAACAGAAGAAGCCAAAGCGCCAAGTGCTTACCCGATCATTAACCGCCAGCCCGCATCATTTGGTAAGAACTAATGAAAACAGTGGAAATTACTCCGCAGGGGTCGTTTCAGACGAGGGTACTAATTCACGTCTGACTGCATGTTCCAGAGTCAGCACCGCTTAACGTTTTCCGAAGCCCAACAAAGTGCCATTATCATCCAATACAGTAAGTCTTGTGCCTTTCTAACATCGACTGCCTATGATTTTCTGGCTGCGATCATCAAAATGGCTTCTCTGAGCAATTCGCCTCGTTGGTGTTGGTTCGCTAATGCACTGGGGGGTAGAAAAATCCTCCCACCACCAATTTAATGTCGAGAGAGCGACCACGAGTTTTGCTCCGCGCTTCTCAGCCGCGACATCGCAAGGGACTTCCCAAGGCTCGCACTGGATGCATGACATGCAGGTGAGATTAACGAGATCCACTCTGATAACACCGCGTGCTGATCTGGATCTATCCATGCAGAATCCGTAAGATCAAATGTGATGAGGCGACGCCGGGCTGTCAACGATGCATTGGCACTGGTCGTAAATGCGATGGTTATGGCGATACAGACACCGTGACCCAGCAGACACTAATCATTCGAGAGCGTCCGCCTATTGCACGTGCCCTCGATAATAACCATGGGGAAGAGCTGAGCTTTCACGCCTTTGACTACTACAGAGGCCATGTCTCTCACCAAGTTGGCGACACGGTGGACAGCGACTTCTGGGGTAATCTGGTGTTGCGACTTGCACCCACAGATCCTGCGATACGGCATGCCATCTCAGCGATCAGTCTGATGTACGCTGAAAAGACAAAGGATACAATAGACCCTTGTCCAAACTACAGGCCCGCCATCGTCGAATACAACAAAGCCATCCTCGCCGTTCGGTCATGGCCGTTAGCGACAGAGTCAAGAGTGAAGCCTCTACTCGTATGCTTACTATTCGTCTGTATTGAGTTCATGCTAGGCCATGAGCACCAAAACGCAGCCAAGATGCACATCCTCCAAGGACGAAGGCTCCTTGCAAACATCAAGGACCGAAAAACACCAGAAACCGATATCATTCGACAATACCTGGCCCCAATGTACTTACGGCTCGCATACGTCGGCAATGATAGAGTTGACTTCCCAAGGCATCTGTTACAAATGACGACGGCGCCGCTCAAGTTCGTGTCTCTGGCTGATGCGCGTTGCGTCTTGTACTACCTCGTCGATATCGGATTCACTCTTATCTATGATGTCAAGTCGTATCGTTCAAACGATATCAATGAAACTCCGGATACTGAGGGAAATACATTAAAGACAAGACACGAACGCATCAATCGTGAGCTGGCGAACTGGCGTCATGCATTTGAAGCGTACCTTGCGTTCAGTGATCTCAACGGACCAGGCACAAGAACCGCAAAGCTTCTCACACAAAGGCACTGTCTCATGGTAGTATTCCTAGACTCAATGGTTATAGGGTCAGACTATGTCTGCGATAGGAACAGCCTGTGCGAGTTTTCCATCGCCACTGACTGTGCAACTTTCACGATCAAGTACGACAATGAGATCATGCAAGGCCCATCATTCACTTTTGAAAGTGAGGTTGTCGGTCCGGTTTATTGGATAGCTGCCAAATGTCGACAGCCGGCAATTCGGAGGAGAGCACTCGAACTCCTTTACGAGCGAGAAAAGACCAACCGAGTGGAGAGTCTTACGATGATAAAGCATACCATTGCCATGGCCAAAAGAGTGATCGAGATCGAGGAGGAGGGACTTGATATACCACGTGGCACGAGACCCGTCCAAGATTTCCCAAACAGGTATGAAGTTATCTCAAGGGAAGAGTCTAGCGAATGGGCTGAGGGCTTTCTTACGGACCAGAAAGAACAGTGGCCTGTGCTGTGGGATCTCGGGAGCCATTGCTCAGACATTCCGACGAAGCTGACGGGGATTACTGCTGCGAGGGAGCAGAAGGAACTTTCTGAGGGACTAGCTAAAGGCTGGCCTAGAGAGCGACTTGTCTGGCCATATGGAATTACTAGAGAGCGGAGAGTGTTGAGTGTTGTCGTCAAAAAACACACTGCCAATGATCTATGGCTGGAGTATGTGAGGGAACCCTTGACAGCCGGTGGGGACTATCGAGTTATGAAGGAGCATATACGATTCACATAAAGATATGATAATTGTTGGAGTACAGCGCTTCAAATTAATCCCACGCGGCACTAAACTGTTGCTAGCACACTACTATCGCTACGAAAGTGTAACAAGAGCAGATAGTCTATTCTAGAATCTATGTTTTTGCCTAGATAGTGGCAAGGAACTTGCAATCTTCAGCAGCCATCATTATCCCGTTTCTCCTGCTTTTCCATCCTCCAATTCTGCCCTTTCCACATAACTACCCAAAGAAGAACGCTGAAGATTACCCACACTCCTGAGACAAAAACGGAAGTCCACCCCAAGCCCCAGTCATTTATCATGGGATCAGCAACTGCCACAGCCCCTGCTCCGACCAAGCACCTGGCGAGGTTATTCGCTGCCACGGCTGTCGCTGCAGAACGTGTGTTGAGATCGACAATAAGTGTGTTCAAGTTGTTCATCGCACCAGAAATAGACAACGCAAGGAAGAACAAGGGAATCTCGATTCCTGCAAGCGCCAGTTTCTGATCCATAACCCAACCATAAATGATAATCATCGCGCAGGCCATGTATACAAATGGCAGGGATATCTCGATCCTCATTCTCTCAATAGGGAGCAGTTTGAGGTCTTGCTGTTGGTTTTTGACAATTTTTATACCTTGTCTCTTGGCATGTCGTCGGAAGTTCCAGTCCATTACGAGGCCAGCTGTGTATCGATAGCATATGCTTCCAACTCCCATGGGGAGATAGCACAGTCCGACCACGACAGAAGAGTAATTGAATCGTGAAGTCAACTGAGCTGAGAGCGTTGACAGTACCATGTAGTAGCCGCCATACATGAGGGCACTGAAGCCGAGGATAAGGCCGGTTTCTTTTTCGAAGAGGATCTTTAGGGAAGCGAATGGGTTCGGTCGTTTGCGACTTCGTTGTTCAACAACGGGTTCGACAAGTCCCTGCTTTCGCTGCTTGAGATATCCAATAAGTGACATGTTCCACCACGGTGGACTAATACCTCCATTACCAACAACGTTTCGGCAAGTCTCTGGGAGAAAGATAAAGATGACGAGAAATAGTGCAGCGGAAAAGATCGTGAGGAACCAAAAAATAGACCTCCAGCCAAGATAGTGATCAAGAAGGCCACCTATCACAGGTCCAAGGGCAGGGCCAAGGGTGACTCCCATAGAAGCGTAGCCAAGATATTTCCCGCGCTCAGCTCGGGTCACCATATCGGCGGATGTCGCACTACCGAGGGCAATAGTTGCACTGCTTCCACAACTCTGGAGGCACCGCAGAATAATTAAGGCGACGTAACTATTCTGCAAGGCGAGACCGATATTGGCCGCGAGATAGATAGCACAGCAAATCATGTATGCTGGTCTACGCCCATAAGTGTCTGAAAAGTTTCCGATAAACGAGGGTGTAATTCCTTGAAAAATCTGTCATAAGGCGTAAAGATCGGAGGACTTTGTAAAGATTTCTTACCAAATACGTTGTGACTGTCAAGTTAATGAGAGAGATAGATACATCCATATCCTTGGCAATGGAAGGGATTGCTGGAAGAAATACTGTACTGGACAAGGGGGATATCATTGCTAAAAATGATACCAAGATAATAATGCCGACCTTCTCCCAGTAGGAGAAAACTGTATATGGAGGCTCCGGATTGTCAATCGAGGGCCCAATTTCCAAGAGATGTTTTGGATTCGAGAGGTCTGTATCTTCTGAGCTGGGCTCGGGGTCATGTGGTGAACTGTCTGTCTTTACCGGTCTACTCAAAGTTAATGGATCAGGTCTTGTTGGCTCGGACATTTCTTGGTTTGCAATCTTTGTAATGTAAAAACTAAGTTCTGTCTAAATGTCTAAGAAAACAGAGTGAAATAATGGGGTAAGTAGAGGGTATTTATATATTGACGTTGACTGTATATAGACTCGTAGGTAGCAAAGATTACAACTACTTCAGAGGGCTTGTTAACTGCTGGGTTGATGAGATGTTTTGCCGATTCGGTGCCGAGGGTGACTGTTGCTCAACTAACCGTCAGGCGAGTCGTAGTACCAGAAGGTCAGCGCTGTAATTGGCTAGAAGATGCGGGAGCCTCTATACTACCTTGCCGGGTTTTAAGGAAAATATCCGGCGTCAATACAGGCTGCCTCACAAGTAACTCCGGCCTATTAATAAGCTATGAAAATGTCTTTCACCTAACCCAATGGCTGTAAGTAACAGCATCTATAGGCCATATTCGGTTTCTATAACGATCAATTAAAATGCAATTGCATACACTATGCAGTCATGTATACTCTGTAGGTGTATATACAACGTGCCAGTACAAAGTTCAGCCACTTGCGCCTGCAACCTCTGTATTGAAGACCTGGTGGATGGAATCTCGAATAAAGTCGAGCAGCTTCATGAGCAATTCATACATCTGCGTCGCGCTTCCATGTTCAACACCGCGCATTTCCTGGTTAAGTAACGAGAGAATTGCTCCATGTCCGTCAACCCGGCAAAAGTTGCGGATGATTTGGAAGAATCTGTTCATGACAGTATCCTTTATCGGTGTTGATGTACTGAGAGGCTGATGGAATAGAACAAACCACATATTAAGCCACTTCTCCTCATCCGTTGAGCCACTCTTTAGGCGTTTTTCAAGTCCTTCCCAAGCTTGGCGTGATACTCCGCGCTCATTTACCAAGGGCGCCGGTGCACATTCAGCAGAAACTCGATGCATGTTCCTGGAAGATTCGTCTGGGGAGATCATACCACAGATTTCGCATATAAACCCTTCCATCTTATTGGCATCGAAAGTCAAATGAGTTCTCTTTAAGTGTTGTTTGACGCGCCCGTAAGTGTCAAGCTTCAAATTGATACATCCGAAATGGCGGATTGGATCCCTTATGTAGTAAGGGCAGGCCAAGAACGATTTCGACCATGTTGGTGACCTTGCATTGGATCTGTGGCTGCCTGACTGGTCATTGGGGTTCCAACCAAAATTACTCAGAACATCTCCATCGTGGCCAACATCAAGACGCGATGTCAATGACTGAGCTGCGGGTGCGTTCGGAGCAAGCACGGTGGGGAGCAAATGTGATTCTGACAAAAAAGCGGTGGAGATTTGAGGGGCCTGGATGCGAGTCTCATGCGACGCGCCGACACACGGAATTTGTCCAGACAACATCAATTGCTGTGGGTTAATTGTCGCCTGTTCATGCTGCAGAAGCTCTAGTCGCCAGTCTTCAGAGTTTGAGGCCAAATGAAGATCATGAGGGGTCGTGGACCTGTGCTGACAGGCCTCTGGGATGGGGCTTTCTGGGGTCACTAATATGCGCGTGTTAGCAAGTGAAAAGTTCTTGAGTACAGCAAAAGTAATGAAATAACTGACGAAAAACAGCATTTTTCTTTGAATCTGCCGACATCGAGAAGATGAGATTACTCGTCTCAAATTTTAAAAGCTTGATGAATTGCTTGCTAAGCTTTTTCGTGTTTTGTTAAGACTCGCGTTGGTTAAGACTCGCGTTGGTGTCAAAAGTGTCGTGTGTTGGGAAACCAAGAACAGTCGGTCAGCCTTGTTTATTATATCCGCCAACATTGCACATTTGTGTAAAGTCCTTTTTCTATTAGTGAAATCAATAATTTTGTGATTCTTGAAATAGGGCCTTAATTTTCTGAACAATTCTTGTGCTTCGCATTATTATTGGTGCCATGGTGTGCATCACTCGATAAGAGGGTGTGAGACCGGGGCCTCATGTGTCACAGAAGCACCAAAATCCATACCGATTTATACATTGATATTTTCCCATTATTTAAGAACATTACTTTACCTTTTTGTAATCTTAATAATATGGCGTTGTTGTAATTAGGGGATCTAGTAGGTCGCCCTCATGGAATTATTAGTAAGTAGTAAATTCACTGATGTTGGACATTGGGCTTCACATCTGGTGCCAGCTATGGGTCCCAGACCGTGCGAGCGACCCTGGTCTCCGGAGCGAGCTGCGCCTAGACGTTCTTAGCCCCAGCCCCATAGCAAGTTCATCGGATTGTCCACTCTCTCAAAAAATGTCTGAAGGGGAGTTACAGGAAGTAATCGAGGACCACCGCATCGCTGCGAGAAACGCCATTGAAGCTGGGTTCGACAGTGTCGAGATTCAAGGCGGTGGTGGATATTTATCTGATCAGTTTCCCCAGGATCTTACCAATAAGAGCACAGACCATTGGGGCGGTAGCATTAAAAACCGCGCCAGGTTCCCCCTTGAGGTTGTCAAAGCAATCGCATAGAAGATCGGATCCGATAATGTGACGATGCGCTTAACCCCATGGAGCGACTTCATAGGCATGGGAATGAACGACTTTATCCCGACCTTCACCTTCATCGTCCGGCATCTCCGAGCCCTAAATGTTGGATTTGTTGACCTGATTGAGGAACGTATCCGAGGAAATGTCAATGCCGACTGCAGTAGGGATAACAATGTGTCTTTCGCAGTTCACGCCTGGGGCAAGCAAGCGCCCATTATGATTAGTGGTGGTTTCAATGGCGAGTCTGCGCAAAAGGCTGTCGACGAGACTTACAAGGACTACAAGCTGGCTATCGCTTTGGTCGCCACTAGACGAGCAACCCTGATCTGCCCTTCCGTATAAAGGCGAACATTTCACTTGTCAAATATGACTGCTCAACTTTCTACACGCCAAAAAGGAGTAAATGTTATAGCGATTGGGCGTTTAGTGATGGGTTCTTAGCATCAAGCAGCACTATCCCAACTGCCCGGCAGATCTAACTATAGATCTAGTAGACTTTCTATGATGTATATATTTATACTTTCTTCTTGAGTGACACCGCACAGACTCTTTCACCAAGTTATATCTTCAATTCGTTAGAACACGACGAGTCTCCTGCCCGACTTTCGAAACACAGAAGCCTCATAGAATGGCTCAACTAATACCGAAACGGGCAACACGACCAATCTTGCATAACGATACATTGACCGTTACCGTCTCTGTTACGGATTTTGCACAATGTTCTGTCAAGTCTGCAGCGAGGTCCTGCCAGCCCTCGAAGGTACAAGTTTTTGGGAGCTATGGGCATCTCGATAACACCTATCCTATGTATTTGATTCAGGCTTGAAGTGTCAAACCACGCTAGATGGCGCAGGAGCGAAGATGAAATAAATTCTAAGTTAAGAAGGTAATGATAGATAATAAAGCAATATACTACTTAGGTACTAGAACACTATTACCCTAGGTAAGGGGCTCATAATGCTCATCACGTAGCAGAGCTAGTACAATCTAACTCACCCATCCAATAATCTGTAGTGCCCCAAGGCTAATCTTACAACCAGTTAATATAAAGTAAACCTGCATACTTTACTCGCTAGCAGACTCATAAAAGGAACTCAATACCGACCAAGGCCCATAGCCAACCGAAGCACCTCCTAAGTTACTATAAGAATCAAAATGCTCCTCTATATACTTCATGGCGCCTGTAAATTCAATACTTATATCGGCAGCTACAATAAAAGATATTAGGTAGGCTAGAAATTGGCTCTATATGGCTATATCAGCAGCATTCTGCTCCTTAATTATCTTCTAGAGTAAAATCAGGCCTAGGCTCAGCTTAATTCCCTTTACGACCTTAATATTAACATCACTAAAAAGCTCACCAAAAAGCTAAAGGCAGTTAATATTAACAACAAGGGCCAAGAAAGAAATACTTACATCGCAGCCTGCCATATCTAACTGCATAGACTTATGCAATTCGTTATAGGCATATGACCCGCCAACCGACTAAAGTCCAAAGCCAACCGATCTGCCAACCGACTAAAGCCCAAAGCCAACCGATCCGCCAACCTTTATGCCCCACTCTAACTCTATGGAATGATTCTTAACATCCAAAGCAGAGTAGGAAAAGGTGATATTTATCCATGGATCTGCGTCTTGTGCAGTCGGAGGCTGGTCTGAAGGAGATTTGAAAACTGGATTGGCCATCTCCAAACCTCGAGCTGCCAGCGTTGTACCTGCTGGCTCTCCATTCTTATCAGCTGGAGCTGTGGCAGACACAATTACCGGTACGCTTGTGGCGTTGTTTGTATCGTCTCCAGCCTTGGCTACCCGTAGCGACTTGAGCCTATCCAGGTCCTGCTTAATCGTGGTTTCCTTTTTGTCGAACCAGTTGAGCGCATCCTTCTTGGTGCTTTCAGTAAGAGCGATTTGAGTGTACTCATTCCAAGCTTGTTGGTTTGTTTTATTCTGGTCTTGAGCAGCCTGAAGCTCTGTTTGGGCGTCACGGACTTCCTTCTCGGCTTTCTCCTGGTCTCCGGGCTTGCCTTGCTGAAGATTATAGATAACGCTAGCCAAGGCCGCTTGTTTCTCGTACAAGGTTGTCATAGCGGCTTCGACCTTCGCTTTACTGTCCTCAAGGCTCTGCGACGGAAGTAAAGCACCCGCCACTAGGTACTGTAGCTTTCCATCCTTATCCTTATCAACTAGCAACCTTGCCAGCTCGTAAGACCTTAAGAGGCTCTCAAGTCAGGCTATTTCACTATCCAGCTAAGCCAGTATATACGTGCCGTTATGTGCGTACCAGCCTTCTGCTTTGCGCTTGCAGTACATAGCCCACTTACTGGGTATAAAATTAACTCTATAGACCTTACTGAAGCCAGTGGCATTAGGGATTGTAGAGTTGCGTAGAGACTCTTTACTGTCTTTAATGCGGCTTATAGTTAAATTAATGTCAACCATACTAAAGCTGTAGTCTACGTTATACTTTTAGCCATTAACGACCCAATCTATCTAAGCAGCTTAAATACTGGCTTTAAACATTAAGTAAGTCTCTTAATTCTAGTTATTTATATACTCTTTCTGCTTGCTGGTATAATCAGGACTGGGACCAGGCGGGAACAGCTTTTGGGCCCGTTCTGTATACAGTTGGTTAGCACTATTATTAAATTATCTTTAATAAGTTCAAGAGACACTTTCTGCCAAGTGTCTAGGAGAACCTACCTTCCGCTTATATCTTGGCCGTATCCTATAAAGACTGTTCCTTTGCCTATGCCAACTGCTTATCGCGATATCTCTCGATAATAGTCTTAGCAGAGCCTGGTTTAGTTAACTTAAGAAACTTTATAGCATCGTTATATTATTTATTGCCAGGGCTTCTGATTGCGTCGGCACCGGAGATGGTAGCCTTAACAGGAAGCAGAACGTCAAGTGAGCGTGTATAGCTGCATGCAACACTCCTACCAGTGTTTCCAATTTTCAAATATCAGATGATTTAAATCAAAACAGGCGCGAATCTTACCATAATTGAAGCAATAAGCATCATGCCATCCACTAAAGTGGCCTCGGCCTGCCTGACTGTAGTTAGTGTTATCGCATGTTTGGAAGCATCCCACACAAAAGAGCCCCCATTTTCATAATCGTCAAGGTCAATCACTGTGCCTGGCACTGCGATAGTCAAATATTGCTCTGGAGAGCAACGGGAAGCGATGCAGCAATGGCGTTTCTCAAAAGAGAGCTTACACTCGCAATGGACTTGATAGCATCTTGCTGAAGCGCTGCGAGGTTATCAGACATGGCTGCAGTATCAAGAATCAAACAGGATAATGGATATGAATGTCGAAGTATGGTAGACAATCCATTGCTTTCCAGTCTCCAGGTAATGAATTTATGCTCTTTTACTATTGAGATCTTCGTACACTTCCTACACGTAGCGTCTAGACATCTCTGTTCTCTGAATTCCTTACGCTAGTCACTTGCAAGCCACTATCCGAATTAGAATATGTTGTGTATGTGATTGGTAGCTGAATCTCTCTTCCAGCATGACTTGACGTGATGAATTAAGACGTTCCTGCTGCCATTTCTAGCCAATGGGATTGCTTCCGGCACAAGCTGTGTTCCATCAATGCTATTGCTTCGGGCGAACTGCGGGATGGGTCTTGGATATGACCAAACAGAGGATTGTGATTATGCGACATCTGCAGTCATTATTGGCTCTAATAGAAAGCTTCTTTGGTCGACATGAGGCTATATCTGAGTTCTGTATACATTCAAATAGTTTCGAAGTATTAGGTACCTACGAACCTAATGAAGCTGTCACGTTTCATTGAAGACGGCATGTAAATCCGTTTTGGCGTTTCTGTTAGGTATTAGAAAGATCTACTATTCGTTCACTAAAATTGGGCAGACACGGCAGGTCCCTTTCCTCCCGGCCCCGACAGCCGCTTTTGAAATGGCACATACCTGTCGCTTCTAGGGCAAGCTGAAGAATGAGACTGAACATTGGTCTAGACCATGTGATCAGGGAAAATCGTACGACATCCTAGTTAAAATATGGAACTAAGGATTTTTATGCATAAAACCTATCTGAAGGAACGTCCAGGTAACAGCGGCACCACACTGTGCAAGACTTTCTTAGGACGAGGCTTTGACCTCGTCCAGGTAATCCTCTTAGAATAAACATTTGATTGCCACTTGACGCCCAAAAACGTACATACAAGTCAGCTGAAACTAAATTCCATGGGCTCTTATTTCCACTTTGTCTAGTAGCACACCGTCAATTCATTCCCAAATCCCCATCAGGCGTAACGCCACAGATCGTGGTGTAAGGGCTGTTGACATTGTTCCTTGCGGGTACCATCACCACTTGAATTTCGTGGCCTTGACAATTGTGAGAAGGCAAGGTGTCTCAGGTATCGCCAGTGGAGATAAGTAAGAGGACATTGGATCTTACTGCGGTAGGGTCTTAATACAAAACTGATAAGTGATACAGCCTGTTGAAACAGAAGTTTTAGTGTAGAATAATTTGCGTGGCCTTGTCTCAATTCTTCAGAGTAATAATCATTCACTCGAAGTTTCAATCACCGTCTGATGAAGATCACCCTTCGGGAGAATGTTGCTCATGCGCCAAGCCATTTCATTGTCGACATGTTCTGAAACCCAAGACATCCACTGTCAGTCAGGTAAACGTATCCCAAGCTTTGGCGGAGAGTCACTCTGCATCAGATCAAGATTTGGAGCTAAATCTGCTCAGCTGAAAACCACTGGCTACTCTCGTGTCGAAAGGTATGTGATATCTGATCTCGACACTGCAAACGTGGCTCAATCATGAGGTGCATAGTTTTCAAAAACCTTCTTCACCAACAACAGTAACAAGACAAGCATATTAACCGCCACGTTTAGCCAAAGAGGCGGCACGTACATCATCATCTCCGCTTCAAGCTATCCTACAGTATGTATGCGATTCCCTTTTTATATTTTCTAGCTAGCCACAAAGAGGTACATGTTAAGAAAATGAACGCCGATTTAGTGCTCTATGGATTCCGTCGATTTGCATCCAATTACCTGAGATTGCAACAATATTCAAACTACCGGAGATCAAAAACTATCTCAACCTGGTACCATCTTGTATCTTGCGATGTATCAAGTAAGGCTCTGCCAGACAAAAAGCTACACTGGCTGTACATATCTCGCTCGGTCCCCTTAGCCTGTCTCACCTGCAATCATAGTGCCTCACTTGTCTCACAACCTCACAACACCTACACGTGTCGGCCGCCCATATAACGCCACATAGATGTTGTGATACTGTACTAGAATTATGAAAATCAGCTATCGGGCATCATTTCCGGTTTGAGACTATTTTCCGCAGTCTAGAATTGTCCTTCTCGCAAGTGGCGGGCTGAAAGGCAGAGCGTAGTTTACGATACCATTGACATTGTACTGAAGTACTGGTCCTCTCTGATTAAGTATATAAGCAGGCTCTGCATTTCACTCTCTCTGCCATTCTTCTTAACTCAACCCACTTTAAGGCTTTACATCCATCACTATCACACTTCTTACTATCTCCTTAGATTGATATTTCTTCCATCATGGGTGACACACGATCTACCACTATAAAGATTGTGAACTCAACCGATTTGATACTCCAACTTTCTGATCCTCAACCGCTGAAACTCGGCCAATGGGCGATTTCTCCGCCCGCCGAGATCGATCAAGGCCAAACGTCTCCGACCTTCGAAGCAATTGCCGGTTTTGCTGAAGCTGGTGTAGACGGTAGCGTCACTTATACCAGTCAAGCTGGTGCATTCACGTTTTACTTCACCAATCCCAACACCGGCCCGAACACATATAACGCAAAAGGTCCAAAGAACTATAAGGTCGATCATACAACTGGTGCAGGTGAAGTCGCGACTGTGACCTTCTCAATTGGTAAGAACAATTCCTACACCTTTCTTGTTATCCTATTATATTCTTACTCCTTATCCAGAGAGCGATCCTACTAGTCGCTAATCTTTTATTGATTCACGACTTCTGTGAGGGAGTGGAAATGATGGGGACCATGCCGGGTATTTACGGCTAGGCTTTTACGTTCTCTGAGCACTCCAGTTCTCTTTGTCTCACCAAGATCCATGTGGTGATATGAGCTCTCAGCCACAAGGCTCAACTACAAACACATTACACTTCTTCCCAAGATATACAAGTAGAGTGTGTAATAGTAACACGCTCATCTTCATAAGAAGCAATTACAGTCTGATGTGTTTACTAAAGCTTTAGTAGTAATGTACGATTGCAGATTTGAAACCCTGTAGTGTTATTTCAGCTACTAAGCAACTCCGACACGTGGATGTCTTGAATAAGGTATGTGATCAAAGTGGCACGATAATATACCTGTGATAGTACTATTGGATGATTGCGGCCTATAAGGTTAAGTATTAGGCTGGAAACAGTGTAATAGTACAAATGTCCTGACCCTTTAGTCGGCCTCAGCACCCTGAGCGCCACACTTGTCTTCGCAGTAATAAGTAAACTGCAAACTGATAAGTATCTTTGAAGTTATATCAATCCTCTTGATCTTACCTCATCGCCACCTATGTGGCCGTCGGCCGAGTTACATATCGTTCCATCCTGTTGATAATTAACATAAAAAGAATTAAGCTTGACCGGTCCAGCCTTACAAAAGTACAATCAGTGCATGTGTCCCACCACTCACCACCAGTGTTTCGCTGCTTGTACATATCGCAAGCACACTTGGTAGCATCGGCCAGAACCTCATAGGTGGTCTGCCAGTTGTAACTTGGGCTGAACGGGGTTCCGCCTACAGGAGACGACATCCTGTTGGACACACAGGCAGCAGCTTTGTGGGTAGCAGCACGAGCACTATCAAAGGCGTTAGATTGTTTGGAAGAACACGTCGAGGGTCTGTGTAAAGATAACGAACCTGCTGATGGCCATGATGGCTACTGTGAAGAGAGAAATTTGCATGATGGATAAGAAATAAGAAGTAATGATAGTTTGAGGAGGATGAACTGGCGAGATGAATTCCTACAGCAGAATAACTTAGATCTTTATACAATTCGTCTCTATGCTTCATTCGATGTAATTCTTGCCGGCCCGAGAAGAGTTCTTGCAAGAGCTGAAAAAACAAGGCTATGCGACAAGTCGATAACTCTTTGATCCCAAACAGGACATTCGTAAACCGATCGTCGGTGAAGCCGTACGTCGGCAGTTGAGTTGGTATAATTTTCGCGCCTATGATGTTTCACGAATTTGATAGATTCATGTCATGATTCAAGAACCCAGTGTCGCAGAATCCAACGTCTTTCGCTATACGAGCAACTGAGACTATTAGTTTGGTCGCCCCACCAATGAACTAACTGCAATCGTGACTTGATCATCACCAGCCCTGAGGAACATGAGACGATACTCCACTTAGGAACTACAGATCTCGCGCCAGAAAGGGCAAGTGCGTTATTTACGTATCCAATTTTAAAGTTTATTAAGATAAGGATTGACATGATACCCAGAAGCTGTCAAACGCGCGGGTTGACGTAGCATGCTTAATCCACTTACCGAACAGTTCTAAGCATGGCCGTTAGATCTAACGTAGTGCTGTAGGACAACGAGAAAGTCGGAAGTTGATACTTTGAGTAATAAGACCCAATATTTGATCGCTGAGTTTGAGTATCGCGTTCAAACATAAATACTTGGCTGTCTCCTACTTAGCCAAGAGCAAATCAATCACACCAACTCACACAATCCCAATCTCCCTCTTCTCTTCGATCAAACTTTACTCTGATATTCTTTACAAGATGCATTGCTCCAACCTCGTCTATGCTTTGCTCATCTCCGCCACTGGTGCGGTTCCCTTGGAAGATTTTCCCTTCCCAGGAGCCATCAAGTGGACTCCCAGCCACCAGATTCAGCCTGGAGATGTCATTGTTCCTGTGAAGGATGTTTGTAAGTCACGATTCTAGATATCATTTCGAGAACAAGTGCTGAGAACATGATAGCCTACATCGTTAAGGAGGAGACCTATCTCGCCAAACTCAAAGCTGAAGGCATCAAGATTGGTGCTCCCAAGCTGGACCCGTCCTGGACCTCGTACAACAGAACTGACCTGCCCAAGCCCAAGTACCCCAAAGCATCAAAGGGCTACTTCGGGAAGCGAGACGACTGTAGCGGCACCTTCTACATCACCACTGACAAGACTGAGACCTTTGTCGACTGGGACGTGCAAATGTCGCCTGTCGTCTGCGCCAACGGGGACATGGACATCAGCGTGTCTTCAGGCTACAGCGTCTCCAACACCGTTGGAGGCAGTGCTGGAGTCGATCTCACCTTCGTTAAGGATAAGCTGGCCGGGTCTCTTGGTATCGACTACAGCCGCACCTGGACCACGCAGACCTCGGTCATTACTAAGGGTACTATTAAGGACGGTAACTGTGGTGTCATGATCACCAAGCCTCTCACCACTCGCCGTTCTGGTCGTCAGTTCCAGGGCTGCATTGGATCTGCCACCGAGATTGGTACTTGGTATGCTGATAGCCGCGGCGAGGGAAGCTACAACGGTATCACCTGGATTGAAGGTGCCATCTCTGCTTGCTCCAAACCTGGCAACAACCCTCCCCTGTCTCGCTGCAATGGAGAGGGCAACTTCCGATAAGCGAGGAGACAGTGGAAGAGTGATGAGTGGCAAGACGACGCTTCCGACTTTGGTGGAATTGTGTCTGTGCTTTCACGGACGGAATTCCGAGAGGTGAAAGGTATCTTGCATCGTCTCAGTGTCTGTGATTGACTATGCACTGCGGAACAATTCTTAAGAAATTCTATTGAATGATTTAGACTTTTTTATAGCATCTTTGAATATAATGATAAGAGAAGAAGTGAAAAGTATTGACCATGTGTGATTTAAAGCATTGATTTGAGGCAAAATATTCTCAAACAATGGCAGACTCTCCACCGCAAATGGCCTTCTTTGCCTGAGGGTTAAGGAGATACCTTGATCATAGCTCGTCCCGGGACACTACCCTCCTGAAGCATGTCACAGAACCTATCAATGTCATGCAAAGTCCCCTTAGTCAAAATAGGATGGATCAATCCCCTCGCTGTAAAGTCGAGTGCCTCGTCGGCTTTCCTTTTGGTGCCAAAAAGACTCCCAACAATGTTTAACCTCTTCCCGATGACCAGGGCAGCCATCGTTCCAGCCATAACAGCGGAATGATTCCGGATGCCAAGTGTCTGTAGAGCAAGTGAGTAAACGCACTTGCCAAGGAGGGGGAGTACTTACTACCAGTGTTCCGCGGACTCTTAGAGTATGTGGCACGATATCATATGCCTCCTTCGAGGGAGTGGCAAGCATAACCCCATGGGCCCCATAGGTTTGATTGCCATGGCTTTTGCGTACTGCACTGCAAAATGTCCTACACCTCCACCTGCGCCAAGGACGACGAGCCACTCTCCAGGCTGGGCAGAATCACGCTTACAAGCCGCGTACGCTGAGAATCCTCCGCACATGATAGGTCCAGCCTCTTTATCCGTGACTCCGTCAGGGATCTTGGTAGCGTATCGTCCATCAGTGACGCAGTATTCCTGAAAGGTACCAGCAACTTCTACCGCATGATGGATGACTTTCGGGAAATGAACCTCACAAAAGCCGTTGGAACACATTTCGCGAACGCCGTAGGTTGACTCAACCCACTTGACCCCAGCCCGATCGCCGACTTTCCAGAGGGCAGAAACGTCATCGTCGACGGCTACAACCACCCCAGCTCCTTCATGTCCCGCGATTCCGAGTGATGAGGTAGCCATGAGAGGAAACATCCCATTGTAAGCGGCCCATTCGTCGCGGAGGAAGCATTTGTCCGATGCGCAGAGACCACTCCAGTTGATCATGACGAGGATCTGGTGTGAGGCCGGCTGAGGGACAGGGATAGTCTTCACCAAGACTTTCGCACCAGGACCTGAGCCATCTGGAACAGCTGCTTGCTGAGTCTGAGGAATTTCATAGTTTGCATCGAGCGACATAACGTCCTGGCAATCAATTATGTGGATAGGAAAATGGTTGATAGACTTTTGATAGTTGTTGGTTCTAGCCTACAGTACAAATTCTTACTTATGAACTAGCTGCTCATATTTTGCTTCAGGAGATTCCTTGTTTCTCGCGGCCTGTACCTCGAATGTTCTTTCTTACATAACCCGGATCGCAGCCAGGATCCGGATCTAGGTCCGGGTCCGGGTTCCGGGTGGCGGACGGGCGAATGAGCACAGGACTTGGGGAGAAGTCCGTAAAAGACCGCTACGCTAAGCTCAATTCGATTAGCATAGTCCTCAGCTCGGAACTCGGTCGGGGCTTTTGCAGAAGCGAGCCCCTATAGTCGTGGTGATTTGTCCACCCGACGGGTCATTAGTCTCTCCGTTAACAACACAAGCATGGATTCGGCTCAATTATTATTCATGTGTTGGCCAAGTGTGGTCTGCTTCTTGAATACCATTACGGAATATTTCAATATTGCCGTCAAAATAACTAGACCAGTTTATATAAGACCAAGGTAAAGGATCAAAGACGTGAGACAAGGTGTATACTCAAGTAACTGTTGGTATTAGAGAAGTACAGTACGAAATAAACCGTGGTATCAGGAGACTACAGAAGGATAAAGTGTGATATTCAATCAATGAAGAGGCACAAGGAAATTTAATTTATTGCAAGTATGTTCCAATATCCTGCCAACTATTGCCACTACCGAGCCTCGCGCCGTTCCAGGTCTACCATAAGGCCATGACTGTTGACAAAGCTTGTAAACCGATCTAGTACTTCCATCTTGGCCTCCTTATCCACCAGCCCAACCTCGTACTTCTTAAACAAATATGCGAGAATGTAGTGCATCTCTGCATATGCCAAGTTCTGCCCAAGACAGCTCCGCACGCCTTTGGAGAACGAACACATATTGGTATCAAGAGCGTTCCCCCCAGCACCAAGCCAACGCTCAGGATTAAACGTATGAGCGTCCTCGCCCCAGAGCTCCGTGCTGAAGTTCATGGTGTAAGCTGACATGCCAATGACACTACCTGGAGGAACGACCTGGCCATCCACGACGAGAGGCGGCCCGTTGCGGGGGACAATCCGAGGAAGTCTTCCCGGTGAGGCAATAGCAAAGCGTACGGCTTCACGCACTGAAGCATTGAGATACTCGATCTGTTCCAAGTCCACCAAAGACGGCAAGCTTTCTGCATTAATAGCACTAGCATCAAGGGCTTCGACAAACCTCTTAGCAATCCGACTGTTCTTCGCGATCTGGGTGATAGCTACTGCTAGTGAGTATGCTGTAGTATCAGATCCTGCTATAAAGAGGTCGTATGCTACTCGAATATAACGGTTCTTACCCCTACGGAGGATTGGTATTTCGATCAAGTATCATGAGTTACTCATAACATACATATAGCAGCTTCGCTGTGTTATAGACAGTTAAAGCTAGGTTAAAGCGAGTATAAGTTATTAATTAAATAACTGAAATCGATGTAATATGTATAGTGAACTATATAACTGAAAGTAATTAAGATTTTTCAGTATATCCTCGTTGAGTCGTCATTAGCTTTGAGCCAATCAATTGACACATTAGCATAAGTAAATGCAAGGTCTAATAGGACACAAGAGTCTGTATTAGATACCTTGGTCACTGTAGCACCTCATCACTCGACCTATTCCCGTGGGTATATTACATCCAAACATCCAAACATCGGATCCCAGGTTCCCGGGCCGGGACAGCTTCCGCTTTTTCGCAGTTCCGTCCGGGATATACAACAGTCAGCCACTTAGCCCATGATCGCCAGGTGGGGTCCGGACAATCCCATTATTTACCAAGACTTTCACCTAAGACTCTCAAGTCCCTATGTCCACCGCAAATAAACAAGCTCATTATCTGCTCTACTCTCTCGCACAGTCATCATGGGCAATTTCAGAGTCTGTATCGTTGGCGGTGGTCTAGCAGGCTCACTACTAGCTAACGGACTTATCAACAATGGGGTCGACACAATTGTATTTGAGAGAGACGAAGAAAGTCTCAAGAGGGATGGATACCAGATCCGTCTTGGTGACCCTGCATTGATAGGTCTGGCCTCGTGTCTGACTGATTCACAGTTGGAATCCATCGTGCAAAGGCTCGGGAAATATTCTGGCTCTTCCAAGACAGCACCAAGTATCTGCAACACCAGGTTCCAGACCATTCTGGATCTGTCGGCACTGCCGACCTATTCCAAGTCATCGGCTATCAATCGCGTTGTACTGCGTGACTTGCTTCTCGAGCCCGTCGTTGCCAAGGGGAAGGTCAAGTTCGGCAAGCAATTCTCACATTACGAGATTGTCGAAAATGGATCTGATGGAAATGAAAGCGTCAAAGTTAACTTCAAAGACGGCTCGTCAGAGTATGGTGATATTCTGATCGCTGCAGATGGCAGCGGATCAAAGGTTAGTGGGCCTGTCTTGATACTCATGATACCTTTTCTACGATGCCGTGTACTGAAATCCTTGTTCAGGTAAACAAACAAATTGGGGCCAAGAATCTTGTCGATATGAAAAGTCATCTCGCTTTCCTCTCCAAGGGTAATGCTACCAAAACACGTCTGCGCGAGCTGCCTCCTCGTCTTTTGAACGGGCCAGTTCTGGTGTTCAAGAATGGCATCTCTCTCTACTATGCGCGTAAGATACGATTGACTATGATGACTTTCCAATTCTGTCACTGACATTAAGCAGTTTACTTACCAGCCTCCCAACAGAAGGGCGGGTGTCAGACCCCAGATGATGATTTCGACTTTGACGAGAACCAAGCTTCATTCTATTGGAGCTTAACTGTTCCTCGCGAGCTGTGTCCCTTCGAAGACACCAGTGATATTCCCGACAGGCGAGAGTTCTGTCTCGACATAGTCCGCGATTGGGCTCCAGAATAGTAAGACTTGCAACCACCTGACTTACGCTTGCATAATTGACTCAACCCAAATAGCCATGTCATGCTCTCCGCTGGAGCCAGTGGTGAAGATAACATCACCGCGACAATGCTGCGGGCTAGTACCAAACTCTCCAAAGACTGGCGGCATCGACTCCGTGCACAGAATGGCAATAACCCAGAAGAGGGCCACCCACGAATATGGCTCGTGGGCGACGCTGTTCATGCTATGCAGCCAAACCGGCAAGTTCATTCACGATTGCAAATGAGAATCTGCTAATAGAACACAAGGGGAATGGGCGGAAACCAAGCGATGCGAGACGTTGCCGACATGTTGCCTGAGTTGCTCGCACTGAAAAGGGCGGCCGAAGCAGGCCCACCGCTAAGCACTAAGGAGCTCGAGGCGAGGTGCAGCGCATACGAGAAGAAGATGATTGACCGGTCTTTTGCTTGGGTCGCTAAGAGCGGCGGCACAAGCCAGCCAGTAAGTCGAGGCCTATTATATCATGATCGTGGAGCTTGCAAGTGCTGATTTTCGCAAGACCGTCGACCTCGATGGATTTCTAGGTAGTGTTATATCCTTCTTGGCAGGCTTGCTGCTGCCTGTAGCAACTATTTTGTACAAGGCTTTTCAAAGATCTGAGTAGTAGAGGTAGTCACGGAGTCGGGTATGGAGCTGAGATATTGAGGTATGATTAGTGGTTTGGTGTTTTGCGACGCCGAGACGGAGGCCGGTCTTTAACAAAGGCCGGCAATGCCGTGGTGGCGGGGGGACGAATTGCGGGGTACTCCGTATTTATCTGCCGTAATAACTGTAGATGCTGTAACCATGCTGAACTTTCGCTTGCTTATACCTGTTGTTTATCTTGATAGAATTTCCAAGTTCAAATTGTCATCCTTATTGTTCGCGCTTTGCAGTACAAACGTCTTGACAGCCGATTACATATAGGCAGGGAGTTAGTCGTTAACACCAGCTCGCTAATTATGGCCCAATGCGAGACACACCTAGCTACTAGTTACGTTAGTTAGTAGTTAGTTGTCATTTAGGTAAGGTAGCCTACAGCCCACTATCCCCGCATTTTAAAACGGGTAGTTTTGTCGGCAGTGAATTTATAATAACCCTCCAAAGTACGTACGTACGCTGTAGACAATTATCGGTTCTCGTATTCTCGTCCTTTCCAGCTTCACATTCGCTCACAAGTTCTTGTTAGAAGCATATATACAAGATGCCTACCAAGAGGCTGAGTGATAACATGCGCCGTCGCTGTGCCGCAGCTTGTGAGAGCTGCAAACGCCGAAAAGAGCGATGCGACGGCAATTTGCCATGTCGTCGATGTGCCATTCGACAAATTGCCTCAGAGTGTCGCTATTCAACCCCAAAACGTCGCGCGTCCGTCTCCTCACGCCAGAGTGTCAGCGTGGTGTCAAGGGATCCGCCGGAGCCACTGGCAGACATGCTGCTGAACTACTCGATCGACCAACCACTTGACCTGACGGCGAGCCAGCTTGGAGACTCATTCTTGGACATCGGCGCCTCGTTCCCCGACACTTATCGACTGGGAGAGAGTGACCAACATGGCTCCGTTTATTTCGGGGATGCAGCCAATGAATCATTCCTTCAGCAGATTCGTCAGCTCGTTGCTCGGACACTGGGGCCGTGTCCCTTTGTCGACCAGCCGATACAATATCATACCAACCATGATCCCTCATGCCCCGCTTCCGTGTCCGATCCCCCACCAAAGCCCAGCTCGTCCCATGCGAAGCAACTGGTAAGTTGGGGCATGCAAGCAACAAGTCATTTGCTGGGTGCTTTGGACGAATCAGAGGTTCAGACACAAGTAGACGACTGGATACAGCAAGACGACGATGCTGAAAGCCTCTCCTCCGCAATATGCTACTTGATTCTGGCAAATGGTGCGCTAACGTGCCCGGGAGACGAAGATGCGACTGCGGAAGCATATTACACGTACGCGAGATACCTGACGAATTCAAAATCTCACCAAGGACCAAGCCTCTCGGCGATTCTGTGTCATAATTTGATCGCTTTCTATCAGATAAACTCAGGAAGACGAGACGCTGCATATCACTCCATCGGGGTCGCATGCCGACTTGCATGCGCCATGGGTATCCATAAAGTGAACAAGCCGCAACACATGAGTCGCGCCGATTCTGCTTTTCGCGAACGTCTTTGGAAAGCACTGCGACTGTTTGATACTTTCGCCAGCGGTTCCTTGGGTCGACCTATCTGCACCTATGAGACTCGCAACACCAAGGCCGAGAAGGGCTATTCTTCCGCCATCGACATGGCTGCTATTCTCGAAGCCGTCTTAAGGGAGGTCTACGGGCCCTCCAAGGTTTCAAGACACTTCATCACAAGCATGACGCAGGAACATCGCTCATGGGCATCTCGCATGAGTTCCGGCCTAAAGACTGATGGGCTAGAGTGCGCGGAACAAACCCAAGGCTGTGATTCAGTACCCACGCTGGCATCCTCTAATATGAGACAGTCATACTACTGGTCCATCATGCTGCTGACCCGGCCTGTGCTCCTTGACCTAGCGGCTACACGAGCAATGCGTGAAGGGGCCAGCGATCGAGATGGAAAAGGAATCTCAACACCATCACATCCCGACACAGCTCTTGTGTACGCTTCAGTTGACTCAGCTGTTCGCATTGTACGCTTGCTTCAGAGTGTTCTGACGAGGGATGATTTACCCAAACGGATGCCATTTCCCGTCCACTCTGCCTTTACTGCCGCTCTGACCCTGGGGGTCGCTAACTTTGCAGATCTGGACCACGTTTTCCCGCTGCGAGCGAATTTGGAAATCGTTGGTCAGCTGCTGCAGAGGCTTGAAAAGTATGATAGCATCGCTAGGTACTACTGCCAAGTTGTGCAGCAGCTCCAATCCGCATGTGAAGAGTATGTTGAGCAGCGGAATAACCGCATCATTGAGAAGCAGAGCCATCTAGTCGGTGAGCTATTCGGGCGTCTCCAAGAAAAGTCACCTTTGCCAAAGTACAAGTGTGGGAGGGTGGGCAGTGGGTGGAATGATGAGATTGTGGTGGCCCAGGAGCTTCAAACCCCGACAGCTTCTCTGTCTACCATCTCTTTGACAGAGGGTTCGACTCTAGGAGTTGACCTTGGTAGTGTTGGTGGAGATCCCGATGATCTATCTTTGGACTTGTTTCAAGATTCGTCGTTACTCGATATGTCTCATATCGAAGATACCTCAGATGTAGGTAGTATGGTCTTCTCTAGCTTGAGCTGGTTTCAATAGCCGCAATAAGAAAGACGCTGTATTATCATAGGATGGATTTATTACGGTAGCTCTTGCTAAAGTCCTCACATTAGACTTCCAGGGTGTACACCTTTTCAGGCTGAGTATCAATGGCTTTGGCCGCTGTCTCCTGTTCAAGCATATCCTTTGCGGCAGTTACATCCACCCTGAAAGGCTTGATAATACTTGAAGTTGTTAGCAGTCTAATAAGCTTGGAATGAAGGGAAAGTACAATCTCACTTCGGATCATTCAGGCAGAAATAGATGCTTCTAGGCTCACCGAGCCACTTTGCCTGCTTGACAAGGAACTCAGCCGCCGAGCCTTGAAACGGTCTCCCATCAAGATTTGCTCGACCACCAACTCCCATGATAGCAACAGTAGGCTTGGGGGTCACACACTGGGCAATGCCTTGATACACGCCCAAGTGACTGTTAAATAAGATGCCTTTGCCGTCAGCGACAAAATTATACATCAGCTGGCCGCCATCAAAGTGCGACATGACGTGCTTCTGGCGGTCCTGCACATAATCAGCAAAGGCACGTGTCCCTGGATCCATGCTCTCCTCGGGCATAAACTGCTTCATTTTGAAAAGACCAAACTGCATTAATCTGGTGATGTCCAAGGTACAGTCGTATGGAGTGACTTCCCCGGTAAACCTCTCCGCGGTATCGAATTCTTCAGGGAAGTCGTGGGGAGTAGTTGCAGGGATCAAAGAGTGCAATGAGGGCCAAACATGGACTGCGGCTGTGGCATACTTGACGTGAGGCATAGGAGGCGCTGTCGGTGGTGCTGGAGCTCGATCAATTAGGCCTTCCGCAGCCTTCGTGAGAGTTTCCTTGTTGAACAAGGGTACTCTTTCGCCACCGCTGACTGGGATCAATTGTGCTTCGGGGACGCCTGCATCTCGGAGGCATCTGATAGCCTCACCATTGGCAATTAATGTCGCCCCTGTTCTCAGGGCAAGTTGGTCTGCCCCAGGGAGGCTTTATGACTATTAAAACCTTGCGTGGGTGAAATGCTTGGTCCGACTTACTGATCGAAGTGGGCGTGCGAGATGACTATGTAATCCAGTTCTATTACGTCCTCAAGCTCGAGGTATCGTTTCAGACCCTCTGGTTTATCAAGCCAGGTGTCGTGGAAGATGTTGAAACCCTTCCATTTCAGCCTAAATGTAGTTGTTCCTAATTGATTTCAATCAGTCCTGACTTAGTCAATTGGGTGGCAAGTATGTTCAAAGTAGACTGAGATGCTTGCAGGATATTTCAGAAAACTTACCGAAGAACTCCAAAGTCGCTTTTGTAGCCATTATGACTTTTAGGCTTCTCAGGGAGAAGTACGCAGAAAGCGAAGATTTTCTTTTTAGCTGACAAGGCTCTGTGATATGGGTGGCTTTAAAGGAAGAAGCTATCGCCACGTTATTGTGACTTTGTCTATGTTTCAGGGAGGTTTAATTCGGTATATATATTTAAGTATGATCAAATCCCTTGTATTGATATAGCGGATCAGGTATACATAGATAGATTAGTTGCCGTCTGTCAAGACCCGGTGCAGGCAGGACTTGATCCGACCCGGCCGACTTCCGGGTTTCGGGCCCAGGGCTTCGAGCCTGCCGAATTGCCAATAGATCCGAAGAACTCTTATTCCAAGAATCCGATGTAAATTTAAATGCAAAGGAATAAGGTCGTTACCCAGCAGAAATGTGCAGTCATTAACTATTGAATCTTTTTCGCCTTCTTTACTAGGTCCACTCAAGTACTACGTTGACAACACCAATCGCCACTGTCGAGGCCGACACCATTTAGACTTCGCAACGCGCAAACTAATCTAAGTTGTACACGGCAACCACCTCCCGCAATCACATTAGAATGGACAAACTAGACAACTGGGTGCCTGTACAGGAAGGCCCTTCTTTCCAGCCCCGCAAACTCAAGGTTGTTTGCATAGGTGCCGGGTATGCAGGCCTGATGCTCTCGTATCAGTACAAGCATGGGGACGTGCCTTTGGAGCAGTTCATTGACCTCAAGATCTACGAGAAGAATGATGCCATCGGAGGAACATGATTGGTCAATAAATATCCCGGGGTTGCATGCGATGTTCCCGCGCACATCTATACATTCCCCTTTGAGACGAATCCCTCTTGGAGCCAGTTCTATGCGACAGGCCCTGAGATATGGAGATACATCAAGAATACTTCTGATAAGTGCAAGCTTCAAGAGCCCGTCATACTTAACTCAGAAGTCATATCTTCTGTCTGGGACGACGACACTGGCAAGTGGCTCTTGGAGATCCAACAGGGTTGTAGCCGTGAGATCTTACGCGAGGAAGCAGACATAGTCATCAACGCCACGGGCTTCCTCAGCAAGTGGAACTGGCCTACGATACCTGGGCTGGACAAGTTCAAGGGGAAACTTGTTCATACCGCCGCATGGGATACAACCCTTGACTGGTCTGGTAAGAGAATAGCCGTCATCGGCAACGGTTCTTCTTCAGTCCAAGTCCTTCCGCAGTTGCAACCCACAGCAGCTAGGATCGTCAACTATGCCCGAAGCCCTCTTTGGATCAGCAGTGCATTCGCTTCGGAGTTTACACCCGAGGGCAAGAACTTCACATACACAGCTCAAGAGATCCAGGCATTTAAGGATGACGAGAAGATGTTCTTCAAGTTCCGGCATAGTATTGAGCATTCCATGAATAAGTTCTTCAGAGTTTCCATCAAGGATAGTCCAGAGCAGCAGGGCGCGTTTCAGTTATACAAGGCAAAGATGGAGGACGCACTGAACCACGACCCTGATCTGTGCGCCAGGCTCATCCCTACATTTCAAGTTGGCTGCAGGCGACTGTCGCCCGGTGAGAACTATCTCCAGGCACTGCAACAAAACAACGTCACCCTCCAAGACGAGCCCATTCAGAAGATTGTTGAAGGTGGAATTTGCAGCCTCACAAAGACGGAAGAGTTTGATATCATTGTTTGCGCGACAGGATTTGATGTCAGTTTTGTTCCTGGATACACAGTCGTAGGTCAGAACGGTGTCTCGCTTGCTGAGCAGTGGAAGGATGCTCCAGAGGCGTACTTTGGAGTTTTCGCTGCAAACATGCCCAACTTCTTTACTATCAACGGTCCAAACACGCCTCTGGCGCACGGGAGCTTACTGGCTGTAATGTCATTCACGGTGGACTACATAGCAAGATGGATCCGGAAGATCTCTACACAGAATATCAAGTAAGTCACAATTCCAAGTCTGTTTCACCAGAACTCAAGCTGACTGGCTGTCACCTCATACAGGTCCGTTCAAGTTCGCCAGGATGCCCTGGATGATTTTAATGTTTATGCTCAAGAACTGATACAAACGACTGTTTGGACGGGGGACTGCAGGTCCTGGTTCAAGAAAGGAAAGGTCGACGGTAGAGTAACGGCTATGTACCCGGGCAGTGTGATTCACTACAAGGAAATACTGGACGAGTTCAGAACCGAGGATTTCATGTTCAAGTACACTGGCGGGAATCGGTTCCGGTTTATGGGTAATGGCTTGACCTTTAGAGAAAAGAACGGTGGCGACTTGGCATGGTATATGCGGAAATAGTTCTGCTAAGACACACCCGATCATAGACGTGATAGTATGCATACTTATCATTTAACGCACTTTGCCCATTGATATAACCTCTGTGTTAATGCTATGCTTTCTAAATCTAAATATAATACAGACTCTATGTCTTAAGTGATGTACGACAACCTCATGCCTGCTTTAATGCAAAAGCCGCCAATCAGTCATTTTCTTTTCTATCATCACTCTATAGGTAGCCAGTGAAATGTCCAACACGGGCTATATTTGTACTGAGTGGAGACGACAAAATCTGTGTTAAGAGCCATGAGACCTTCCAAATGACTTCCTTCAAATAGACCAACTGCTCCTCGACGTTTTCCTTAAAGACCTTGCCATGATAAGGGTCGAAGTGCCCAGAACCTTTCAAAATAGCCAGCTTCTTGGGCTCATAAGCCAGCGCATAGGCCTTGAGCTGAGTAGAGGTTGGCGCACACATATCGTTCTCGGCAGAGACTAAAAGGAGCGGTGTCTGAGCAAGGCGGTGCATAAAAGCCAGAGGTTCGAATGCAACAATATCAAGAAGTGTTTGAGGTGTGACATTCGGAGACCAAGGCAGCTTTTCTTTATTCAAAGCCTTGAGGAAGTCACAGAGATTCTCATCCCGTATGAGGGCTTTGCTGTCTTGTTGGCGAGTCTCATCGAAAGTCTCGGCAAACATTTCGATTAGCAGAGCAGGTTTGCCCGCTTTGAGCTATTATCGGCTACTGTACAGGGATCCAATTATGGGTGCGAGGTGTAAGCTAAGTAGCTCGCCAGATACAAAGGGCACCTATGAAATCACGGCTCGAATTCGTTTGTCGAATGCCGCAGCGTGTAGAACGGAACCACCGCACATGCTAGTGCCCCAGTAGACAATCCTGGAGGCATCGACCTCATCTAACAAGGCAACATAGTCAAAGGCATCTGAGTAGTCGCGAGCAGTCTGAATGGGGTTTGTCTCGTTCCGGGGGAGACCGTCGCTTGCACCCCAGTTGCGGTGGTCAAAGAGCAAGACTCCGTAGCCAGCAGCTTGGAACCGCTGGGCAAAGTTGGGGCAGAACTGCTCCTTCAAACCCGCCAACTAGGTAAAAGAGTGGCTAGCAAATAATGGAACTTATTTCCAGGGCAAACTCACTCCATTAGCCATGATAATACATGGTTGCTTTCCGTCTCCATTGGCGGTGTAGAACCAGCCCCTAAGGGTTAGTCCGTCCACAGTGGGGAACTCAATGTCGCGACGACCCGGTGACATTTTCGATGGGATCCTAGATATGAACAAATATGGAAACTTGAGACAAACCAGCTGCTGGAAGATTGAGAGAAGAAAAGTGACTTCATGATAGTATATAGCGCTTGTTAAATATCATTTACACAATCAGCTACCATTATAGGCAAGTTAGTCTATCGGCTTGAGCAAGAGGGTCTCCGAATTTCGGATCGGATCCTTGCCAACATCTTCCGATGCCGAAATGTAAGTCCAGGAAGTGACTACAATAGTCAGAATTTCCAGGCTACGAGGTATCATAATAGAAGAAAAGATGCCATTAGAACCTCCAAACCAGTGTGAGTTGGAGAGTGGAGTTCGAAATGTGCAGATCGAACGTGAACCTGATGAACAAAAGACCTCAACACAGTGACTGTGTTTGATGCTGAGAAACCTCTCAGTCTCGCAAACGCCGCGAGTCATAAAAATTAGGTTTCCAAGGGTCTGTCTTGTTTTAATACGTGTAATCCACTTCAGATGGGGATCGATATCCACCTTTCATCAATACGGATACCAAGCTACGTAAGCTGTAGGTCGAAACCAAACAGCGAGGTTGCGATCTGCGATTTTGAGTTCAACTGGTATCAATGCTTCGTTTATCCACCAAGTGAATCATCTGTTTTAAGCTTTGCAAACTGGATCATATGTCTTGGCAGTTAAACAGTCGGTAAGGAAGGCCGTGACAGCTATTCGTAATGTTCTGGAAACGAATCAAACTTGAGGTACTTAAACCCCAGCGTGGTACATAAGCTGCTTCTTGTCTAACTTGCTATCAAATCTCTCCTGATCACCCCATAAAGCCCAGATATCGCTCAATTACCACTATGCATTTCTCTAGCCTCTTCGTCTTGGCAGCTGCCTTTATGCCTTTCGTCGCTGCAGATGACTGCGTGCCGCGAAGCACGCCTTGTGTAAGTTTACATCATGTGTGAAGAGAATGCTTATTTACTTATAGTGAATAACAGTCTCCGATCGCAGTCTGCAACAGCATGACTGGCCTTAACGTATGTGGTACAACAGAGCATGCTAGCCAATGTTCCACAATGGTTGTTCCTGACAATGATTCTGGATCTGTTTCGGTAAGTCTCACAAGACTCCAATTCCCATGGATAAGTGAGTAAGCTAATAGTCTACAAGTGCCAGTGCTGTAAAGCCTGAGAGGAGCAGGTCGCATAAGCTTGTTGGGTCTGGTTGCCCTACTACAACACGATGTTGTAGGTGAATGGCCCAAACTGAGTTATAAATATTGTTATCTTTAGCGTTCACTGCCTATGAAGGAGTAATAGTGCGACCATCTATAGATCAACTAGTCATGACATCCTGTCGCTGTCTATGAAGAATGTGTGTAGTAAGCGCCACAGGTCCGTCAGCCTTAATGTAGGATCTTGATTGGCCGCCTCTTTTAGCATCAAAGTGTAGGCACCGTCTTACTCGTTCTCGTTCCTCTGATGTTCAATACACTCAATGTCGGTCGACTCAAGTTTCTTCTCGGATGCGCTATCAGATTGCTTTCCGAACACTTCGGAGATCTCTTCAAGCGATCGGTTCTGTAAACCCATTCAGACAGGTCAATGATTAAAAGGAACGGCGAAGAGCTTACCCCGGTCTCCGGTAACATAAAGAAGACAGTGACTAGAACGATGCAAAGCCAAACACAGTACACGATATAATACTTCAAGCCAAGGCTCTTCAGCCCAATAGGGTTGAAGAACGGAGTCAGAAAATCACAGAATCCTTTTTTTGTACTTGTCTAATTATGTAGAATGTTTGCCCGGAGTCTGAGCAAACAGTTTGTAGATGGCCATCATATCCTCCTCCCCCAAACCATTTTCGTGAGCTTGTCTGTACAGAGAATTGCAAACTTGGATAAATGGCGTTTTAACTTGCACGTCTTGCGCAGCAAACTTGATCAGCTCAGTGCTGTTATAGCAGTCTTTAATGGCAGCCTGGGGTGTCCAATCTCCTTCGAGTATCTTGGCCATCTTCATCTTGGAGTATGCAGATGCCAAAGGACTGCTGTTAAGTACCTGTCCAAAGGCCTCCAAGTCCAACCCCTGAGCTCTAGCAAGATTCACTGATTCTGCAAGACCAGTGGTCACAGAGACCAGGAACAGGTTGATGGAATATTTGGTCTTCAAGCCTGATCCGATAGGACCACAGTAGATAGCCGCAGTAGTGATAGGTTCGACGACGGCTCTGATCTGTTCAGAAACCTGTGGGTCGCCAGCCATCATGCCTACAAGCTTTCCCTGCTCAGCTGGGACCTTGCTACCACTCACAGGCATTTCAACAAACTTGCCCCCTGCATTCTGTACCTGCTGCGCAAGCTTATGGCTGAAGTCGACAGACACTGAGCTAGTGTTGATCAGTGTTTTACCACGTATGGCTTTCATAAACTTGTCATTGGGCTCGTTTTCAATCATGGACTGGATCGCTTTGTCGTCGAAAAGCATCGTGAAGATGACATCTGATTTCTCAACCACAGCGGAAGGAGTCTGCGCGGCTTTAGCACCAGCCTCGATGAGGGGTGTGCATTTGGCGGCATTGCGATTCCACACTGTGACGGGGAACTGTCGACGAAGATTGAGGGCCATGGGCGTGCCCATTGTTCCTAGGCCTAGGAAGCCAATTCTCATCTTGACTGAAGGGCGCCTTGACGGAACTCTGAGTAGATAGAAGTAGTCTATTCTGCTGCATTAATTTATTTACCGGTGATTTTGTGTCTGGCATTATAAGTGAGAACAAAGGACTCTCATAACGGCATGCTAGAAAAGAAATAAATTGTTATACGCCCTTTGCAATACAAGCCGATGCTCCCGATACTGCCGATACAAAAGCATCGGTTTCGGTAATCACAATGGTTTGGCATTTTCCCAATGCCGACAATAACCGGCTCGGAAGGGTTAGCGTCGAATCACGCTCCAAAAGATAGTCATATTCCATGGGGGACATTTCTCTTCATTATTCAACCGCAGATAATGTTTAAATGACCATATATGCCCTCAATGGTATATGCTACCAAAAGGGGCTTATGCAGGATAAATATAGCACTCTCATTAGACTCTCGAATCTAAGCACAATATCAACATTGGGTTTCTAATTAAAAAGGAAACGAAAGAGCGAATTAGGTATATTTAACTGGTAAAACTTAATAATATACTGAAGTATAAACGTAAATCCAGAAAACGTAAATACTATGTGTGACTGTTCCTGTTCTATGATGAACAAGATGAGCAATCAACATTTCCATCCTTCTCAAAATACTTAGTTCCGCTTTGAGATGTAGTACCAGAGTCTCCCGGATTTCCACTATAGCTTGAGCAAAGACCACCATTTGGAAGTCCTGCAAAGTCACCAAACTGACAGCTCGGGTTGTTGTCGCAGCGCTGCATACACTCTTCAAAGCTTTCAACATAAGTGTTGAAGTCTATCTTTCTGAAGAAGACTGACTGACTAACATCGACTGCTGTGTCGCAAAGAACCTCGAATTTGCATTGGCATGAGCTCTGAGGCGTGTAGGTGGTGCAGATTGGTCCGACGGAGCGGGTCTTGGTGGTGACTGATGTAGTCTTGTCAACCTCGGTGGCTTGCTGTGTGGTAATGATGGTATCCTGTTCGGCGGTAAAGGAGGTCGAAACTGTGGTGGCATCTGCGGTGGTCGTCTCGGTAACGTGAGGTCCAGGGAGAGTGACAGTCACAGTTCGAGTCTTGGCTGGGAGGGTCGTGGTGATGGTCACCGCAGGTTGGGTCTCAGTGTGGAAATCGACAACCGTCTCAGGCTGAGGCTCAACAGTCTCAGTGACGATAGAACCAGTTCCTTCGATGGTAGTCTCTGTAACGCCCATACAGGCACAAGCACTACTGTACTGCTCAGCATCTGTGCATGATCCGGCATAGGATGGAATGCCCGTTGGCTTGATGATGTTCTTGGTGGATCGAGCGGCAATCGCACGCTTGGAGGGAAGGCCATAGTAAGTTGTCTCCGTAACACTGAAAGAGAGTCAGGATGAGGCTTCACGATGGGAGGCTATTACATACGTGTTCACGTCAGTCTGAACCACTGTCTTGGTCTATGTCCCTGTTAGTCCTTGCATTCCTCAAATAGACATCTCGGTATCCTTACGTTTACGTCGGTCTCCAGGTAGGGGTCTGGTGTCTATAATGAAGTCAGCAATATGATCTGATAGCAGCTTCTTGGTGCTTAGTGCTTACAATAGTCACAGTGACAGTCTTGGTGGGGGTGACAGCAACGTAAACGGTCACAGGGTCGGAAGTAACGCTGGTGGTGGCACTAGATGATGTTAGCTATTCCCAATCCATGTATGTGCGCCGCAGATGCTCAAAGGACCTACGTTTGATCGGACTGTGTCGCAGTAGCCTCATCCGTCTCCGGGCCCAGAGTCTCGGTGTCCTTCAGTGTGACGGTCGATTGCTCCCCAGTCGCAGTCACAGTCGTCGCAGAAGGGATCGATGTGTATCTTAGGAATGAGGAACAGTCGCTCTCGTGTGCGGGCGGCCATCTGCGAGCTCGGCAATTAGAGAGTCCTACTGCTTTGAGACAGGCGTCCTACGATTATCAGCGACGTAGCACCACTCCGTGTGGCTGACAATACCTTTGTGCAAGTCCCTGCATCCGCAGACGCGGATGCGATGAGCAAAGCAGATAACAATGTCACTTTCATTGTGATAATCGTCAACGCCACGCGAGCAAAAATGGCTGAACTAAATGCGCCAAGAGTCGAGGCGAGCGTTGTATTTATTCATCTGCAATCGGATGTTATTGCCGTCCCCTTTGTGAATCTCATCTCATGGATCTGTCCGTCAGAAAATAGCGGCTTAAAAAGCAGCCTATCTCTGAACTATCGATTTTGCTCAGGAACCAGAACTTGGCTGGCCAATCAAAGGCGTTCTGTCGTACAAAAATCTCCTAGTCTCGATCCTTCCTCCAATGGCGGCGGGCTGAACCTGATGCAATTTCCGATTGTACGAGCTACCCTAGATGACTAGTCCTTGAATGTCCCGAAGGTCAACTCTCTAGGCGATCCCAGCTGTCCTTTTCTAGTAATCGGCGTTTACTAAAGGAGGTTGAGAATTACCCGCGTCTTTAAGTATAGAAGTAATTATGATCGGAAAGTCAGTGGCAGGCCTCATCTTGCCAATGAGTATACCTGACCAATCAATTTCTTTTTTGATTGAAAGTCGTGTTGCGATCCTCTCCATCACCACCAAGCCAGAACTGGATTAACTATAAACTACCATTTGAGGGCAAAGCCATCAGAGATAATATCAATGAAGTAATTTTTCAATGGCTTTGTTGTCTTCATCGTGAGGCTCAGAGAACCTTTCATTAAGAAAATTATTATCCTTAACAATGGCCTCATAGTGCTTCTGAGAATTTCAGTAAACGTTCTGAATATTGGCTTCGAAATCCACCTTGAGTAGTTCTATTTTTAATTCTCAGCTGGGAAGGACTGCATCATACTTAGGGCGAAGATTATTGTGTTAATACCCCAGCTTGGTCCAGCCCCGTGCATGGCACGACATTTGGATTTAGTTCTAAGGTTCCTGTCTCAAATCGGGACGGATAAGGGATTATTATCTTTTATCTTATTCTTAGACTTTCCAATGCTTTTGAGAAACTCGGCTCGTTAAAACAGTCTCCCTAATTTATGACTTACCATATAGCATGCAGACAATCGATGTTTTGGAGCCAAAGATTAGAAATATAGGGTAGTTGACTATGGATAATAACCCAATGACACAGGGCCACGAGCCAAAACAGGAAAGTCCGACGGAGTACGGAACCTCCATCTTTCCGCGTATTTCCCTGTTGAAGCCGCCATCAAAATCAGCCAATAGCAGCTATCTTTCTGGCTACTAAAACCCACAATATCAGGGTCTCAAATAGGTACAGCGCCACGGTGTAGCTAATGGCAACTGTCTAAAAGATCAAATAGTGCCAAGCGCTATGATACACTATTGGCTTCCAGGCTTCGACAGAACTTTGACATACATGGGCTAGTGGCTAGTCTCAAGCTGAAGTCAGGGGTAATTTTCCAGCATCCAGTAACCACGAAACAGGATATAACCATATCTGGGAGGTAGATCTATGTAATCAATTGGATTGATGTGCTAAATACCTTTAAAATCTCAATAGTCATCTAAAATAACATCTAAATACACCTTCTGGCATTTTCCTCCAGCGAAAGCGGAAACATTTCCGTTTCAGAGCAGAGAACGAGGCGTTCACTAGTTGTCACCGATTGAGCGGACCCGTTCATTTTAAGTAAATAGTCTCATCGCGTAGTGTCTCGACCGCTCTCTTGGGAAACGTCTCTATTGAATTAGGGGCCGAGGTCACCGAATTTCGCTGCCGACATCCTCATAAACAATCGATATGTCGCCGCCCGCTCTTCTCGCTACTTTTACTTACCCTCACAGCGCCTCTCTTGGCCATCACACTCGTTAAAACCCTCGCCATGCGGTCTGCTTTCGCTTTGACGGGCCTGACTATCTTGTGCAACTTTGGTGTTGCCCTGGCAGGCCCATGCAAGCCTCATGCCACAGTAACGACATCTGCCCCGACCGCTTCAGAGACAAAGGGACCTGTTATTGTCAAGAACGTGATTGGCAATGGAAACTTCGCCGTCAGAGACCCCACCAACCCAAGCAACATCCCCAACTACACTGTCGAAGGCCAGTGTCAGATTGTTGAGAACAAGGGTTATACTGGCGATGGCAGCAAAGAGAAGGGTTGCGTCGAGCTACAAGCTGCCAACAATCCTTCCGGACGCAAGCGAGCGATTGGAAACATCGTCAGCATTTCGCAACAGCTTGACTCCCTCGACATCCAGAAAAAGTATACTGTTCGCTTCTTTTATGCTGTGGTTACTTCCAGCCAGATCAATGTCTGCACCCTGAGCGCATCCATCGCCGGCCACCAATTCTATACATCAACGATCCTCAGCATTGGAACAGCTATCGACTGGAATACTGTTCTTGAGCAGACCGATGTTCCTAATGCACAGGGTGCCTTTTCGGTGTCGGTCAATTGCCCGATTGGTGGAATTGCGGCTATTTATGTCGACTCGATCTTCATGTCTAACCAGGTCACTCCTGAGACGATCAATGATGTATCCATTGACTTTGGTGATGGAACTGATGTTGCTACTACTACGACATCCAATGGGCCAAACAGTGAGAGCACAAGAAGCTCATCGACAACAACCGACTCTTCCACTGGAACTGATGCCCTCACTTCGGAAACTGCACGCGCTACAACTGATCTTTCACCGGGGACTGATACCGACACTGTCCATCCATCAACCAAGTCTTTTATCACTAGTGAGACCACCAACAGTCAGAACAAGCCTTCGACCGCGAATGAGTTCACTGTCCCAACTTTGGACCCCTCGACAGCATCAGAGAAACAGTTTACGACTCTCACCCTTGACCCGTCTACAGCATCAGAGAGCCACATTCCGACTCTAACCCTGGATCCAACCACGAGCGCCCTGCATCCCTCAACCGCAAGTGACATCTCCCCTTCCACCGCGAGCTCTCTACCAACTGGTTCGCGCGTCTGCCCTGTAGGAGCCCCTCCACCAGGATACTGCACACCTGTGCAGCCAGAAGTAACCCAGACGGTGTCCTTGCCAGGGATCCCTCAAGTGTCTGAGAATGATCGTCCTACCGCCCCCAGGGCCTGCTGGGCTTTTGGAAAGGCAAAGCAAGGAACATGGGGTCGCACAAAGTCCAGCAACCCTCGACAAAACTCCATCGCTGACTGTGCCCTGCTTTGCAAGCAAGAGGGATCTGCTTGCAAGGCCTTTGCGCTGTACAACTTGGGTTCGGAGACCAGTTGCTGGATGCTTGGTGATACGCTGGGCGTCGTTGGTATTGATCTGAATGCGCAGAACTCCCTGATGTGGAATGATTTCGATTGCTTCGAGTGTCAGGATTGTGACATCAAGAACCCAGCGGATATCGAGACTTCAACCATCGCACCTTCAACTACCTCTGTTCCAGCAATCGCAACTACATCGGCTTCTCCCTCCATCCCCACTCTTTGTCCCAACTGCCATCTCAAAAGCTCACCATCCTCAGACCTTGTCTGTGAGAAGATCGGCAATCTCGGTACTGTTGATCTCGAGCCATATGCCAACAACGATTTCGATAAGGCCACTATGCAAACCAACTCGGAGCAGTGTGCAACTATCTGTTACCAGTTAGACGGCTGCGCTGCCTCAGCTCACGATGCTGCTAGGGGACGGTGCATTTTTACTAATGTTGCCATGACGAGTAGCGCCTTCCAGGAAGCACAGGATTTGAACGCCCATGATTACATTCTACCATGGAGTTCCCAAGGCTGCTGGTCCTGCTCTAACGACTGCTCAGTTCAGCATGATACCACCAGCCAGGCCCCTGGCTCTGCTGAACATACTGTTGAAGAAACGACAATGACTCCAACACGCACTGAACCTCTTACAACCTTCAGCTCTTCTTACGTTCCAACAATCACCGAGTCCTCCATGCCTCAATGCACCCTTGCTTTATCCGATGGATGCACCTTCGACCAGAACAACTATAATTATCAAGACTGCAGTAAATCGGGAACCATTAGGAACACTTTTACACTCGAAGACAACGAATACCCTTGGCAAGAGGGCATCAACACTTACCAGAACTGCGTAGCCCTTTGCAACCAAATGCCCCACCGCTGCAAGTCTTCTGCATGGGATCAGAACCAACAAGCCTGTGTCTTCTCCTCCAACTCCATATTCACCTCGGCCTTCATCCCCGGGAATAATGGCGACCAGGATATGGAGTGGAGTGACCAAAGCTGCTGGAAATGCTTCTGCCACGACCAAGATCGCGATGCATACTCTGCGTCGCTGAGGACTGCTCTCCCTACGGCGACTTGTGCCCCGAGCATCACGAGCGAGGACGCTGTTTGTTCGCTCAAGCAGGTCGACGCCGGTGATTTGGTCTGCCAACATCAAGGATACTTCCCATGGCAGTGGGACGAGGCACCTTCTAAGTTCCCCTACCAGGATTCAGAGGAGCGTTGTGCGGCTCTTTGCAATTCAAACCCTGACTGTCAAGCATCGGGCTGGTCTGAGGATTATGGCAAATGCGCAATTGGAGTTTGGCAGCTTAAGGATATTACCTGGCAGCAGTTTGGTGATACGAAGTTGAGTTGGAGTGACAAGGGCTGTTGGGATTGCTCTGACTGTATCAAGAGCCAGAAATGGCGTATCTATAACTAAGGCCTTTATCTAAATGACAAAAATAGATTTACTTCAGAGAATGTTTTAACTTCAAGGGATTTTCCATAATTCTCAGTATATTGTCATGTTTTTGCAGCAACTCTTGGAAAGGTTGAAGGTTTTCTTAAGCTATGATATTTGGAAAAGTTGTAGGGTCCCACGAGGCAATAAATGGCATTGAAAATAGCCCATCCATCATATCGGTGCACTCAAGCGGTTGAAGGCCAAAATCGTCAAGAAACGACATTTGAGACATGGTACTATTCGTTGCCAGCGTCGGTAATGGATCTGTCACCTCCTGATCTCCTAGTCCCAGCTCGGGATTATTGTTCATAGATTCATTGCTCATTAACAAGCCATTGACTCGTCTAAACCATAATCTCTCAAGAAGTTTCGCATATGCCGCTGCCATATGGTTGTCATCGACAGCAGCAGCTTTCAGAACTGAGATAAAGCGTTCCATAAGATTTGTTACGTGGGCGTGTTTCCCAGAGGAGATGGCACCGCAGGCGTGGGCTTTGTACAAGAAGACGGAAGAGTGAATTTCGTAACTGTCTTCCTTAGCAGTGTCAATTCTCGTATTGAGCTCACTTACAGGTAAAAGCGCGTTGGCATATAGCGTATATACTTCTCGGGATGAATGTCATCTGTAACTATTCTGATCAAGGCCTCAGCAGCGTCTGCGGCTTCATATATGTGTCGCGCATCAGGGCTCGCCATCGCTGAGTCCGGAAATATCTTGGAAACCCTTGAACGCGAGGTATCCGAAGGGTCAGAATGGGAACCACGGTTGACAGAAGCTCGATAGATGACAGCTTGGAAGGCAAAGGCGTTTACATACAAACGCAGATATTCTTGCATGAGGTTCAAACAACTTCTTAAATGAGGGGAGACAGCGAGAGAAGTCCAGGCATGCTGCCAAGCATACATGGCCTTGGTCGTATCATCAACGTATTTTGTGTAGTCACCTCGTATCATGAGTTCAGCGGTCCTAGACCTTGACGCAAAAAGGATGTCGTGGGCGTTGCCAAAGAGAGTCGTCAATTCAACTTGTGCTTGAATGAGCGAAGCAAAGTCCTCGTCGCGAGAACGTGTAGGCTGTAAGGCTGGAAAGTCTCGAGCAGTGAAGCGTGCTGAAAGAGCGGGACCTCTGCACCAGAACGCTTGTCCCATTCGGATTGATATTTGACGGTCTGATAGATAAGTGACTAAGAAGGGTAGATGTGAGCCTAAATATGAATTTGTCTAGTTCAGTAGAAGGAAAGTAAGCTTACAGGTCCAAACAAGTCTCTCCCTATGAATGGACTCAAGTTCGGCATCGTCAATATTAAAGCCACTATCTTCCAAGCGTAGCAGATATGCGAGTCTTACAGCCAGACCAACAATTGACCAGGCAGAAGCTTCGTCACCATCATCAACCTGGTCTTGACTGTGCAGAGTCCATTCGCCCATTAGCAATAAACCTTCGACAGTGCCGACTTTGCGGACACATTTCTTTCCTAGGACTACCTTCAGGATAAGGCTTTTCATGTACTCCCAGATGGACTTGTGGGTTTCTCCAAGATCTGTACGATCCTTTGAGGAAACGATGAGGATGGAGGTAAGGAGAAATGATTCGTTTCTTATTGTGTCGAGGATGTGCTCTGGTCTCAAGACGTGTGTTGGGACAAGAGGGAAGAAGTGGTGGTAGTTATCCGCATAACTTTGTAGCCCTATTAGCATCATACTCGTGACCGTTTGTTTCCATAATCCTCGTCAAGAATTATATCCAAGGAGATCTTTAGTTATTTTGGGCGTAAGAGAGGTTTGGCTTACTGTCGTAACAACTGCACAAGGGAGATAGCATCAAGAGTCCCATCACTGATTAGAGGGTAATCATCGACTGTTGTTTCGCTGACTGATTCTGATAGTGAATTGCTAAGTTGAGCTGTTCGCACTGATGATGTTGATAGTGTTACCTTTGTCCTGTTTGTAAGGCTTCTGTACTTGTCAGGTGCATGCTGATTATCATCTAAGCCGACTGCATCCTCAGGCTGGCCGGCTGCATGTGCAAGCACGAGCAAAGCATCACTAGGATTCTGCAGTTTCTCGTGAACTCCATCTTCTGTGGCCTTGTTGGTGTTGTTTTGTCGTGGTGATATATGGTCACCCGAAAACACAGAAAGTGTTGCTATTGGTTGTCTACTGTGCGTGGTTCGGCGGGGACGTCGATGATGTGAATAGTCACCACCTCTGCGGGAATCTGCGAGAATACACTCGGCACCCTCTCGGAGGCATTTTACGCATGGAGGTTTGCCAGGGTCACTCCCAGAGCTTCTGTAAGTACTTAGGTATTAGCTGACCGAGGATCACAGCTTAAACAAGTAAAAACGAGGGTAGCCTACGGATCACAGCGTGTCTTTCGCGAGCGGCATCTGACGCATGATCGATATTGCCTTATGCCTAAACCTTTGGTCATGACCAGTCGAGTCTTGTGAGCAATCGTCTATAGCCGTGAGAAAGGTGGATATGTCGGCTGGAGACCGATTGAAAGTAGAGATGAAATCGGTTTACACTGCTGTAACAACGGTTGCGGGGAAACCTGGGGTTTCTATAACCGTCTGTTGCCGTCAGATGGCGCTAGGCTTTAGACGGCTATAGACGGGCCATTCTTGGCATGAAGTCATCTTGGCCGCGTGAATAAGCATCAGAAGCTACGATTCGATGGTTCCGGTCGAACTGCATAAAAAGCCGATCATGCAGCTTGCAATTGGCTACAAGGATGGTATCCAAGCGGGGTTTGGCGAGGAAACAAATTGTTAGTTCGAGTTACCTCCTGTTGAATATAAGATCATCATCACGACTCATCTATTGATAAGCGAGTAGCCCGTGTCACAGCGCGAGAAGCTTCTACTCTGTGTTAGCAACACTATCTTTAATAACTCTCCCAATCAATCTTCCGACTCATCAAGCAACGCAATGGCTCCCAGTCGTATTGACTCTGTTCCTACAGAGAGCTCTGGAACTTCGCCAGTTCAAAAGCTGAAAACATCAAATGCAGCCTCGCAAGATCCCTATGGCTACTATCATCCCGCCGATCCAGCTACTCTAAGTCTTGAATCCAACTATGGTCCCATGGATCCTCAGACAATTGGTTACCTCCAGCCAACAACCATGAACACGCCATTGGAGGTGATGCATGAGCGATTCGAAAGAGATGGTTACCTCTTTGTAAGTAAACAAATCCAACATATAACCATGTCAACCGCATCACTTACCTATGTGTTTTCAGGTCAAAGGCTGCATCGACAAAGAAATCTCCCTCGCCTGTCGCCGCGACTACTTCACGCACATGGCCCCAAGCGGTCTTCTCCAAGAAGGAAGTGACCCTGTCGACGGTATCTACTCCGGAGCCGATTCGCGTAAATACCTCCCTCCTGGTAACCTACGCCGCCTCTTTGGTCTCAAAGACGATCCCCAGAGCGATCGATACGTTGAGCTTATGGTCTCAGCCCACGAAGCTGACTTCTATGTGGAGTTTTGCAAGAACGAGCAGCTCCGTGACTTTGTCCGCAGGTTCACCGGCGTGAAGCATCCTCATATGCTACAACGCACAATGCTCCGGGCTTTTGTCCCCAACAGCGAGCTGACACCCGTTCACTTTGACCAGATGTATCTCCGAGCAGGTCCTCCCACAAGTCTCACTGCCTGGATTCCCATCGGCGACGTGTCTCTCGAAGGAGGCGGTCTGATGTATCTTCAAGGTTCAACCGACATCGGAAAGAAGACTGAAGACGATTTTGCCGCCAACTCAAACAACTTGACCGATGAGGAGCGAGTTAGCGCATTCAACAAGAATATGAATGACGGTGGCTTCTTGAGCAGAGACACAGTTGCCTACGGCAAGGAGGCACGAAGAAAGTGGCTCATTGCTGAGTATGAGGCTGGCGACGTAATTTTCCACAATCCTTACATGGTTCATGCCAGTTGCAAAAACCGAGACCCCAACAACAAGATTCGTCTTGCAACGGACGTGAGATTTGTCGATCCGGAGAAACCTTATGACACTGTACGTTTTCAAGACCCAGTTATGACTTCTTCTGGTATGCTTACCTGTTATAGCGATGGATGAAAGTCTACAAACCTTTAGATGGACTGTGATGGTTCGAGGGCTAAGGCAACAAGTTTCATAACAGGAAGCAACAAGAATAAATGTTCGGTAAAGTCATAGCATTAAAACTATGGGTTCCTCAGTATAGGATTTTATATCTGTCTGTACTGATAAATCAGTTCTGGTTTGCTGTGAATATTGATGATTGAATAGTTAAAGCTTATCACATCTCAACGAGACACATCAGGCCAACACACATTGTAAACAGTGCTATAAATCTTTTGAGCATGCTAGAAGTCTCTAACCCTTGATAAAATCACTATTCATTCTAAAGAGGGGCTTGTATTGACTATTTAGTTTACTTTGTGCCTTGACGCTTAAAATCTTAAGTTCCAGATAGACCAAGCTCCATGGAAATCTTCCTCATTGAGGCCTCGCTGTTGTCCGTCTAATTCTTTTTCTTTTTCGTCACCAGCCATGTCGGTCGTATACTAAATCTCTAGGATTCATTATCTGGAATCCACTTCGCTTTGTGCTTCTAAGCTGTCCCATATAGTGCGATGTTCCATTCTGACACATTGTAGGCTAAGGTGGCAAAAGATCCCTAGAAGGGTTATCTTGTTACTGAAAACCGATGTTCTTGTGTCTCCCAGTTTTTGATTGATTTGACCAACATGACGGAAAAACAATGTTGGCTTGATATGTCTCGTTGAGATGTCATAAGCTTTAACTATCAATGAATTACGGAAAAACAAGTCCTAATTTCTCAGCAACTAGGCAATGGATAATTCATGACAATGCAGGCAATTGGGCAGTTCATATACGTCATTCTTCCGTCTACAGCCGCCATTCTCCCGTACTTGCATGCTAGTGACCATTTTCCCCGGACCAAGGGCGATCTCGTCAATGCGGGGAAGGAAGAAAATGCGGGTTTGCAAGTCCAGGCTTACGCTATCTCAAAGAGGCGTTTGCGGGGTTGACTCGTTGTCCGCCGTCTATTGCCGTCATGACCCAAGACATTTTCGGCCTCTACAACTGACTCGTGGCTGGGCGTAGGGTTGAGATAGTTAAAAGGCAAGGGTCTCATCGTAAAATAATGGCATTTATCAGTACGTTGGGCAATCCGATTCAACTCGCTATCTCAATTCATCATGTTTTTGCAAAGGTTTATTCATAATGATGCTGTCAAGAATGACCCTCCAGAGATATACAATTTGAGGACTGTGATGGTCAGTCTGATTGTAAGTCTCCCACCATCCCTGGGTTTTGTGAAGTTGAGTTACTCATTATTCATGACAGGCATGCGGTGGTGCACTTCTGTTCGGTGTATGTATATACTCTCGCAGGTAGTATTCCTCATCAGTCCAAGCTAATCAACCTAGATGGATATGGGCATTATGGGGGGTGTTCTGACTATGCCTACTTTCAAAGAGTGAATAATGCCACCTGAATCTCCAACCTCGAATGAACTAACAGACATCGCAGACAATATGGTCTGATCGACAAACCTGCGGCCGAAATTGCCAACCTTTCGTCCAACATCGTGTCGACCATTCAAGCTGGCTCATTTCTTGGATGTATCATTTCTATGTGGCTGGCTAACTTTATCGGTCGACGACTCTCTCTAATGGTTGCATCTCTTCTGGTATTCGTTGGTGTCGCCATGCAAGCGGCTGCTAGTGGCCATTTGTCGCTTATGTATATTGGAAGGTAAGCCATGATTCCAATCTCGACTCAAAGCACCACAGAACTGATACGTCGCAGATTCATCACTGGCATCGCCGTGGGTATCGCTTCCACCGTCAACCCCCTCTACGTATCTGAGAATGCTCCGCGAGGCATTCGAGGCCTTCTTACTGGCTTCTATCAGCTATCAATCGTTACTGGATTGACTGTGAGTTCTAACTACAAGTTTTCTCTGCTTACTGACCGCTTGGAAGCTCGCCTTCTGGATCAATTACGGCTGCCTTCTTCACGTCAAAGGAGATGCACAATACATCATACCACTTGCATTGCAGGCTCTTCCAGCCATAATACTTTTCTTCGGTATGATGTTCGCTAACGAGTCACCCCGATTCCTGGCCGAGAAGCACCCAAATAAGGCCCTCTTAGTCCTTTCCAAGCTAAGGGGTCTGCCACAAGACCATCCTTATATAGTTGAAGAGATGGAGAACATCTCTCTTCAGCTCGAGGAAGAGCGATCCTTGGCAGCCAACAGCTCAGGTTGGACTCTAGTAAAAGAAGCTTTCACCGTCAAATCATATCGGCGACGAACGTTCCTCTGCATCACCCTTATGATGTGGAGTAATCTCACGGGTACAAATGCAATGACTTACTACTCGCCTACAATTTTCAAATCAGTAGGGCTGTCGTCCTCATCTGCTGGGTTGTTCGCGACAGGCATTTATGGCATCGTGAAGATGGTCTCCTGTGCCATCTTCATCTTTTTCGTAACTGACTCTCTCGGTCGACGGAAGAGTCTTCTATGGACCGCAATTGTGCAGGGGCTGGCTTTATTTTATGTTGGATTCTATGTTCGATTTGATCCTCCTATCGCAGATTCTCCCGTTGGGGCTGCTGGTTATGTCGCTATCGTGGCCATTTACATCTTTGCGGCAGTCTATCAGTTTGGCTGGGGCCCTGTGGTCTGGACCTATTGTTCCGTGAGTTGAATTTCTTTGAGGGAATGCGATTTGACGGCTGACTAGCTTTTAGGAAATTCCTGCTGCCCGTATGCGCGCACTCCAGATGGGCATGGCGACTGCCAGTCAATGGTTGTTCAACTTTGTTGTCGCCAAGAGTACACCAAGCATGCTTGCCACACTTGGCCGTGGCGGGTTTGGCACTTACTTCATATATGGTTCATTCTGTTTTGCTATGGTTGTTTTTGCTTGGTTCTTTGTCCCGGAAACCAAAGGCAAGTCATTAAATCAAAGCTATATGTCCCACTTCCCCTTCATTTTCACTAACGGAGATACTCAGGGCTTGCTCTTGAGGACATGGATGAACTCTTTTCGTATAATGACGTGCGAGCCCATTTTGTGCCCACTCGACTATCTCACATCGAAGCCGAACGTGTTGCCAAGGAGGAAATGGATTCCAGGGTCGAGCATGTTGATAAAGTCTGAGAGCACCATATAGATAGTGCAATAAGTTGGGTGGAAAGCTTTATATACACTATCTATCCTACCTGGTAATTTTCTAGAAGTCTCAAAGTCCCGCAAAGGTGATTTTCTGATAGCTGAGCTTACAGTACGACCTTGCGTATAAGCACTGAACCTCACTGCTCCATTACGTGAGGACATTGGTTTGCATTGCTGCTTCGCGATAGTAGCATTATATGTCTTACACTAACATACAGAGTAAGCTTGCATAATAAATACCTGGGCAGTTCACAGATCTCTCTGGAAATGTGCTCTGCCGCTTACCGACGCGACGAATACGGCCAACACGAACAACACGGTGAATACGACGAATACGATTTGTGGAGTGACTAGCGCCTAGTCCGAGGAAGAACAAAAACCACCAGCCAATCAATGCGCTCTATTCAGGATACAAGCGCCGGTGATTTGCACTAAAGTATTCTTAGCCGTTTCATTTGTCTGTGAAGGCATCGCTTCTAGCTCATTTGAATAGGTCTCGTCGGCTCTAAACTGCCCCGAGGTGCTCTGTTTCTCACTCGTGCTTTTGCAGTTGAGGTTTGTGGCTGAGAGCCTATATCAGGATGAGAACCTAGCGCCTTTTGTGACTTCCTGGGGCTATAAGATCTCTGCCCAGGAGCGCAATTTTTCTGATCATTCTCTCATTAGAGTATTTAAGTCTGACTGACAGTCTATGGGTAAATTTGTCGCCGCCGACAAAATGCATATCATCATTATTGGTGCTGGCCCAGCTGGCCTCGCAGCCGCCCTCGCACTCTCCCAAACAGCCATTCAAGGCTCGCCGCCTCGCATCACTATTCTCGAGCTGCGCCCAAAAGTCGAAACGCTCTGCGGGACGATTCTGCTAACACCCTTGGCGCTACGATACCTGGATGCTCTTGGAGTCGGATCACGATTACGAAAACTGGGTATCCCGATCCGAGGTGTCGATGTCGTGGCTCTTTGGACTGGCCGGACGCTGGGGCAGATGTTACCGGGAACAGATGCGCTGAGAGTTATGAGGCATCATCTTGTGCAATGCATGGCGGATGCTGTTGCTGAACTGCCTAACGACCGGGTCAACTTGCGTTATGGTGCGAGGGTCACCGACATACGACAGGTCGACGACCAGGGAGATGATGAGGGTACTGTTCGTGTCGACCTACGATTTGATGCCGATGAGTCGCAGGAGTCTATCAGTTGCGATATTCTGCTTGGTTGCGATGGTATACACTCTTTCGTTCGGACCACGGTCGTGGATTGTGAACGGAAGAAGACGTATTCTGGTCGTGCCATTGCCTACGGGTACGTCAACTGTGATTCTCCTGGAAACATCAATATGACAACATCAGATGGGAAGCCCATCCTCCTGGACTCTACTATGATCCAAGGCCAGCATGGATCATTCTTCATGACCTATTTCGAGCCATCGAGGGAGAAGGTATATGCTCTAGCTCTCATGCCAATGGCAGAGAACCAAGACTCACGGGAAGGATGGAAGGCGTTAGGAGAAGACAAACTCACACTCAAGCGGGATATTGTTGCTCGTTTTAAAGAAGGCAGTATTGAAGGCCTAGAAACCATCATCAACGAAAGCGACTGGTACTTCTACCCTGTCTATATGCTTCCTCCTGAGGGAAGATGGAGCAAAGGAAGAGTGCTTCTTCTAGGGGACGCCGCGCATGCTGTAAGTGCTGTTCCATATTCGCCACAGCTATATCATCTAACATGAGCAAATAGATGCCACCCCAGGGCGAAAGTACCGGTATCGCGATCGAAGACGGTGTCCTATTCGCCCATGTACTTAGCGAGGGGATATCAAGGGGTGTACCTTATGTCATGGAAGCCTATGAGGCCCTGAGACGAGATGACATCAAGAAACTGCACGCTGAGACAATGTTTCGCTGGAATGCTGGGAGTTCGTCGTCGTGGCTATGGAGTATCACGATGGAATTTGCTACTTGGGTCTATCTTCTTCTTGCCAACTACCGACAGGAAGATTACTTTAAGCGGGATGTAAGAAGCTTCAAGCTTCCATGACACTAATTTGAATTATTCAGACAAGTAATTGAAGGCAAATGTTATTTTAGTAGCTCTCTTCCTTGAATATCGGCTTAAACTACACCTGCAACTTGGCACCAAAAAAGCCCCGAATTGGCAGTAACCCATTGTGTTGATGTTGTTAATCTTGAGATAAACCGAAATAACACCATTCTTATTTTATCAGAGCACTCGGAACTTCTATTATGTGCAGAGAAATGACTATGAACAAGCTACCTCATGCAGAAATGTCAACATACTCATAGCTGAAAACACTACTAGGCTGCGCCTCCACCAATAAATATGCTGCGCCTCCACCAATAAATATGCTGCGCCACTGCCGATAAGCTGCGCCTCTATCAATAACTACTTCAATTAATAAATTCCTCTCTAGCTTTCCCCGCCCTCCCGAGGTATCCTGTTCCTCATAGAAAAATCAGGTCGCGTGCTAAAGAGTCTTTGATTATGGCCTCAACGACATCCTACAGTCAAGGAGAAACCTCGCAGCGAGCTCCGCACAGGCGAGCCAACGTCGGATGGCTATCCCCATGTACGGACTTCCCGATCTTGACATCGCATTCCATTAACGCTAGCAGCAACCCAACCGCCGAAAGCAATCATCAACAGTAACTACGGCCCTGCGCTTACAAACGAGGAATTATATGCTGTGGCACGCAACTTGTCAACATTAGACCAGTTTCTTCTTCTGTATTGCCGGCATTTCTACCAGCAAATTGCGTCTGGACAACTCAACTCAGGCGATGTTTCTGCGCAAAGACTAGCTTTGAACGACTTGGAGGATCTTCAGACAATCCTAACTCAGATTGAAGATGTTAGCACCGGCCGGTGCGTGTTCAGTAGCCTCTACTTAAAGGAGAGACATATTCTTTACTATTGGGCAAGAGCCATCTCATTTCTATCTCAGAATCTCTTACCGGGGGGTGAAATACACCAACCGTCGCTGGGGAACCTCAAGAGAATCACTGAATATGCCTCTGACTTAGAGAATGCAATACTTGGTGCAGGCTCGGCCGGGGTGCTGACATCTGATTATCGATTGGTGCTTTCCGAGCGATGGGATCTTCTCGAAAACGCCCTCAAGTTGTACTATCAGCATTCGCAATCTCCTCGAACGGTTGCAAAATGGTGAGTCATTCTGTACATCATATAGAAGCAAGCTAAACAAGATTCAGGCCCGACATAGCGCGCAAAGTCCAAGCGGCACCGAAAGTAGTGCCTCAAGACAGCAAAGCAGGCCTTCCAATGCACTCTGGTGTATGTATGTCCTTTGACCAGCTTTGGACATAAACTGACCTCAGTTCGTAGACATTCACAACAATACTCTGGTTGACATTCGTGGGAACTACTTTATCCAACATCTGGACCTTTGCACTTGCTTACAATTATTCCGACCATAAACCAGGAACTACAAAGGATGCAGATTTCTGGTTTCTCATGCAAAGCTGTATCACGCAGGGGTTTACCTTAATCATCTCAGGTATCCCTTTAAGGGCAGATCCTCGATTGCGGAAGCGGACTTGGGTGCCTCCCATGTTGCTGGCATTGATCTGCACGATCATAGCACCGCCCCTGTACCTCACGGCTCCGACGGAGTGGTCGAGCTTCGTTGGTCTTATAGCTACAGGCATACAGGCATTCATGGTTCTACAGCTTGTGACAGTGTCAGGATGAGTTAAGGGCTCCAGTTTGCATGGCTTTTGGTGGCTCAGACATAATTTATACCAGAATTAACATTATATATAGAGCAAACACCCCGCCTCCGATATTTATTTATACAACAAAAACTTTCATCTCTAATCCTAATAATAAGACACAAACAGCAGGACCTAGAGGGTTATTAATCGCTTAGGCCGCAAGGATACCAGGTGCCGTGCTCGGATCAAAAACGTTCCACACAAACGGCATTCCTTGACTAAGCCCATTGCCCCCAAGCTTTCTCCCTTTGACGTCTTTACTGAACTCAGATAAAGTAGCTGAGTACACTTTGACACCTGCACGCGCCTTCTTGTTGATTCGAGAATAAAAGTCAGTTTCGTTGAAAAGAAAACGCAGCGAATCAGTAGTATCAGCCATCTGCGCTTGGTTGAAAGCTGCGACGAGCGAAATCTGCTGTATCGAGGCTTCTAAATCTGGGAGAAACGATACGAGGCTAGAGATGCCCTTGTCCTTTGGCAGCGGTCGGTAAAGTGATAATGGGTGCATCGGCAAGACGGCACTGTAATGCACAAGACTATTGCTATTTAGCGATCCATGAAGGATCGATATAAGGTACGCGTGATGTGAGAGAACAGCGACCAGTTCCGATTTGGTGGTGATGGTATCAGGAAAGTCGACTATAGAGGCGACATGGGCTGCCTCATGAAACCATGCGGCGAGCTCGTTATCGGCGGTGATGGCATCGTCTGAAGGGTAATATGCGTCAACATACGCGGTAATGAAAGTACGTAGAGCACCTAAGATGACTAAAGCATCATCGTAATAGGGAAATGACTTCAACTCAGGACCGTAATCGCAGTTTATCAAACCCCGCCGGGTGAGCTTCGCTTCGAGATAATTCGCCCGCCATGGAGCGCATTCGGACTGCCAGACCTGTTTACTGTACTTGATCGCCTGGTCACCATTCCAAGCAAAGTTCTTCTCGATGTCGCCGCCTGGATTAACGAGAGATACGCTAGCTCCCACGCGGTATGCAAAAGAGTTGACGCCCACTACACAATGTGATCAGTTCTGCTATTTGAGCAAGTCTTGGGTATAACCTACGGCGACGGATCAGACCCCAGATCGGGTGCATGTCACTGAAAGACCTGGTAGCCGACATGTAGATGAGATCGGAAGATATGTGAGCGGCGGCGAGGTGATACCACTGATTATGCCAGACATCATTCATGTTTAGCAGTATCTTGGCTAGAGTCCAGTCATTTTCTTCATCGAGAGGAGTGTAGATCAGAGGCGAGCCATTGTTGGGACGAATTGCCAATGGTAAGAAGTCTTGTGAGACAGGATGAATGAAGAACAGCGCCTCACAAGCGCCAGCGTAGCGACCTTTTGTCAAAGTCAGGTTCGTCAGATTGATGTGATCCACGATGAATAGGCGTCCTTCTCTCTGGAGAGAGCGCTGTGTTTTTGTCGTGATCTTCCGTGCAAGCTTGTCGTCAACACGGAGTGCTACGCGCTCATCTGGTCTAACTCGTCGTAGGCTTTCGGGATGCACCGAGAGCCGCTCCATGGAAAACGACAGATCGGACTTGGCATTACGGAGGACTCCTTCAGCAAGCCCATCTGGAACGCTGTTCTGCCACTGTCCATCGTATAGCTTGAAATAGTCTTCGAACGAATCTAAATGGAGGGTCTTGATATGGATTGATTAGCAAGGGAAGTGTTTAAAGTCCCTAGCCGTATTATTCTAGCTTACTCCGTTCAGGGACGCTTGGGCTTGAGCAGCATCCTCGTCAACATGTTTGTAAACCGGTGCCTCAGACGTCTCGAACGCACTGTAGTGCGTCTTGACGGCTTTTTTGCCGAGTGGTCCTGAGGGCCATGGATTAACGCCGATGAGAGTATCATCCATTCCGTACTGGAAACCTTGACGCGTCTTCTGGATTGCGGCAGCTCGGCCTGAGTTGTTACTTAACGGGAGTGAAAAAGGCCGTGGCGGATTCGCTGCTGCGATGGCTCCAGCGACATTGAACAGCAACGCGATATTCAAGAGCATTTTTGAATCCAAGGTTGAAGAACGAGAGACAGGAACAAGGTCTGGTTGATGCAGTCCTTGAAACGGAGAAGGTTCTTATAGGTAATTACCATTCAACAACGAGCGGGCGTACAATAGGGATTAAACGGCCGTCATAACCATTTTACAGTAGTAGTGCTAGTTAACTGACTTTCAGTATCATTTCCCAATCGCCCGCATCAGCATCAAAGTTTAAATTCAAGGCCGGCAAATGGCTATGTAGCACTGACCTCCAAAAGTCGGGGCACATTGGCTAAGGTCGGTGCCCGCGGATTGGATGCTCAAGGACCGACCGGCCCATTCCTGTACAGTTATACATTCTTTTACCCGACCGTAGTTGTGGTTGAGCCTTGTTGACGTCCTGCCACAAAGGCATAAATGGATATCTGTTTGCTCTTACGAGGGCATTTGGGAAGGGTTCACCGCAGGGTATTTTATATGCGACATTCTGTGCTATCGCTCTGATAGCCCTGCCACGGCGTAATACATATTGCTCTTGAGTGTGCGGCTTCACATTGGTGGCTATAACGCACTTTGGCACGTTGAGATCAGTATTCTACCAAGACGAATATTTCCGTGTGATATGGGCAGCGCACCCTGGTTCAGTCCGAATTCCGCAACATCGCAATGTGTCCGTCTCCGTGAAAACCGAAATAGCACCAAACAGCGTCACTGAACTGTCAATGTACAAAGCTGAAAGTCGGGCCCGGAACGTGCTTCCATTGGGCGAATAATGAGCGACAAATTGTATTTACTACGTCATGTTGTGATGTGCACGTTCTATCTCCAAAACCCGGACCCGCGGGAGCCGGGATTGGAGGCCCTTAGCGAAACATTCAAGAGTCTGGCAATAAATACATCATCCCGCAGCACTTGGAAAACACCATAAATATTTTAACAATAGTTTCGAGACGACTAACGAACAAAACAATCGCCCCCCTTACCTGATCCGGGACCTATAGCCGCCATATTCCACCATGTTCGAGAATCTCAGTCTCCGAATTCCATATCCTCCACCGCAAGAAGGATTTTGGGGACAGCCAACTTCAACCCTGAACTGGTGCGAGGAAGTCAGTTATTTCCAACATCTTGGGCACCACAATTCTTTATCCATTGGTTCATACCTGATACCTATTCCAGGACTATGTCATCAGCCATTACGCTGCCGAAATAACCAACACATTGACCAACGCTTTATTCATTGCGCTTGGCATTCGGGGAGTGCGGAATTGCGTCAAGTACAAACACGACACGGTATTTATTTTCGCGTACCTGGGCTATTTGTTGGTAGGCTGTGGTAGCTTTGCTTTCCACGCGACTCTGTCATGTATCGTATTCCGTTTCCTCAAAGCTATGCAAGGTCACTAACAGACGCCTAGATCCAATGCAGCTCGTGGATGAGCTTTCCATGATCTATACAACTTCTATTCTCTGTTATGCAATATTTACACACGACAGGTCTCGATTGTTCTCGCTATTCCTGGGGATCGGACTCGTTGTGCTATCACTCTCAATCACGGTACGTTCTTCAAACCCTTTCAGAGTACTTTATCACTAACCTGACTCTTCCTCCAAAGCATATTATCACTACATTCAAGACCCTGCCTTTCACCAAAATGCCTTTACCATTCTTTTTCTCACAACAGTGTTCCGAAGTCTGTACACGATGGAAGCGATTTTGCGTCCTACGTTGAATGACAAATACGCAAACAATTCCTGCAAAACTCTGCTCTCAAATGGAAAAGAATCAGGTTCCCCCATACCAAGTAATCAGGCTATAATCCAAGAGATGCGATGGATTGTGGCCATGGGTTTCATTACCTGTGCAGCTGGTATTGCTGCCTGGCAATTTGACAACTTACGCTGCAGTGATCTCGTCCGATGGAGGCATCAAGCGGGGCTGCCATGGGGTATTCTCCTTGAAGGCCATGGGGTACGTATGACTTCGTGATTCTTGATCTCAGGCAGCTAACAAGTGGTAGTGGTGGTATGCTATTGTACTGAGATAGTGTGTCGTTCTTTGACTAATGATATCTAGGCACCTGATGACTGGGCTGGGAGTGAACTATTTTATCACCTGGGGTATTTGGCTCAGGCACTGCTTGAACGGCTTGCACGATCAGTACATCTTGCACTGGCCACAAAAGCTCTTATCGCTTCCGAGTGTGGTCTCATCGCTTCAGCACCGAAGAGATCAAAACCTACAGCATGCAACGACTGTTGCCTTGCGGGATTTTAGATTGGAAAAGAAGGAGCTTCAGTCGCACGTTATCTAAGCTGTTGTGACCGTCATCAATGTTGTTACAAATTATAGATAAGAAGAATAATACATGACCTCCACAGACGCAATGATAGAGCTGAATGAAAGGTCAGAAAGGTCAAATATGTTGTTTTTCTGTTGAATCTACCTTTGAAAACGATGAGATGATCCCGCTGATATCTGCAGGAGCTGCAGAACTTACATGTAAATCTGCTATAGGTATTATAGGCCTTACAATAAAACCTCACTCTTTATTCTACAACACCATAGTGACATAGCTTCAGTCGACAGCGACAGCGTGTTCGTAGGAATGGATTGTAGTAGTGTATTGTGGGTGAATCAAAAATGACACAAATTTCTATATAATATGGCCCCTTCCGGATTCCATCTATAAATCAATAACTACCTTTTGTCTACCTATAATCAGTTTCGGTGTTATTAATATTCTCACCATTCATTATCCGGTCATCCCACCATTTATGAATATCTGGCGCTCCGGACACCAGCATCTTGATGTCTCCATCAATCAGGAAACTGTCTAGGGCACTCTCTTCAAAATTATCCACATTATCCATTCTTAGCGCTCGAAGAGAATAGCTTTGACAAAATGCTATCAAGTTCGGTGCCAGAACTGAATGCGGTTTCGTGATGAGATGAGGCAGCCTTTCCATAAACCCTGTTCCTCTTCTGCCCTCCATTGCGGAAATAGATTCAGCTGAAGACAATTAGATTTGACCTCGAACGTGAGAAATAATACCTACCTAGGCCGAAGCGAATGAGCTCGCGCTCTGTTTCCAAAATGCGATAGTTCGAGAATATCGAATTGGCTGTTTCCATCTTGCGCGCGATGATGTGCAGGTAGTACACCAGCAATTCGAAAGGATAAGAGTTCTCAATCCAAATGTCCCAAAAGTTACCACCGTGCGCCATCTCAACGGATGAGACCATGTCATTCCAAATGGGCTTCTCAATGATCCACTGGAGAGACTCGAGCAACCAAAGCTGATCACCGAAGGAATTGATAGATCGTCCAAGAGTAGCGGCGGCTTTACTCATGAGAAACTTTTCTCGATCTTGAAACGACATTCTGGATCGCCAGACGATGGGGTTGCGCAGATGGCCCTCAAAAATATCTCTGATTTCACCTGGCGAAACGAATATCGCTTCGGAATCAAGCCACATAGCCAAGTCGTAATCGAACTGATCGGCCGCAGACATTTTCTTGATCGATTGATAAGCGTATTTATCATATTTCTTTAACAAGCCACTCGTGTCTTCGGGTGTAAGGTCCGTTCGGAGTCTGGCTGGCAGAATGTCGTATAGATTCACGATGTTGAAGCTAGGATTCTTTCCGGGAACGTTGTCCTTTGGCGTTTTCCACCGACTGAATGTTTCGTTGCAATCTTCGAGGGTCGAGAGAAGCTGAGTAAGGCCCTCGACTTCTGCAGAGTTGGATACAATGATATGCCAGTCCACTTTGTCATGATCGACGCACAGACACTTGACGGATTGGAAATATCGAAAGACTTGAGGAAAATGTCCATCCTCGCTGCAGTGTTAGATTCGTGAAAATGGTGGTGAAAAGGAGGTCTCACAAAGGTCGGTAGCAATACGGCGAGGCGCTTGGTTTCTATAGGCTGCACCTCGCTGAAATTGGGGTGTTCAGGTTTGTAATTGACGAGCCGATCGGTGTATCGACTATCATTGGCTGGTTGCGGCGGCCATGATGGCGGATCTGACGGAACCCATGGATTCTCGATATCATTCGGTCGAAAGGGGAGGTGAGGCGACGTATGTAGCGCGAAGAAGACGACGGTGGAAAACGTAAGAACGGAGATGCCAATTAGAGCGTTTTTGAGCCTGCATACCAAATTAGCAGAGTCGAAGAGGTTTGTCGCAACATGTAGCTGACTTGCCAAGAAAGATAGTTGGGCTTGACAAAGAGCTGCTCATATGAATATGACATCTTCATGTCAAACATTCTATTCATAACAGCGCCGAACAAAAGATTATCTCTTGCTGGAGGAAATTTGTTTGGAGATGGGGAAAATGGGAAGTGCTTCTAAATCCCATAAATCACATGATGGAGCCCAGACCCATGATCTGTCTGCGAAACCTTGAGCAGCATGCCAGCTCGTATCTAGCCCAGGGACTAGTAAAGCTTGTTCCATTTCACTCCTCTATTAGGGCTAGCGAGGAACATGGCGCGATGAAAACAGCCGCTATACGGACGGACAACAAACTGGGACTAGGCCTGAATTGATTCACTGGAATGAAGACCTTCTATTTCTACCTAACCAAACGCCATTACAAGGAATTCTATATGCCATGCCACCCAATCACTTCTGCACATGTAAATCAAATCCGTTTTCCGCTAAACTCCTCCGCCGGCCAACCCTGCATTGTCCTCCTCTCCTCCACAACATCGCCACCCATGATAAGGGTATGTTCCAGCAAGCAGCTATCACTCTTCATCTGCGCACCACTCAAAAGTCGACTTCCTGTTCGGAGTACACATCTGTCGCCAATCTCAACCTTGTTCAAGTCGAACTTGCCACGTGTGTTGATGTGTGCGACAACGCTGGCATCATCAATGACAACACGATCACCAAGGGTGATAAGATCCGGTTCAGTAAACATGAGGCTCGGGGTACCGTTGACGAAGAGTGCGCAGTCTTTGCCAATCTTGGCACCCATGAGCTTGAAGTAAATGACCATCCAGTGAGTCCCCGTGAGGAGGTTCAGAATACCATTCCCTTTGTAGCATTGTCGGCGAAGGCGCTCAATGCCGAGAAAGATCTGCCAGCGCTGGCAGTACGGAGACTTGTCCCAATCGTAGTTACCAGCCTTGCGACGGCCCATGAGTAGCCACTTTGATCCAATGATAATTGCCAACGCAAGAACGGATTGGGTCGTGGAGAGGACAGCGATACCAGCCAGCATGGTTAGGAAGATAGCGACAAGGTCAAACCAGACGTTCATGCCACGGGGAAAAGAGCTTCGGAACATGATACCCACGAATTGAATGGATGAAACGCTGGGAACATCCCAGTACACAGCGGTGAAGACGGTGAAGAAGGCAGAGTAGAGGAATATTGCGAAGGGACCTAGGACATGGTAAGGTGCTAGCTTGAGGTAGAAGGCTCGACCGAATGGAGAGAGATGCTGTGCCCAGTCATCTTTGCCTTCACTGCCCTCAGTGCCACTTTCAGATGTGATGCTGGGCTGTGTATCAGGACGGTCCTTCTCGTCGTTGAACTTCTTGTCATTGGTGAGGGTATCCTCTGACTGCATGTTGCGGATATGAGAGCGAGAGACTTTGATGTCACTACCGGTTGACAAACAGACTGCATCGCCTGCCTTGGAGCCGACATAGGTCCCGTCAGAGACATAGTTGCCATTTCGCTTGGTCAAGGCACCAGATCCCATGGTAGTACGCTCACCGACTGTGACACCAGGGAGAAGACAAACACGATCAGCGATCATGGCGCGGTCTTGGATGGTGACCTTCTCAGACCCGATCCCATCAGAAGTGACGAGATGAGAACGTGAGCCAAAGACTACATCGTTACCAACGTCAATGAGATGGTAGTCGCCGATACTAGGACCAGTACCAGGCCAGTACACACGCTCACCAATCTTGGCACCCAACATTCTTAACGCAATAGACGTAGCCTCGTAATGCTGCCCAAACAAAGAAGTCATCCGATGAAGCTTCCCCTCCGGCAAAAGCGTCTTGGTCAAGTGCGCTCTCCAGATATCCACCGTCGATCGCGAATTGGCTTTGAGCTTTCCAAGGAAGCAGTCCAGAGTAGACTTGATCAAGATGACAAACCCGAAGAGGAAGAACGGACCGAAAAGGCATCCGAGAGCAAGAGCGAGGTAATGGTAGGCGATTTGGTTTGGTTGAGTGAACCAGTCCACGCTGCTTCTCAATGGAGCCTTGTGGTTAACCTTTTGACCCTGTGTAGTTACCATACCGACAAGACCGGCCATCCAAGGAACTGCCGAGAGGAATAGACCGATGAGTTTCAGTGGCATAGTGAAGAGCAGGTTCAACACCCAGTGAGGCTTGGGCTTCTCGCTTGGAAGTTGGTCCCTGTACTCCTCGCTCGCGTCTTGCATCTCCCAGCTCGATGAGTTGAAGCCTAGGCATGTATCAGGTGGCATTGTCGTTCCAGGCGCAATGATGGAAGACATCCCAACAGAGCAGTTGCTTCCAACGGCGATGCGACCAAGGTACATCGACGTGTTCCCCTCAGCCGCAAAAGGTCGACAGATGCACTTTGTGAGATTACAATCATCCCCAATGTCAATCAAATCCCACTCCCCAATCACCGCACCCTCAATCTTGACATTCCTGCCAATCTTGGCCCCCATAAGCCGACAGTAAATCCTCTCCGTCATCTCATTCGCATCAAAGAAGCCCTTGCCGCAGATAGCAACAATCTTTTGTACAAGCCACCATCGGGTATGATACATTCCCCACATGGGGTATAGTCCTTCGCGATAGCGGCCGATGATGAGCCATTTGCAGATGATGCCAATGATGGGTGATACAAAGCCCATGATGATACGGGCGGTGAGCATGGAGACGGTGAGGTTGAGAAAACGGCCGGGGAGGGAGTGATTGGTGGGGAGTTTCTGGGAGTGCGCGAGTGTTACGAAGAAGATAGTCCATTGGACGGCGCGGCGGGGGGGGTAGAATATCACGAGGGGAAGAGTTGAAGGATCATGAGGAAGGGGTTGGTGGAACTGCAAGTCTCGGTACATCCGACAACAGCCTTGGGTTCGTCTGACTTATCAGTCTTGCTATCGATCATCTTGTCGATATGCGCAGCGATGGAAGTAACAGTGCCGCCGTTGAAGACTGCTGTGATGGGGAGACTAATGCTGAACTCGGTACGAAGCATTGAGAGAAGACGACCGGCGCGAAGGGAGTCACCACCGAGACTAAAGAAGTCTACGTCGCGGGGAATGTCTGCGGGTGGGAGCGATAGGACTTCGGCAAAGGCTTTGGTGACGAGTCCTTCTGTGCTGGCAGCTAGTTCGTTCATAGAAGCCATTTGAAGTTGCTCAAGTTCTGCGCGGAGTACTTCGACGTTGATGTTTCCGGATGTGTCTTTGTGGAATGGGTGAGGCATGATGTGAATCTCGGTAGGGATCATGTAGTTGTCGATGACTAAGATCAATTGTTGTCGAATGTCAACAAGAACCTCAGAGTCAACAGTACTTTCAACCTTGGGCGCAAGAACCGCTTCTGGAGAACCATCATGTGTGCTAGGAAGGCAGAAGACATCCATGTCTGGAGCGACTTTCTGGATATGAGCCGTAAGCTTAGTATAGTCAACAGAGCAAGGCAAGCATTGGATAGGCTCCGACAAGGGCGTATCAGCTGGAGGACAAACTGCATCCCAATGCCTACCCATATAAGGCGTGTCATCAGTAACAGAAGGAAGGCCGAGTCTTTGACCAAGTTTGATACGTAGAACCTTGTTGTTGTTCTTTGGAAGGTCTTCCATGTAAGTGATTGAGACGGGCCACTTTGCCTGCTGAAGAGAAGACTTCAACGCGCCATGAAGAGTCCTCAGATCAACACGTGGAGTATCGGGAGGTGTGACGAGGACAATAGCGACGACTTCTTGAAGAACAGCATGCGATGCTGAAAACGCCAAAGCCTGTGAAACCCTCCCGTAGATGGGCGAGTCACTCTCTCTCGAAGCCGTCATGATGGTATTCTCAACCTCAAATGGAGATATCAACTCTCCACCACGGTTGATGACCTCTTTACTACGACCAGTGATGTAAAGATAGCCATCGTCGTCCATGTATCCAAGATCACCGGTATCGAACCAGCCAGCCTCGTTAAAGGGCGACTTGTCGTATGTACCATCGGGTTTGAGATATCCAGGGAAGACAGGTTCGCCGCGAACGCAGATGCGACCGACTGTGCCGTTTGTGACGACTTGTTCAGACCAGTCGAGGATGGTGAGTTCGGGGCCGGTGCTGATACCTGATGTACCTTCGGGATCAAGACGATAATCTAGTGGAGGTATGGAAATTGGCATGCACCTGTAGCTGGCTGTTAGCATGTCCCAGCCTGAAGGGAAGTGACTTACTCTGTCATTCCATAGCTTGGTAAGACAATACAGTTGAACGTGTCCCTCAGTTGATACGCCAAAGAAGGTAGTAAACCCCCAGCAGCGTTACAAGCCAATCGTATCCGACTTTTTCGCAAAGCTTCTGGTCGCGCTGCTGCCTCTGCGATGATGATAGAGTGCATAGACGGTGAAGCGTAGTACCATGTTGGCTGAATGGTCTCAGCCACGTCCCAGAAGAGATTGGCGTCGAAGGAGGGACAGCAGACTGTTGAGCCGCCGGAGAAGATCGGTGCAAAGATGTTTCAGACTAATCCCCCGCTGTATAATATTAGCAGAAGCGAGTGGCAGGCTTGTAACGGTGACTTACACGTGGTAGAGCGGCATCATGTTCAGACAGATGTCTTCAGCCGTGAGACCCCACGACTCAATGACGAAAGCGACGCCGGCAATGATAGAGTGCACTGTCAGTGGGACTACCTTCTTGGTACCCGATGTTCCACTTGTGAAGAGGATCAGCCCAATGTCATCAGCCTTGTTAGCGACTCGTTCAGCGCTGCCAGTGGGGATAGCTTCTCCATCGACTGTCCTTAGCGAAATGCCCTCATCTCGAGTCCAGTCCATGATGAAGATCTTGATTTTGTTATCTGATACCCAGCTAGCATCGAACTGTAGTTTCTCGTACTCATCCTTCGTTGTGAGGATAAAGTCAGCTCGCGCTTGAAGAATGTCTGCTCGGAATTGTTCTACTGCTGCAGCGGGGTTGATTGGCGATGCGGTGTAGTAAGTCGTAACAGCGATGCAAGTTGCTGCGAGTAACGGACCGTTTGGTAACGCGATGGAAACAACAGGTCTCTTGATGCATGCATCAACAGGAAGTTGGAAGCTGTCCACGAATTGTCGTAGTTCGCGATGGGTGATGACATCCTCATCTGTGGGGGCTCGTAGGGCTGGCTTGTCATCGTGGCCAATGAACTGCGCAAAGGATGTATACGAGCTCCTAACTAGCGCTGAAGCTTGCTTGATTAGGCACGAAAGCTCGTGAGTGCTGTTGGTCTTGGCATCTTCTGGGAGTTGGGTGTAGAGTCTTGTGTAAGTCTTGATGAGTTGGAAGACTGGCCATGGACCAGGTAGTTTCTTAAGGAGATGGCATAAAGTGTAGAGGGAGGATATAGAATGTTGTTGGGCTGTTGGTATGGCAGTCAATAGATCAGCTTTGTCTGGGTTCAGTGCTACAAGGGACTTGAACTGTTGACTCTGCTTGACCGCCATTGGCGGCAGCTCACAAAGCTCCCGCAACAAGCACGGCACACTCATATCTCGATGAAAAAAGCGGTAAAAAAAACAAAATAACGATGATCCTTTGACTCAGAGTAATGAAGATCTGATAAACCTACTCATCACAGCGCTCTCTCATCTCTTATAACAACTTCAACTCCCATCACAGCCCTTCCACCTTTTTACCCAATTTCGTCTCGCCGATAGATCAACAGGCAGAATATGAAGTCTAATCTGCAAATGACACGGGCCAAAGGTCATCCAGACCTGAAATCAAATCACAAAGGTCCTACCGCCGTCCCACTCCATCCCATTTAGACTTATTGGCGCCCCGATTTACGACAAGGGATTCTCCTGTAGATCCGATTTGATCTTCACGGCATTTCTTCTTGGACTCCATACTCACGCGGTAGGTGACAGCTGAGTGGGTGGACTGCCCGGCATTGCCACGGGTTAATCATCACTGACAGTGCCGGCGCTTGCTGACTTGGTATAGACTAAGATGTTACTAAGGGGCGGAGTGACATATTATTTTTCCTTGGTGGCCGTGCAGAGGCGGTTCGTGCGCTGATGTCACAGAGGAATTACGACGACGAATAGTCTTCTTGACTCGCGAAGAGTCCATTGTTGAGGCTATGGCCCTTTGTGTTATATCCACCGATTGAGTTTACGACAATGTAACAGGTTGAACCGTAAATGCTCCCAGTTCATCTATTTCCCGATTGGTTAGGGTGATGTAACCTAGTCTTTGAGCCGCATGGTGCCAGGGATCTACGACCCCGGTCTCGGAGGGAAACACGTAAGCTCAACTTGACGATATCATGTTGATAAGTGAGCGAGTTTCAAAAGGTCCGGGGATTACTAACGAATTTGTAGATCGGTAGTTGGACACGAAGTAGGCTTGGTGATTTTTGAGTCAGGCAGGGTTGGGGATTGGAGCGGCCGAATGGCGCAGCGGTTGGATGCAAGGCATTCTGCGATGCAGGTGATCATAGTGAGCATGTTATCATTACTGCGTTCGGTTGAGTAAAAATATGTTCTCTCTCATTTACCAGAGTGACTGCCCAGCTGAGACGCGTATATCATGGCCCGCAATGACATCTGTTCCAAGTTGCACATTCCATGAATTAAGCGAGTCATCAAGCTTATCCCCATAACTTACCAACATCCAAGAGATATCACTATAATTATGGATAACTATCACGGGGTAATTAATTCTCCGATAAAGTGTTTCTAGATTATTAACGACCTTCCAGGGTGGAAGGTCAACACGTCAGCTGTCATTGGACCGCGCGTAAATCTATATCGAGACGGCCCCGTCCATTAAACTTTGCGCCGCTGCGGCTTTCCCACCTCTTTCTGCTCCCCGAAACCTTACTGGACTTCATCTCACTGTCATGAGATTGGGCTGACGAATGGTTCTTTTGATGTCGTGAGAGCAACTGCCGAAAGAGCTACTGGTGCTAGCGGACTCATCACGTACAGGCTGCCTTGTAAGGCGGTATGGGTTGCTAGACTCGAATTAGAAGGATCTTATCCTATCAGGATACGCTACTTAAGGTTTCGTACCGGTATGTTAGTATTTCCACGTAACAATTTGTTGCTCACGCTGTATCCTGCTCGTCTCTGAAGACAAGGAAATAACAATGGTTTATCGTGAGGGCTATGCACAGGCCTATAATCTCATTAGAAAATGCAATAAATGTCATGTGTTGGCGCGCAATAGTGATCTGTCATTTCGACCATGTCCTTCGTTGCATTGAGTTTCCCAGTATTCGTGCCTCACCCAATCACTATCACGGTCGAGTGTCGTACTATGTCTACCCTGCATCCTACTCTTACCGTAGAACCTACAGACCATGCTGCCGCTTTTCCCGCTTCTCTTGATCTAGGCCGAAAGCTTATTCACTGGTGTTGTCTTCTCCTACCCTGCGTTGCAGTCCGTCGGCGCTAATGTAGAAAGAGATCTTCCATCCATTGACCTCCCTGTCTACGCAGCGGTTTCCATTGACCTTGTCAATCGTTGGGTATCTCCGTCTTGACTAACATCAATTTCATTCCATTGATTTTAGCCGTTATTATCAACGCCGCTCGCGATCAGCACAAACCTTAAACCCCCTCTCGAGTGTATTTCAAAAGTCTCGAGACATTGGACATGGCGATATTTATGTTCTCGTGGATCACCTTGGGAGATTTTTTATCTACAAGTGGGATCAAGGCCTGAAATCCCATGCTCCCGGGTATGCTTTAGTCCCATGGCGTCCTGATGTTTATGGTGGAGGGGGTGGAAAGGCTACTACGCCAAACCAATAGGGATATCTTGAGACCGCAGTCTAAGTGGACAAAGAAACCACTAAGTTGTAAGTCAACGCGTGATACCAGCCTCAAATGCAGGTAAAAGGAAGACGTGGCAGAAACTGATTCATGATTAATCACGTATAAAACTATAAATCCGCCTGAAACATAATTGTTCTCGAATCATGACCTCTAATATGTTATATCTATACCTTACTACAGGCTGTCTAATCGTTTACTACTGTGACTAAAGTTCAGTAATAACCTCTGATTTCGCATTGTGTAATCTCCCTCGCCCAGATCACTCTGCTCGAGCAATTGGCCTTTTTGTTCCAGTTCACCAATAACAGCGACGTCGACATATAAATAGGTTAAGAACAAAGTTTGTCATAATCCTTTGCATTTCGAATGAGACTAATGATACGGAATGAAGTTGCCTGTCGCCCATATCACCATTCAGTCAATCTCGTTATGCTGGCCTTTCCGGCGGATTGGCATGTACTCCTTTGCAGTACCCCCTCAAAGATTAATCGACCTACTTCACGCGCTGTAATATATTCCAAGTGTGCATTGGATAACTGACGGAAAACTCACATTGTCACTTTGGATCTCTCGTTTGCGCGATCTTTGAATGTTTGGTGGTTTCTGTTGAATAACATTCTCTGATAATTGTCCTATGGCCTATCAGCTATAAAGGTTCCCCCGTGTCCCGTCATATCAAGCATAATCCGCCCACTGATCTTTAGCATGCATCTCCTGTTCAATAGATGGCGGCGTGGTAGGGATTGGCTTCTGGCTGATGGGGAGATTGACCAGGCGATTTCGTGGGTTCAAATGGTTTGCAGTCTTTACCTGGTGCCAGCAACTGCGATCGTTCTGATAGCTTGTGCCGTGCACGTCCTCCCAGCGATGGATCCTGATTTCTTCGATCAAAGAAGTGAAGGCTTTGACTTCTTCATCAGTGGGTCGTTTCATGTTTTCCCAGAGGTCTTCCTGTTTGGCATGCGTCCTCCATACCATCCAATCCAATGGAGTTCGGTTGTTGAGGTCTATGCCATCTGGGTCCGGTTCTGTAAGGCCGTGTTTGCGTAGATAGGTGATGTGATCCAGGTCTCCGTACAGAGCTGCGTAATGCAAGATAGATCTCTTCAAATTGTCGAGAAGGTCGAGTCTTGCACCTCTTTTGCAAAGATGATCAAATATGCTATTACACCAGGGGATACAAGAGGCGAGATGAATAGGCGTCTGCCCACGTATATCTCGTGAATTGATGTCGGCTCCTCCGTTCAAAAGCGTTTCCATCTTGCCATTACAGTCCCAGGGCTCGGCCGCATTGCAACTTGCCCAGATGAGATGATGTATAGGAGCAAATTCTGTAGCATCGGTCTTGAGGTTCGGATCAGCACCCTTTTCCATCAGAGCCTGAACTATCTCTGTCGATTTGACCTCCAAAGAGGCGCAGGCAACATGCAATGCGGTGAAGCCCTTCGAGTTTTGAACATCAGGGTTACTGCCCCAGTTGAGCAGGGCTTCAGTGACATCTTCCCATCCGTAGAAGGCAGCAAGGTGGAGGTTAGGATAGTTATACGCGTGATTGACAACATCGAGGTGACCCAGACGGTCGAAGATGGTGAGCATGGCATTCAGGAAGGGTAATTCCTCAGGATGCTTCTCGACCGAGAAGAAATGCTCTTGTTTGTGAACATCTACTGGTGGGGGGTCAGCTGCATGTGAACAATTGGGGTACAAGATTGAGTTACGGTAGTCAGACATGGTAAGTGTTGAAGGATTTCTAGATCTAAGGAGAAGGGGGGATAAATGGACACTGGGCCATGATGGGTGTGCAGCACGATATTTATAGGCGTGTGAGGGGCGTCAGCTGCTATCCCCATCAACTTAAACAACACTCTTATAAATTCAGTTCATCGGTTTGAGTTTGTACAAAGGTGAGGAGTCACTCAGGCGGGCCTGTTGCAATGTAGCATCTTCATCAAAGCTGTAGCGTTACAGGGGCGGGGATAAGCCATGCTTTTTATTTGGCGCGATATTCTTCAGGGTAGCTTACGTTGGGCGTGAGTTATCGATAAGGTTATTTTGACATATAAATACAACTTAAATGATCAATTGACGAACTATCTTTGTATCTGACAGAGTTCCATATCGCCGAAAGTTCAGCACCCGAAGCTTAGCCAAGACATAGTTCTCGGAGCTATCTTGTCAATGGTCAATTGAATTTAAACTCAACGTTTATTACCAGCCTCCGGTAGAAAGTGAGTCACCCCTGTGTGTTGAGAGATGCCAATTCCAATCCAGCGTGATGCAGAGTTCGATACGCGTTTTGACTGCTTGGAATGTGGAAGCTCAATTGCTCCACGTAGGAATAACGCTCAAAATCACAGCCAACATTTTTGGCGGGAGGGATCCGGTTTGTACATGTCCAAGTTCATAAATTTCGGAATTTGAAAAGGGTCGGACCGCCAGCCAATCTGTGATGGCTTATACATAAAACACCAGTTATACCTGACAGTCGTGATTGGCTGCGGGCATGCTTTTGAATTTGCCAATTACAGTATTTCGGCGTTTCTAATATAAACCCTCTCAAGTAAGTAGGTAAGTTCATGAACAACGCGACACATCATTCGTCGAGGCCATTTGACACCCGCTCCACGAAGAGTATATCCGCTGAAACAGAGTATCTCAGGTTAAGCGCACAAATGTGCAACATGATTTATCCAGAAGTTTAT